GGATTTGTATCTGTCACGACAAAGGGCGGTTCATATCGTTGAAATTGAGCGGCCCAAACCAACGCAACCCTATCTGAATATTGTACTGCCTAAGTGCTCTAAGGAGAATTGCGAGAAATACTTCTCCAATGATAGAAGCGCTAGACGGGAGTGCTCAGATAGCCGCGCATCAGATCGATTAGCCGCGCTACGAGAATCGATCGACTCCGATTTCAAGAGGCGCATTTTGGCAATCAATGCTGAGGCTAATCTGCTCAAAAGGGACGTGCGCGAGCGACGACGCAAGTCAGCTCTCAGATCTGGTCACGTGGTTCGAAAAGGACGTGATTTAGTCGCGGGCGCTTCTCTTCTGTCAAGCGTTCTCAATTTTTCAATGAAGGTCGTTAATAACATACAAATTCAAAATTTGAAAAAAGTTACGCTCCATACGAAGGAACGCGTGAATACGCTTGAGAATGCGTTAAAAGATTCAATGGCATCAGTAAGCGTTTGCATCAATGAGACTTACGCTAAGATCGACCTTCTTGAACAACAGGTCTGCCTTGAATCCAACCAGAAGTTCGAACTCAGCACAAGTGCTATCGCAGCACAGGCTACTCAGAACTATCTGGAGCAAATTGACAGTGAGGTTAGCGAACTCGCGACAGGTAACATCCCTCCTACCATTGACTACATTATGCTCTGGAGGAGCGGATGCCTGGCGGCTTCGTGTCCTAGTATGCGAGAACAGTCATGCATGACATTTTGCAAAGACCTGCTCTTCGACCTTCCAAGAGAATTGCGGCCAAGACTAATCGGCTCGTATCTCGATGAGAACTCGATCAAAATCTATGTTGAAATGAGGTTTCCGGTCATTATGGCTGAACCGAGTCAGCTTCACAGAGTAACCAGTTTTGGCATCGTGGAAAAATTGAGGACAAGTTTGTCACAACGGCGGCGCAGATTTCCCCGTATGCGACAGAGATATCGGGTCGGTTGTTCCAGCTGAACCGTTTCGAATGCTACAGCTCACGGGACACACTGATGGTATGCAAAAATTCCGCTCTCAGCTCTAATTCATGCTTGAGCGACGTAGCTACCTGCCCCACTAGATCTTGGCCAAGCGAAGCCCCATGCACCTACGCATACACGAGAAGTGGCGCCGTAGTGTACAGTATTGTGCCCGCGGAACATCGTGTGCGTTCAGTGTCACCTGACCTTGCAAGAAAACGTGATCTGTTTCAGGGTCTACGTTACTTCGAAGCGTCAGAGCTTGACCAAGAAGTCCACTGCCAGGGCCTCTTGATACCCATCACTAAGACTGATCGCATTTACTCTTCAAATATGACACTCGCTAGAGCAGCGGCTGAGATTGAGTTCGAATTTGATGATCGAAACTTCAATGTCACCCGCAGTGATGTGTTTGAACCATCCTTCATAGAGGACATCCAAGAGGATGTGGAAAATAATCTTCTCTTCCTCATCGTTTCTAGCGCCTCTTTACTTACACTCATTGCTCTAGTGTTCTTGACTTTTGGAAACCGAATGAGATTTTTCAATAAGGAAATAACTCGACTGAATCAACCTGTAGTGTAGCTAGCCGCCCCGCTCAAAGTTCAGTTCACAACAAGCCGCAGTGAAATAGCTCCGTCATGGACCTCTCGCAGGGTGATTATTTTTCTTATTCTAGTGTGCTTATGTTTCAGCGGGAGGGAGTAAGGTGCATAGCGCCGAGGCTTTTCTGAATCAATTTTTCACTATCGATTCGACCCATAGAACACGCCATTGTGAACTGGCCGGGTATAAATGTTCTATTCATAATGCACCAAGGATAAATAATCACTAGCTTCCCAAGTTCAATTATACTCAGGGCGATCTACGAGCATTCCCGTAAATAATCTCAACATTCAAATATTTCCAATAATCAAATGTCAAAGAGTTCACGATCTTAAGGGTATCTCTTGCTTTTGACCTAAAAACCTCAAATGACCGATCAAGACCACCTCTCAATAGGGTAACCGGGGGAAGGATAAGGGACTAACTACAAAACATCTTAAAACTTTTGGAATACTTTCTACGAATGTCTGATTGTCTATCGATCATTCCCGATCAAAACGATAGACCGACCAGTTCACCCTGGTTCAGATGAGAATCTGAGGCCTAGTAGCGAGGTAACCGCAGGAATTCCATCAGTAGAGTTAGAAGCTAGAATTCTTCCAAGGTTTATGATCTAACTACCCGGTACACCCTTAACACCTCTAGACCCAAGGTAGCCAGTGAGCAGCCGCACAACCACCATCACCACTTCCACCGACACCACTGACATCACCTACAAAGACAACGACATCGACATCTCCGACATCAGCACCACCTTCATCGACACCGCCGACATCATCAATACCGACCTCGACTTCGACACCAACTACAACAACCATACCATCTCCACCGACACCGCCGACATCATCAATACCGACCTCGGCTTCGAACAAACTACAACAACCATACCATCTCCACCGAAACCGCCGATATCACCAACAAAGACAACGACCTCGACGTCTCCAACATCAACACCACTTCCACCGACGCTGCCGACACCAACAACAACAACCGTACTACCTCTACTGACACCGCCTATATCACCAACCACAACCCCACTGGCCACACCGCCGACCCCGACAACTTATCAACCAACATCCTCCAAACCAATAACACCGACTCCGTCTGACACCTACAAGCCCGTTTGTTTCCTGTATCTTCCTCTTCGCATCATCCTCGACGTTAGCAACACCTACATACTCCTCACCGCTGATTCCGCCTTCAACGTCATACTAACCCTTGCGCCTATTCAACTTCAACCTCTTCAATAGCACCTGATCCGCTTTCCAAAAAAAACCCGACAATCATGTGCCGACAACAACCTGGATATCCATCAAATCAACTCGACCTTCCCTCTTTCAGCTCTCTACTAACAACTGTACATCATCGACGCCGTCAAAACCGCCCCTGATGTCCAGCTCTCCCTGCAAAAAAAAGAAATGAAACTTTTTATCCCTGTGCATTTTTCTATTTCCAAAAACATATCTACTGTTTTCTTTACTATTGTTATCATTTTAGTTACCAAAACGTGTGCTTCTCCTTCATCTCGTGTGATTTATACATCAAAATGTACCAACCCTAAGTGGGGGAAGGGTGAAGTGTTCTACTTTAGCTACAGTTCCTAAACTGTCAATCATAGAGCCTATATTTAGCCTGATCAAAGCCCCCTTAGCCTCAAATTAGTTGCTCCCCGCTGACTCTCACCCTTCTCGTCAGCTGTACACGATTGCCCCTCTCAGTTTTCTATTCTCAATAAACCAGTCTATATTTGCAAGAGCTAGCGGCTGCATCTTGCCTGACTCAGCAGAAAGTTACCAGTGGAACATTACAGTGATTAACATTTTGAAAAATGGCCATTTTAGGTCATTTTCAAATCGTATCTACTTTTTTTTGGGCTTAAGGATTCAAAATCTTTTTTGTTTATCTAAAAGTATATACGCTTATCTTAATTTTTTGGTAGAATCATCATGATGGGATAAGTGAATAAAAAAATTCTAGTTGTAAAACTTTTTGAAACCATTTTTGGCGTTATTTGGGTGTTAGAATGCTCTCTAGCGCCAACAATTGGCCGAAAATTCTAGTGCGGTTATTATATTCGTAATCTACACATTCTAAGCTTTCGAAAGACCCCTTGTATGTCTTATTTCGATGGCAATGATAAATCGAAAAAAATTGCGATTTTCACGCTAAGTACAATTTACATGCATTTTCCCGAACTTTGGGAGCCAAAATTACGGGGATGCACTTATGTAAAGGGGTACTATCATATATCAAAATGATCCTCAGAACACGAGGAATCTAATCATAGGCGATAATGACCACTGCCAAAGTTTTGAAAAATCGGGGGGTGATCATGAGAGAACTTGAAAATATGACTTTTTCTAATTCATATGTCAAGTACTGGGAGACGGATCAGGAGTGCCATTTTCATTATGGTATTCTGTCACCTGGCGTCAGACATTTTCTGATCCTTGAACCTGGTTCCCAGGTGACAGCCGAAAAAATCGTTATCTTTTTCAGTTCAAAACTCAAAAAACTCAGTGCACAAAACAGTGAGTCCTAGAGATAGAATGATAATTTTTGCCGCGTCTGTCAAAAAAAAAGATTTTCAACGGTCACGGAATTAATCGATTTAGAAGCATTTAAATCGGATAGAATTATTTCAAGTCAGTATAATCTGATTTTTCATACAAAGATATATACTCGGAGAATGCGGACGAAATTTTCAGATGTAAAATTTTTCAAAAAGATTCAGCGAGAAAAATCTATACCGTGGGTGACAGATTTCACGACGGAGTTCTCTCGTTGAAGACCAGAATTTTTGGAAGAATATTGAAATTTCTCGTCCGCGTCCGTGCCTTTTAATCAAAATAACCCACGGTATCACTGAAAAATATTGTCCAAATTTTAGTTCCATCTGCTTGTTTTCTGTGAAATTTAATCGTATAAGATCGCATTTTTGTGCTTTTTATTTGAGCTCCTAGATAAATATCCCTTTTTGCCCGCGCATAAACCCATATAAATGTCAGAGATACGGGAAATGAATTAATTCATCTCTCTTCTTTCATTCCGTATACCATCAGTTATTCCTCCAGAAAGGGATTAATTTATCTTAAAACGCTATCAGATCCACAAAGACGGATTTCCACTGCTCGGTCCATCTCCATATAAGCACCGTGAGCGATTAGATTTATTTATTTTATTTTCACAACGAGATAAAAAGTAAGAAAAATGATGTTCTCTCTCCCTCTCTTTCAGCTCTAGAGAATAAGTAGATAGGGTTTAAAGGTATAATAGTAAAAGGGTCAAATTAAAATTTTAAAATTTTGACATATAAATATAAAATTTTAAAATTCAAAATAAAGAGGCTGAAATAAAAAAATTATTGAAGATGAAAAATGAAGAATTTATTTTTAAATTTTTAGGGCAAATAATTGGGAAATGATTTGTAAACCAGCGATTTGCTCAAAATGCCGAAGCTATCTCATCAGAAACTCCAAAGGTTTGTATTAAAAGAACTCGCATTCTTCAAACTAATTTCCGAAGCAGTGAAAATTTAACCTTCAAAAAACTTGTGCCAAAAAAGACCTTTGACCGAAGAGAACGAGTTTTTGTGGCAAAATGACTGATTTATTAACGCATATTTGGCTTGAGTTGAACAATATTCAAGTTGTTCAACGAACTCGATAAATAAAATTAATGGGTCAATTAATAATTGCTGATTCTAAGGAAGGATGTCGTTTCCACTTGCTGAAGCCGCAGAATGAGAGTTAAATGACTGTAGTTCCGTTTTTTCGGGTTGATTTAAAATGACAAATTTCAATTTGACCTTATTGAACATTAATTTCTTCTACAAAAATTCAAGGTCTGACAGTCAGACTCTGACTCGTTAAACCAAGAAACAAAGTAGTCTCTTTTCAAAAATGCATCAAGTCTATTTGTCCCTTTTAAATTATTTGCGGAGTTTCGTGTTCAGACAACATCGTACCATCCAATTGATTGATCAGCGCTCTTATCATCAGAAGTGCCAAAAACTTGGCTTAGAAAGTCAGCTGGAAGTCCACTGTACTTTCTGAGATCGATGCTAACACAAACTAATCTAACCCTTCTCCTTTATTAAAGATCCATCAGACAGATACTGGGTGATGTGCTCGACGCTTTCGAGGAACAAACACTGCTGCAACTTCCGCGGAGGACCCACGCTCTTCACCGTAAGTGTTTGTTTGCCGAAATGAATTATTATTGCTCTGGCAATTGCAGCGATCTGTTTTCTGGCAGACTTGAGGAAAAAAAAACAACTTTTGGAAAAACAAAAAAAAAATGGGGAGGTGTCTGGAACCGACAAAAAAATTTCGACAAATTTTGCGTGGATTTTTTCAACCAATCAGAAGCCTGGATTCTACCGGCCAATCAGCAGCCGAGTAGCCGCCCACGCAAAAATGGTCAAAATTTTTTCGTCGGTTCCAGACGCCACCCCAAAAAATTGATAAATTAATTTTTTATCAACATTAGTTTCAACGAAAATTTCATCAATTATTTCAGTCGATATCAGACATGTGTCAAGACAAAGATGGCGATAACGAGATAGTGGAGAAGGACTACGAAATCAACTTCGACGTCACCGATGAGGAATGTCAAGGCATCGCAAACGACAACATGACAGAAATAACAAATGACTTGGCGCTTGTTTCGGACGAATTTGAACGCGCGATGGACTCCAAGTGCCGTGGCAACAACAAGCAATGCTCGCTCGAGGCGACCTACAGGGAAATTCAAAGTAAGTTTTCAAAAATGACGAAATTTCGACAAATTTTGACAAATTTTTCGTGGAAATTTTCAACAAATCAGAAACCTGGATTTGTCAAACCGGCCAATCAGCAGCCGAATAGCCGCCCACGCAAAATTTGTCGAAGTTTTCGTCGTTTCCAGAGACCACCCCTTTTTAAAACATACTGTAGCTGATGGCAAGTACAGGCTCGACTTTGAAGTGCAAAAAGACAATTGCTCGATCAAGTACAAAGAAATGAAGACTTGCTCGCAAGTTTCGGCGCAGCTCAGGAAATGAGTTCAAACTAACTTTTCAAAGCAAAAAAATAGAAAAAATGTTTTAAAACTCAACTACAGGACAGAGCAAATCGTCAGCGGTAAGTCTTGAAAAATCATATGAGGAGCATCAGTGATTTACGTAGTTTTTACAGCTCTGACGTACATCGGCTTGATCATCGGTGGCGCGTTGATCGGGGGCATTCTGATCGGGGCGATGATCCTCAAACGAAACGACCACAAGGCGATGCTTGAAAGGTCGAGGGCCAGGACTTCGGTGCAAATCTCACAATCCAAAAAGAAGGATGATTCGCTCAACGGGTCAGTAGAAAGCCGGATCAGCCCGGAAAAGAATAGAACATGGAAATATATAACCAGACATAATACGTCTTTTCTTGATTGAGAATTTTTTCCAGCTAATTTGCTTTATAAGGTTTATTTATCATCCGAAAAAAGACCAACTGGCCCAGTTTTTTTAAATCAACCAATATTTTCTAGACAGTTGTTATCTGCTTAGAAACCATACTACTTGTTATAGAACTTTTATATAACTATTATCTTATCATAGTCCGAGTGGTATTCCTTCTAAAGTCCAACCCCACTGTACTAGACCTTCACAGAAATATAAATGATCATATTCGATTCCTTGATCAAGATGAATTCTTGATTCTTGAGGAGGGACCTTATATATCACGGACCACAAACCTATAAATGTTTTTTCAGACAAAACGGCGAGAAGAAAGATCTGATAGTGAAAAGAGAAGAATTATGAAATTAAAAAAGCGGCCGACAGCTTCATTGAGATATTAACTTGCCAAATGACTCCAAAAGTTCACTGTATATATAAAAAGCTTTTCTTTATTTAAAAATCTTATTTAACATTTGAAATTTCATATTTATAAATACTTCACAACGAATAAACTCATACTCAAAATCACCAAAGAACTAGAACCAGAACTGTATTAGTAAATTTGTCTGTCACCGCCTCCGGCCCCGACGCTCCTCTTGAAAAGAGAAAACTCTGAATTCATCCCTTCTCAGCAGGAAGGCTCGAAAATGTTCTGATAAGAAAGGACAATGAAATATTTTAATTTTCTCATCCGTTTCGACGAATCGTCCAAAGCAAACAGAGAGAAAAAGACAGAACTTTTGACCTTAGATGGGAACTGGAACTTTTGTCCGAAAATATGCACTTGCGATAGCGAAAAAGAGAAATATCGTGTAGTGATAAGGCCTTGCTAAGAATTCCTGATCACCTGCCGAGCGATGTACAAAGCCTCATTTTCGTGGAAAACGATTTTCGCGAGCTTCAAAAATTCGACCAAAATCTGGATAAATTGAAAAAACTCGATGTAAGCCGCAGCCAAATTCAAAAAATTTCAAATGGGGCTTTTCAAAACCTGCCAGAATTGCTCGAACTTGATTTGTCAGTAAATGAATTTACCTCGATCGGAGAGAATGTCAAAAAAGACGCTTTTGAGGGCCTCAAAAAGCTCAAAATCTTAAAAATTGGCTTCAACAAAATCTTCAAAATTGAAGATGATTCCTTCAAGGGGCTGGAAAAATTAGAAGAGCTCAATTTGGAGTACAACATTATTTCTGAAATCGAAGAAAAAGCTTTTGAAAACTTGTCGAAATTGAGGAAAATTTATTTGAATGGAAACTCTCTTCATTCAGTCCCCGAAAAAGTTTTCACGTGGATGCCGTTTTTGAATACAGTCAACTTGGAGAAAAATGCTATTCGCAGTCTCAGGCATTGGTTCACACGAGGATTAAAGGCCAATTAACCATTTTTCTCTAGAAATTCATCGTTAGAAACCACAACTAAAAACTCTTAATAATCAATTCATAGTTGATTGAATTGATTCAGAGCTCGAAAATGTAAAGAAAAGAAAAGGATCTAATATCGGCATATCAGTACCAATAAAAAGCAAGAAGCAATTCACAAAAGCCCAAAAGCTCGCGCGCCTTCATCTCGCACGAAACGACATCTACCAAATCAGCCACCTCAACCTCGCAAATCTGACAAGCCTCGAATATCTCGATCTCTCCTACAACTCCATTTCTCGAATCGACCCTAATGACTTCGAAAAGAATGTGAAGATCAACCACTTACTCTTGAAGGGAAACAAACTTTTTAATTTGAACGGATCGCCATTTTCGGAACTTCAGCAGTTGAATCACTTGGATTTAGCGGAAAATGAATTGAAAGTTATTCCAGGAAATGGTCGAAAAAACAATCATATAAGCATGAAGTTTGGGTTAGGGTTAAGGTTAGGGTTAGGGTTAGGATTAGGATTGGTTTTAGGGTAGGATGCATCAAGTGCCGCTAGAATTTTTTCTACTCGAAACCGCTCGCGGCTTCTCGACTCGATTTTCTCGTCTGAAAATTATAATTTCGATCATTGAAAAGATATCTTTCGCCAAAACCCTGGGCTAATGTTCCTTTTTCTCGATGGAAACAAAATTGAAATCATAGAAGAAAATATCCTCGATCCCCTTTGGCGACTTGCAACGCTCACTCTGAGTGAGAACCAAATCAAAAAGATAGAAGAAGGAGCTTTTAAAAATCTTGCAAAGTTTTATTATTTAAATTTGGCGAAGAATTTAATGGAGACTCCGAGTTTATCGCTCGTCAATCCGAAGAATATCGGGTAAGCGCTCTCTTGGGGAAAATTTAACAAGGATTTTTAGGACGTCTTACGATCTCTCCGAGAACCCCTGGAAATGCGACTGCAAAATGAAAGATTTTCATGAGTTCTTGAAGAAATTGCCAAACAAACGGGCGATTGATATAATTTGCGCTTCTCCAGAACATCTGAAAGGTCGTAATCTGCGAAATTTAACCACTTCAGGAAAGTTTCTACCATTTCGAAGCTAAAAATTTATCTCAGAAAAGACAAAAATGGTAAAAATATTAAAAGACTTATCCTGCGAGCCGCCTCAACTCTCGAAAAATTACTCGATTCCGAGCATGATTCCGTTTATTGGAATTCTAGCGCTGCTACTTCGTCTTCTCATTTTCAAAAAATCATCAAATGAAAAAACGCCTGCGAAAGCTTCGCTCGACTGAAACTTATTTTTCTGTAAAAAATGACAATTTGTAAATCAGCATCAAAATAAACAGCCTTGTAATCACATGAGTCATCATAATAATTATCATCGGAAAGATAATTAACTCAGCCCGTGACGTTTTCAGATCATAAAATCTGATTTTACGTGCTTTGCATCCTATTTTCTTCTTAAAAACAAAAGAGAGAACTGGAAGATATGAAATTACTTCTGTATCTGTCAGGCTTGATAGTTGCTTTTCACGATGCTGTTTGGTACAGTTCAAGGTATTTTTAGGAATTTTTGCGTGGAAATTTTCAACCAATCAGAAGCCTAGATTCAGCAAATCGGTCAATCAGAAGCCAAGTAGCCGCCCACGCAAAACTTTTCCAAATTTTTTTGTCGGTTCCAGACACCATCCCATTTTCAGGCGCAATTATCGGGATATCAAAATTCTTTTTAAGCCATTTTGAAGACAATTATCCCAACTGCGGAATCCGCTTCGTTCACAAACACTGCTGGCACTGCATCTGCAAAGCCTGCCAAATCGACATCGTCTTCCTCCTTGATTTCTCCGAGGACGTCGAGCCAGACTGCTCCGTTTCCGACAAAAAAGATCTCGGGATCGATCTTTTTAATCAAATTCCAACAAGTTACGATGGAATAAAAGAACAAATCGACATTGTCAAGGATTTCGTGGAAAACATCGAAAATGAGCAGGTTTTTGAAAATCAAAATATTCGCGTTGGAGTGGCGATTTTCGGCCAGCAAGAACAGGCTCATGAAATCGTGACTTTGGATCATGGATTGTCCAGAGAAGAATTTGTTTGCAAACTTTACAAAAACTGGGAAGATGGTTCTCCTCCCCCATATGTATTGTAAACCCTCATTTTCTCTTATTTACGCCTTTTTCTAGTGCTCTGGAACGCTTGAATTCGAACAAAAACCACTTTGCCACAAGCCATCTGTCATCGAAACACTTCAATGGCTTCGAGGAGAAGATATTTTTACGACGTCTGACAGTATTCTTCCTGCAGATATGAAACTTCGGAATAACACTCTAGAAGTGCCAACCACTAGGGTTTTAATTGCATCGATTGCGGACAATTTCTTGACTTCAAATTCTGATAAATTGGTAAGTTTTCTCCTTTCACTCATTTTTAAATTGATCAAAAGGCACAATATGAAGAAGAAGTTAACATTCTCCACGAGCAATTCGAAGCGGTCTTCACCATCGCGCACAACAAAACCAGGACGCGCCTCAACGAGTTAAGCTACCAGAACCATCTCCAGACGATGGCATGCAATGGACTCGGAGATCAAGGAAGATGTGGAAGAGTGATTCAATGGGAAGATCATGTGACCAACTACACCGGCGTTGGTCAAATGCTGGCGCATAGCATCTTAGGTTCAAAACAGTAATTATTTTTTTTTCTTAACCCTTTTTTTCAGACATCAACAGTATGTATCTCCCTCCAAGCCGATTCTTGCTACAATCGTTTGATGCCTGAAATATGCGAAGCAACGCCTTACAAAACGCGTCAAATGTTCAGCCGATACCCTTATCAACTCCCGGATAAGTGCTGCTCGAAAATTGATGCTGCTGGTGAGGCGATTTCAGAAGTTCCGATTCCTTACAGAAGTGATATCCAATGTTGCGATGAATCTACTGGAAGTGTTTTTAATGAAAATTGCGGAGAAAACGGCAGAACAAGAAGAAGAAGAGCTTATAATGATCTGTAAATTGCAATAAATGATTGAAGCTTTTCGAGAATAAAATGCTTTCTTATGTTTACTCAAAACAATCCCGATATTTTGACGCATTTGGTTTCAGACGAGCATAAGTTCACTCTTCTCAAGATCGGATTGAGCAAATAAACGCCTGTGAGAAAATTTTAATTGGAAACATTTTGTATTAACTCTTGACACACCCCTTTCTGGACTCACCCATTTCATTGAAATTTTCATAAATTTCATTATCAACCGAGAGAGAAAAACGAGCACAAAAATGGCTGATTGGATCAAGGCCGATTTGAGGGGCGGAACTGGCTCGGCGAATATGCAGTTCAACGAAAAGGTTTTCTAGAATTTTTTAAACATGCAATTTCATGCAATTCTTAGATCAAAAAATTGCGCGCAGAAGGAGAAACTATCCATCATCTTGGTTTCGGCCAGTGCCCTTTTCCTGTTCCAGAAGGAGCTGTGAAAGAGCTTCAGGAAAGGATTCCCCCTTATTTCTGAATTTCTTCTTCTCCGAATCGTCGAAAAATCCTCTGAGAACAATGCTGCGCGATCAACTTACACGCCCATTCAAGGCATTTTGCCCCTTCGCGAGGCGATTGTTGATTTTCACAAAAAACTCGATGATGTTCATCATTTCACAGCTGATGATGTCATCGTTGCTCCTGGATCGAAAGAGCTCATTTATTTGATCAAAAATGCGCTTGAAACATCGGTTGTGCTTCCGACTCCAGCTTGGCCGACGTACTTGCCTCAGACAAAACTGGCAAGAAAAGCTATTATCAGGTAAGAACAAACAAAACATCCTTCTTTGCGACAAATTCTTCGATAAAATGTCTCTTCAGAATTGATCGAACATACGAAACCGGCTGGAAGCTCACTGCAAAAATGCTCAGCGATGCTTTGAGAACTAATCCTGTTCCACCGAAATCCCTCCTCGTTTTCACCAACCCTGATAACCCAACAGGATGTGTTTACTCTGAAGAAGAGCTGCAATCCCTTGCGTATGTCTTATCTCGTCCATTTTCATTAACAAAAAACTAAGTGCCGTTTGCCGAGAAAAAGATCTGATCGTCCTGTCGGATGAGATTTACGCTCGGTGCTTCACTAATGGAGGAGAAAATCTTTCTATCGCGAAATTTTACCCAGAAGGAACGCTGATTTGCTCCGGCATTGCAAAATGGTGCGGCGGAGGAGGCTGGAGAGTCGGTTACGTTATGTTTCCAAAAGAGCTTAGACCCCTCTACGATGCAGTAATCAGAGAAGGTGGTCAAACTTATGCTACTGTAGCTGAGCCGATACAGGTAGAAACGATAAAAAATTTATTGCTAAACCTGTGGTTCTAGTGGGCTTCAGTGAAATTGTACAAGTTCGAAGAAGAAATGCAAAATTACAATAAGCACTTCCAGCGAATTCTTGGAGCAGTAACTGATTATGCTTACAAAGAACTTGTCAAAGTTGGAGTCAAATGCCATCCAGGAATGGGTCGAAATAATCAAGGACGGAAAAAAAATTTAAATTAATCGTAGAAAGAAAACTCAAAATTTGGTTGAAGTATTGATCTCTTTGTAGCTTCTGCTGCGTTTTATCTGTTCCCGGATTTCGAAATTTGCCGAGCAAAGCTTCTTGAGAAAAGCTGCAAGACCGGCCAAGATATGTGCGATCTTCTTTTCGAAGAAGAGAAAGTCGCCTTGATGCCTGGTGGCCCGAGTTTTCTTAGGCCGGAAGAGGAGCTAACTTCTCGACTTTGTTACATTGGTTTCGTTAAGTAAAATTTATAATGACGATTGTTTTTTTCAGATTTCAACGGAGGCGATGCCATGAAAGCATCAGAAAAAATTGGCTTGGAAAAATCGCTCCCGGAAGATTTTGTTGAAAAAGAAGTCAAAACAATGTTTGATGCGATTCAAAAACTTTGCGATTTTGTCAAACGTTATTCTTAAAGAATGAAAATAAATTCTCTTCCAAAAATCCTTATGTGAAAATTGCGACAGAAAACGTGGATGAAGACAAGTTCTATAGTCTGTATCTTCTGCGATTCCGGATTAGTCATGCCCTGACTTAGAGATATATTACTACACTTGAAACTTTTCAGAATATGTCAATTTATGCTTCCGATACATTCGGTCCGTGACAAGATCTGTCACTCTAGCTAAGGGGGAAATCTAAGTTCAGATTTGTAAGTCAACTTTTTGAAATTTTATTTAGCTCTTGCTCGCCATCAGTCTCGCTTTTACTGATAGTATTTAAAGGGCATAAATATAATGGAACGATAAAACATCGTTATGAGAATTACAATACTTGTTATCTTTGCATTCGCTTATGCCGGGATTATTCAACAACGAAGTAATCAAAGATCGCGGCAAGTGAGTTAACTTTCTAAGAATCCGCATTCACCAGCAGACTGAAGGAATACATTTTATAAAAAAAATCATGGTTCCTTCATCTTTATTTGAGAATTAACCTTAAACATATAACAACGTTTTATATTTAGTTTACCTTACATCGATGGATAAAGCAAATGATCATTTTTCGTTACATGCGGAAAAAACTCAAAGAGATACTTGACCGTCGTAAATCCGGCATGGTACCTGATGCAGAGACTATTCAACAACCAGCAGAACCAACAACGACAAAGCCACCAACTGATTCACCCACGGAACCACCATTTCAACCATCAACAGAGCCATCAACTGAACCGCCGAGGACGCCAACGACAGAGCCACCAACAGATCCGCCAACAACTGAACCTCCGACGGAGCAATCAACTGTACCACAAACAGAACAACCTACTGAACCACCGACAGACCCACCTACTGGATCACCAACTGAACCAGCAACAGAACCACCTACTGAACCAGCGACAGAGCCACCTACTGAACCACCGACAGAACCACCTACTGAACAAGCGACAGAGCCACCTACTGAACCAGCGACAGAGCCACCTACTGAGCCACCGACAGGACCACCAACTGAACCAGCGACAGAGTCACCTATGGAACCCGCGATAGAGCTACCAACTGAACCAGCGACAGAGCCACCTACTGAACCACCGACAGAGCCACCTACTGAACCACCGACAGAACCACCAACTGCTTCAGCGACAGAGCAACCTAGGGAATCACCGACAGAACCACAAACTCAGCCACCGACAGAGCAACCTTCTGAACCACCAACAGAGCCATCAACTGAACCGCTAACCGAGAAACCAATTGTTCAACCAACAGAGGAATCAACTGAACCAGGCACAACATCAACTAAGGCACAAACAACTTCTTCCTCGGAGTTTAAGCCCCTGAGTGACATTCTCACTGTCGACCTCGACAGCTGCACCAACAACGTCAACTTTCCTTCCGGCAATATAACAGAGACAGGGGGAATATCGAGGATTGTCGGTGGTGTCGCAGCTAGTGAGAACTCGTGGCCTTGGATAACTCGATTTTTCTTGCGAGAAACGATTGGTAGCGGAAGTGGACGTGGATGCGGTGGCACTATCATCCACACCAATTGGGTGTTGAGTGCTGCACATTGCTGCGAGGACATGGTGGAGATCTACGCGACATTTGGTGATATCGATTCTGACACTTATGACTCAGACCAGTATTTTCTCCGATCAACCGAATTTTACAACCACCCAGAATATGGCAACATGTCAGACGGCACTGGAGCTAACTCAGATTGGTGTCTGATCAAATTTGACAATAATATCATTGCTGCGGACCCAGAAAAAAAAACAAGAATCGCTTGTCTTCCAGACGCTGAGCCGGATCACGGGGAAGCGTGTTGGACCGCTGGATGGGGCCTTACGTCTCCTGGTAAGAGATCGAAAAACATAATAATTTTTTTCATTCAATAAGGAGGAACGACTGGATCTGACGAGCTCGTATCTGTTGGAGTAAACATAATGAGCCAAGAATACTGCACCAACAAAAGTTAGTCTTTTTGAGAGCTTTTCATCCGTGAGATTAATATTTTTAAGGTTATTATGGAAAAATCTTGAGGTTGGTCGCGGACGATATTTGCGTTGGTGTCCCCGATCTCAACGGTGACAATATTACTGATGGCGGCAAGAGTCCGTGCCAGGGTGACTCTGGTGGACCCCTCATTTGTCCGATCAACGGTCGAGCCACGCTTAGTGGTGTTGTTTCTAGGGGATTCATATGTGCTGCAGAAGGATTTCCTGCTATTTACTCGTCTGTTTTTGTCGCCAAACCCTGGATTCATGAGACAGTCACCAATTATTAAAAAATCGGTGCCGTTTATGAAATTATTATAATTCTTATAAGAGCACAACTCCCTCTTGAATTGTCCAAATAAAGTTCGAGTCTCTTAGTTAAAAAATAATTCTTCGATAATTGTATAACATTCTCAACAAGAATGGAGTCTTTTTTATATATCTAATAAAGCAGTAAACCATCGCTTTCAGCTGAATTTCTTGTCAGCCATCTTCACATATGATCCCGTTTCACCTTTATTTATGAATTATAAGGGGTGGCGGGCAGCCCGGTTCTGCAGTCAGATTTTTTAATTGATATTATTTGTACTTCCTCAATGTCAGCACGTTTAACAAGGCTTGCTTTAATGTTGTGACTTGTAATAATCTTGAAGTTTCTTCAAGACAGGCAGTTTAATCATAATAGCTCACCATGAAAGTTTTATTTATAGGAATATTTGCGTTCACGCATGCCGGCATAATTCAACATCCAAAGATCAAAGATTGGGACGAGTAAGTTACACTCTTTATGAGTCTCTTAAACCCACTTCTTGATTTGACTTTTAGGGGTGAACGTGTTTTTTAGAATTTCGACTTGCATAAATTCACAGAGCTCATCATTCTACTTCAATTTATCCGTAAAAAGCTAAAAGAGATATTCGACCGTCGTAAATTTGAGGCGGCCACTAAAGCAAAGAATACTCAAGCATCAACTGAATCAGCAGTAGAAGGACCGACTGAAACACCTACTAAACCTCCGAAACGGACAGATCAGATAACCAAAATTCCCGCACAAGACTTCATAGATGAGTTGTTTCGTCATAACTGAATATGTGAGATCTTGTCATTTTGTTAAAAATTATAAAGTTTGAAAAAATTACGATTTATCGAATTTTCCTTTATTTCTCTTAAATACGCTCAGTTATAACTTATAAATTGTCTTCGAGCAACTCCACTCCCATAATTGAGTCGATTTCTTTCTTCCGAGCTGCTTTTTCAGCTGCACTCATTTGCATGAAAATGTTGAATTGATCCTACAAAAATAATAAAAAAGATAAAAATACTGAAAGATAAAAGCTGATGATGAAATTCAATAAGAATTTTTGGGGCGAAAAATTTTTTTCTGAGGTTAACACATATTCTGAAAGCCCAGGAAAAACTGTGCCGATTACCCAAATTCTAGCGCTCGATGACGTCATTATGACGTCATCAGCCTCATTTGAAAAATTTTCAGAATCCACGCTTTTTGAGAGGGTTCCCCCTTAAAAATTTTTTTTATCTCGACGGAATCTTGTTCTTCATCAAATAAGGAAGGTTGCAACCTAAAAAATTTTCCGAACCGACCGGTTTCGACCGCGGTAAATCGCGGTTTTTCCAGTTTTTAGCCCCAAAACCACGCATTTTATATATCAATCGACGCAGAATTTAATTTTCTTTTGAAATAATGATAAATCAGTCAACATCAAAATCAAAACAACTAACAGCACTCCTCAAAAATGGACACAGGTAAAACTCACCTAAAAACAATACATCAGGGAGTCCCTGACAGAGACTTTAGATTATATCCGACTCATTTCCTCCACCACAGCGTTCGCAGTCGACCTCGCTGCCAAGTCCGGCAAGCATGAAGCAAGAAATCAAGACGGAGGAGCCCTCGTTCAAAATATTCAAGAGATTTTGGTCAAGACAGAAGACGACCAGGAGGAACGTGACGCCGAGAAACAACGAAAGAAAGGTAAAATAGTACTTCAACCAACTTGTTCCTACCCAAACTAACACATAAGTCATTGGACATAACGCAATATTCAGAACGCATGCCCTAACTAAAATGCGAGCGCGGAGAAGTGTACGTCTGGAACGCGCGCCAATTCTACCAGAAGATCATCTGCCCAATGTGCGACGATCGCGGCGGCGGCTGCAAAGAACTCACAGTCCCCCACAATACTAGAGAAAATAATTATTTTCTAGAATTTGGCGTTTTTTTCGCCAATTTTTTGAATTTTTTGCGTTTTTCTCATTATTTGTGGTTTAACCGGTTGGTTCAGGCCTGGTTAACCGTGGTTAGCTTTTTTTTGAAAAGATAATTAAATTCTGCGTCGATTGATATACAGTACACTCGCACAATTTGGCCCTTTTTTGTTTTTGCGATATGTCGAAAAAGGGCCGAATTGTGCGGGTCCGAATTGTGCGACTTCCGAAAAAACTCTTTTTCAGCCCCGGTTGATTAACTGTCAGTTGATGTTGTTTTTGTTAGTTTTAAGAAGTTAATCTTTTAAACACTAGAAAACGCACGGAAAGGGATGAATACTCCATCCAGTGATAAGACTTATAGTCCCAATTTGTAGAGGAGGTTCTTTTCTACCAGAATGAATTCACAGAAAGGGTGAACAGGGGCTTTAGTGAGGACGAGCACCGAAAGAAGCCCCAAAAAGGGGGTAAAATCGAGGCAAAATCGTTAGTCTGAGTTCTCGTCCCTGTTCACAACTTCTGTAAATTGATTCTGGTAGAATAGAATCTCCTCTACAAACTGGGACTATGGGTCTTATCACTGGATGGAGTATTCATCCCTTTCCGGGCGCTCGAAAATTTCTAGCGCTCATTTGGGGACTTCAGAGGCTCATTATCGGTCGAAAATCAAGTCCGATTCAAATATACCTGGTACCAAAATGATCGCCGTGACCTCGCGATTCTAAATCTGCATCATAATTGAAGTTTTAGAAAGGCGATCATGGGGTTGATTTTTCTACCATTACACCTATGTATCATACAGGCTGTATGTTGCTGGAAATTTCCTTCTATAATAACCATTCTGATTAGATCCGAAGATTTTCAGTTATTGAAATGCCGGAAATCTGATGGACCACGCACTCTCAGTCGAGGAAGGCGCCAAGTTGCGCTGATGGAGGAGAACTGTGCCCACCGCCAGGTGTAAACTCCTGCAGGGGCCGACTCGACTCGACGCAACGCTTGTCTCAAGTTGAGCCGAGGAGTATCACTGGATCAGTGAGCACATTTCGGTGGGCATGTTGCATCTTTTTTGCTCATGAACGGATAGGGAAGGTGATAGATCGACAAGTTTTATCGGCGAGATGCACCGTGGGAGCTCATTTCGTATTTATCAGAGCTCAAAGGATTAGCGCTTAGCATTGCCCATATTACACACTGGTCAAAGTGGTCCACCCCTTATTAGTTTTGATGAAGAGGGTCAGGGGGGCCAAATTGTGCGATTTTCTAACGTTTTAGCGAAATTCGAAAAAAGGGCCGAATTGTGCGGGGCCAAATTGTGCGAGTGTACTGTATAATATGTGTGGTTTTGGGGCTAAAAACTGGACAAACCGCGATTTACCGCGGTCTAAACCGGTTGGTTCGAAAAATTTTTTGCGTTGCAACCTTCCTTATTCGATCAAGAACAAGATTCCGTCGAGAAAAATAAAATTTCTAAGGGGGAACCCCTTCAAAAAGCGTGGATTCTGAAAATTTTTAAAATGAGGCTGATGACGTCATAATGACGTCATCTCACCCTAGAATTTCGGGAATCGGCGAAACTTTTTACGGGCTTTCAAAATATGTAGTTGCAACAGAAAAAAAATTTTTGGCCCAAAAATTCTTATTGAAATTCATCTGATGATAAAACTGACAGAAACAGGGATTTTTACTTACAAAATTGATAGCATCAGGTAATGACCGACGAACTCTTGGCATTCTTGAATCTACTTCATTCTGAATCAAGTTATTTACTTTATCAAAACGCTTAAATCGACCTGAAAAGACTGAAGTTTTCTTTGTCCCTGGTTAAAATGTAGCTTCTGGGGAGCTATCGGCGCACTCGTTTTCTCAAGATTTTTTTCAAATTCTTCATATTTTTGTGTGAGTTCTTTAAATTCTCTGTTCAGGTTGAAGAAGCTAAGGGAAAGACCAAAAATGAAGAAAATTACTGTTAGCAGCGCTTTTAAAGGTCATTCTGAGTTTAAATTTAGAACCTTTTTAAATTTTATACCATTTCATAAAATTGATTAACTGACCGAATCTGTGATTGTCTCGCCAAATTCTCTTTTAAAAAGCATAATTTTTGTCTTTCAAACCGCCACAAATCTTTAGCCTGGCCAAAAATGATTCAATTTGGCTGGAACTTGTTTGAGAAGAGGATAAATTGTTTATCTCGCCAGGTGGTCTCTAAACGCTTAAGGGTTCGGAGCAGTAGCCTTTCGGGATTTATATGAATATAAAATTTGCCTGTGAAATTTCTTACGAGATGAGACTTCTTCAAACAATAAAAAAAATGATGCCCTTACTGTTACTCAAATAAATACAATATCGCAACGAGGAACTTACTAAGAAATATGCGAAGAAAATATCAGAAAAATATTGTTATTATTGTTATATATGACGCATATAATATGAGCGTTAATATGAATATATTCTTTTAAAATAAATCCAAAATAAAAAGACTTTTTGACGATTTCTATTCAAATGAGGAAATGCTCTGACCTCTGGTGAATAAATAAATGACTGAAAATTATGACCTTCGCCTGATTTTTGGCCATTCAAGTCAATACTCTTCTTCAATAACTATCGCGCTCACAGCGAGATTGTCCAAAATCCTCAGAGTTTTTGAGTTCATTATTGATCCGCAAAAAGAGCTTGATGGTCATGCTGACGCGTTGTGCAATAAACAATAAAAATTCACGCTTCCTGACGCGTGATTGCTATCTTAAAATGTCACGATAATTTTCTTGCAGAGTTCGAAGCCAATTGTTCGTTGAGTTTTTTCGAAAATGAAGCTGTCGAGCTTCTTTGTTCCATGCGTTTTCGCCAGTTCGAGTACCAAATATACAAAGAGAGTTGTTGAAGGCCTGACTGGAACTGACTGTGATACGAGCAGTCTTACGATTGCCAAGTTTTCGGCTGATATAAAATGCGCGGAAGGAGATTTCATCCCTGAAGAAACCATGTGCACGCTTCAGTGTATTTCGCAAGTAAGTGGAAAATCACTGATGGACCAACAGAAACCTTCTGGTTTTATGAGTATTCTAGGGAACTGCGCCTGTTTTCGCCGAACTGCTCTGCCGAAAAGGTGAGCTCCATCCTCCTGGATTTCTACTGAATTACTACTGGTCCGACTGGGACATGGAAAATGGCCTTAAAGTCAGCTGCGAAATTCCCGATAACGTCCCCGCGCCGGGCATAAAGCGAGGCATGGCAATTTGGAATCACGGCGATCAAGCGGACTTTGTAAGAACCTACAATACCGTGCATAAGAACCCGGAAAGCCCGACCATCGGCTGGATCAGCTTTTGGTCACTTAGCCATAGTTGGTGGTCGTTTCAAGAAGAAGGGGACGAGGAGCTTTTGGCTGAGAATATGCATGTCTGGCCGATTATGGCGTATCCGCGATGCAGACAGGATACAGACTCGAGATATGGAGATGGGACTTGTGACCAGGAAGCTTGCGGAAGTAAACCCTGGGCGAATACCTGTACCCATCCGAAATACAATTTTCCCCGAAGTAATGAGACTTTTAATCCCTTTTCCGTCAATATTAAATTTAGACAACGAGGTCCTTAAAACTGGCGAAAAATGGATGGGTTACCTGAACGAACCCTACGGTGACAGTCAAGCGAATCTGACTGTGCCGAATGCATTCGAGCTCTGGCCCTCATTTTGGAAACGCGTTGAGGAACACGCAGTAAACCACAATGTTTCGACGGATGAAATCGGTATTGTCGGCCCTTCTATTGCTGCTAAAAGTGGCGCGATGGACTGGGGCGAGGATTTTTACTTCAACTTGCCAGAGCACGTAAGAATTGATGCAATCAACGTCCACGAATATCGAGTCAATGGAGGGCAGCAAGGTGTTGATTGCAAGTGCGAGCCAATTTTGCTTAGAGACACCCTTAGTCATTACAAGGCAAAATTCGGCTATCCGGTTTGGCTTGTCGAATTCAACTGTGGAAATGGCTGGTGGGACTGTCCAAACGAGCAGCATCACGATTACATGAAGGAAACTCTTCCAATGCTGGAGGAAATGCCTTGGGTAGTCCGGTATAACTGGATGGCTGCTTTGACTGAGACTCAATTCGGCGCACTCAATAGCAATGTTGCGCCTTATCCTTTGACGGAGCTCGGCGAAACTTACAATAATTTTGTCTGGGATAGGGTCAACAATCACAATCCACAGTGGGGCGATAATGCTGGAGGTAAGTTGAACTGTAAAAATAAAAAAGAACAGAATCCAGAGCATTTGTCAGATATTTCCACTAAGAACGAAATATTCAAAGATTATTTTCCTGAATCGTTTTTATTACGAAAACAATTTAGGAAAATATTAGAAAAATATTATTATCAGTATCATATATTAATTTCAATAAAATAGATATACTCTGGTAAGTTCGTTAAACCGAAAACAGCTTTCGCCGAAACAAATTATTTTTTTAATAAATTCTTATTTTTGCTTCTTGTTTCATTGATTCATAGAAAATCAAAGAAAAAAAGATGACTATTGCAAGAAATTTTTCTGTATTCTCATTAAAGCCATCTAGTTGAAGATAAGAAAGTGGAGTGAACAGGGTTAAAATATATAAGAATGCATAGTTGGTATAGGTGTAAAGTAGAAGACGGAGGAACATTTCATACGGAGGGAAGAAAATTATGGGAGGAGTATTGCGGTCAAGTATTTGGTATTAGCTCGTTAGAAAATAGCTTGAAATCATAGGTCGGGAAATTTCGCTGCTGCTGCTTCGAAGAGTTCCATTTGGCGGCGGTGGTATTCGGCTCGACGCGCTAGAAATTCGAATAAATTTATCAATTTAAGGAGAGCTTCGCATACATAGATACTGCTTGATGTTGCGGGTGAAGTCTGGAATACGGATTTCATCGAGATAGTCGGCTTCCGATAACAGAGCTCCGTTAATTGTATCACTTGAAAAAGTTTCCTTTTTATTTTACATTACCAAAACTTTCTACCTCTTGATTTGAAGCTCCTTGTCAGCTGAAGTCCCGCTCAATTTCTTTCTATTCGTCTCTATCTTCTCTTTCGTCTGTTTCCCGACTTCTACCATTCCATCTTTGTGCGATAATAATCCATCGTATAGCCATAAATTGTCCAGGAAAGGAATCGTCGATTCTAGCGCCGAACTCGTTACCAATTGCGCCGATTCTTCAAATGTCTTTCCCGCAGCTGCCGTCGCGGTCGCCAATTCTACGGAGCCTTCTTTTTGCTGCTTGGAGGCGAAGACCTTGCCGAGCTCGTCGAATGCGCGACCTACGTGGATGATTTCGCTCTTTATCGAAGTGTCGTGCGTTTTTAGACTCCTAGAAAGATGATTTTAGCGATTCATCTAGGGGGAGGCTCTGCAATCTGTGAAGAAACTCCAGCTATAAATTGAGAATAAATTGAAATTGACCATTTTAAATGGTAGTTCTGGCTCTTAGGACTTTCTACACAGGTTTACATGCCCAAACCTAAGGCGAAAATTGGAATTTGACCTACCTGCTTAGGGCATCAGCAAGTTGACTCGTTGTCTTATCCATTCCACCAGAGAACTGCTCAAACTTCTTCATTTGATTCTCCGAATCTTTCAAAAACGGCGAATTCGAGGGAACATCGACGGCCTGGAAGAAACCAGCCAACTGATACGGCGTCTTTTCCATACTTCTTTTGTAATTCTTCCATTCCTTCTGGTCTGCGTCTTTTATCGTGATAAAACTCGTGATCAGCTTCGAATTGCACACGATTGGATGCCTGCAGACTTCTTTGATCCAGGCGTTGAGGAGGGTTTTGCGACGTTTGACGAAATGTTCATCAAATCGGCCATTTTGCTGCTTTTCTGGAAGACGAGGGAGGAGTGAGACAGGGAATTGTTCTTTTAGACGAGCTGCCAGCCAGTCGAAATGCTTGTATCTGAAGAAAAGGAATTTCTATGCAGAATTTTACGCCAAATCTACCTTCTTTTAACGGTCACATTCGCGGAGATATTATGAATTTCGTAAAGCGTAAAGACCTTCATTCCCATCCCCTTTCTTCCTTGCTCTGTCGACGTGATTTCCAGCTGAATGCCTGTATTCATCCCTCCTCTCCACTGAACAAGGTGGCCCGGATCGACGATTTCGTATAGTTTTCTATCGGCTTTCTTCGGCGCGAGGCCGATGATGAAGTCTTCTGCGCCAACTTTGATGTATTTTTTGAATCGGGAAATGTCTTTTCCGACAACGCCTTTTGTCGTTCCAGAGGGTTGATTTACCGGCTCACCAGATCTATAAATTCGATGAAACGAGCAATTTCTTCGCTTGAAAACCTGTGTAATAACCTGAAGTCGGGTCCAATAATAGCCTTTATGGAGAGCCGCGTAGCGGCTTTTTATTCTGGCGAAGCCGAAAAGCTTCAAAAAAGTTTCTACGCGTCTGAAGAAGAGAATTTGGGACCCAGAATCAGGCTTCTGCACAGGATTACTAGCAAAGCTTTTACTGACCTTGACGAACTGACTGACGAAGAAGGAGCATGTTCTGGCGAAGCACTTCCTTGAGGACTTCTTGCTGGTTCTGGTACTGGCCCATTCGCGGCTGGTGGAGGTGCAGGAGTTCCAAAAGCACCGCCCCATCCAGGATCTTAAAATGCAAAAGGGTTAATTTTAATTTATTAAGGACGTCTCTCGTCAATCGATTCATTTGTAAATCACCAAATCACACCAGATTTGGGAGAACAGGAGATTATTAATTTGCGAATAAGTTTTGCTGATTTATTGATCGCTTAATTTCTCAATTTTGGGAAGAATCAGATCATACTGTACTGATTTGGAGGGGAGGGAAACTGATCTGGATCTTCGTAAATATGGGAAGCAAGAATTTTCGACTCAGCTTTGTAAGTATTAAATCATTTAAAACAAATTTCAAATCAAAGCCTAAAAATCACGGATTTTGATTAGTTTGTGAGAGTAAAGATTTGTTTTGATTGGTTCTACTGAAAAAATTACATCTTGTGGAGGTTGTTCTCGCTGGCGGAGGTGGAAAATTCACAGCTCTGAACGTATTATTCGCGAAAGAAGAATTCGATGTAGGTTGGATATAATCGCCATCGTCTTAAAAACTTCTCTAAGCACCAAAAACACAATTCTAGCACCGAAAACGTCACCAACACTACAAACCAATGTACCCATTAGCTGGATCATTCACGACTGCGTCTTCAGTTTCGCATTTTTCGGTCTTTTCTGAGCTATTTTGTTCCGCTCTTTCGTTCTTACCCGAATCGGAAGTGAAGGAATCGTTGTCCGGAACGTCGTCGTAGTTCTCTTCGGCAATTTCTTCGACGTACGAAGCTGGGACGATTCCTTCTGCGCCTGTTACAGGATTCCTAAAGATTTTCTATCAGATAATTTGATTTCAAAGCGAATTAATTGTTAGGCCATTTAAGGCTTTCAACTCACTTTGCAGTCCACCAGCCATCATCATCTCCTTTGCTCGTGACTACAAGTTCTTCTCCTTCTCTGACTGTCAGTTCTGAACTGTTCTCTCCAGTAAAATCGTAGAGGACTCTGCAGCGCATTTTCGAAAGACTTAAAAAGAGGCTTTTGAAAATTGATCACGAGTGGCTCGGAGGATCGCTGGGACGACAGATTTATCGATTGATCATCAAATGCTTGAGCAGGGCAAAACAAATTGACGATTTTTTTTTATTTTGTTTTTTGTTTGAAAGTGGAAATTGAAGGAGCTTTTTTGGGATGGCCGAGAGGTGCGACCGCCCGCTTCTTTTCTTTTTATGGCGCGATTCCGGAGATGCTGCTTCCGGATGTGGACGCGGCGATTTTAAAAGAAGGACTTTTTAACCTCGAAACATCGTTCTCGTGCTGATAGACAGGGCCCGAAAACCTGTGTAAAAACCTAAGACAGGGTCTTGAAAGAGCTTTTTTGCGAAGATATGCGGCTTTATATCGGCTTTTTCAGGACCCTGACTAAGATTTCTACACAGGTTGCCGAATTAAAGAATCGGTCTTTTTAGAAATATTTTTCGGCTCAAAAGCCGTCTTAAATGCGCTGAATTTGAACTTAAATACTCATCAAAAAAATTCTGAAAAAATTGGAGACCAACTAATTAATAAATTTACATTATATTTTTACAAACCTTATAAAAGCTCTTCTTTCTTCAATATTCTCTCATCTATCTTCGTTTGTTCTTTAGTTCTCTGAATGAGCCTTTCTGCTCCGTGGGACTACGCGTTTGCAAATATTTTATCTATTTCTCAGCGCCGCCTTCAGAAAGAAAGAAAAAACGCCGTAATGAGTAATTTATCCCAGGACGCGTTCCCCAATCACTTTATCTCTAAGCCGCCATTCAAATGGCGCGCCGCTCCAAACTTTTTTCTTTTTTATCCGTCGCGCGGTGGCGCTTTTTCTGTGAAGAAAAAATTGAAGAAATAATTTCAAACGGTAATTTTTATTAAACATAGAGTTTTCTTTATTTATACCAGAAAATTATTCAACAGTCATCAAATCTGCAGATAACAGGATAATAGTCCACGCAGCGCATGTTTTGCCACCAGTTGGCATCCTGAATAACGACGCAGTCCCGGCCTGGCAGATCATTTGGAACGTCGAGAAATGGATTCCAATTGAAAAATGGAGGATCTTCTCTTTTCATCGTGATGTATTTCGTCTTTTTCTTGTTTTTCATGATTCCTAGCCAATAAGTAGGGACTTTCACGGGAAAACGATTGCCCTTCGATTTTCGTAAAAATTTACTCATAAGTATGGATTTTTCAGCTGATTCTGATGATACCAAAATCTTTTTGATCGGAAAATGCTGCGGAAGACAAACTTAAGACTACTCTTAAAGCTGACCGATTTTTCACCCGAGTTTTCTGGGTCACTTGCTTATTATTTTTCGAAAATTTCTTTGCAAACATGAAGCTTAGGACTTCCGGGAACTTTTTTGTGTTAATCACCCGGGATTGTTTGCATCAGATTCCGTGTACTTGGTCAAAGCAAGCACCCACTGAGATTATGGCGCGCGCTAATGCTTTTTGGGCTCCGCGCGCAGCACTAGCGCGCCTTCATTTTCACTCAGTTATCTGATGATTACAAGCGACGCGTAAACCCGCGTAAAAAGATTTTTTCAGACATTCAGGAGAAGTCTCTGATAGAGAACATATCGAAAAAAGAATGACGGGGCAAGACGGGCTCTATATTTTTTCGATCTTTGAAAGATAAATTCGATGTTTTTCATAATATTCATTGTTTTTTTTGCGAATTTTTCTATCATATTTGGAATCAGCAGGTAAGAAAACATATGTTGTCTGAAAAATCAAGAAAAATGGATGGCTATTTCGGGTAGTTGGGGAAGCGAAAATTGGGCCCTCGCGCTCCCGTGATAGTCCCTACCAATAAGTTTGAATACGTTGCTCTGACTCGTTTAGAACAGATTTTAGCATCTCAAACTCGCTCTTAATTGAATTTAAAAACGCTAGTTCCCGTTGAAAAGATACCTGATTATCGAAGTAAGGAAGAACGCCTCCGAGAAGAGCACAAACTCTTTTCGCTTTCTTCCACTGTAATTGGATAGTATTTGGAAGAACTTCGAACCTTGTACATTCTCTTTCCGGCGTTGTTGTAGTCGACTGACTCGAGCAAGTAGCGCACAATAGCACTTTGAGTATTTTCATAATTTGCTTTTTTTTATTTTTCTGGCAAAAAAAGGAAAGTGTCTCAATTTTATACTCCCGAGAAACGTGGGTCATAATCGGAAGAAAGAGTAAAATCCCCAACGATAGCAAATTGGTAATTTTAAGATTTACAGAAATTACAAAGGGTCATTTGTTCTCTAACATAGAGCAGCGTTTTTTTTTTCATTTCGTTTGAAAAGGCATCTTATTCGATGGATTTATGTAAAATATTTATTCGAACTTGATTTTTTAAAAGTAAACTTTCTTCTGACCGCGTCGACAGTATCTCGGATGTGATGAGTAACGCTCACTGAAAAAGAACACTGACAATGAAACTCGATTTGAAATATTACTTCTTCGGAGGGTTCCAATATGGCGCCCGAGACTTCCAATAGAAGATGAGTCGTCATCAGATGTTCGGATCACTTCTGGTCGAGGGATTTGAATATTGGACATGCTTACTTCGTCAATTTCGTTTTCAGATTCGGAAGATGAAGAGGCGCTCTCTTCGGAAGATTCCATTATGTCCGGAATGACTTTAACACTTTCATAAAGTTGATTTTGCAAAAAATGGCTTCAAAATTTATTAAAATTTTTAGTTATATAAATAAGCCTTAGTATCTCTAGACAGTCAAGTAAAACACATTTAGAAAGTTTTCCTTCGGGTTCTTTTAAAACTGCTGTTCTAGGTTGTCCATCAAATACTGGCGTGCTCGTCCTTGTATCCGTTGATTCTGTGCTCTCTTCTAGAACTGGCGACGGCATCTTTTGCGCCTTCGACGATCGGATGAACCCAACCAAAGTTTCCAACTGGGTCGATCTTCTTCTTTCAGTCTTGTTATTCGCCGCTTTGATTGCTTTGTGCCAAAGATGTTTTATGTATCTTCGCTCTTTATGGCTTAATTTTTGGTTGAGAAAGAAAAATGGTACAAAAGCAAACCTGACGAAAGAATCCTGGTTGAAAACTGTCGAGAATTTTTCTGGCGGAGGACGGGAGGACTTTTCGGAGCGCTTTTGCTTTGTCTTCTTTATTTCGCTCCAAAGATCCCGGACTCTTGAAATTTGTAAGAAAAAATTGCTAAGGCTCAAACCTAAGATAAGCAAGATAGTGCTGAAAAGTCGATACTCGATGCCAAAGCATAGTCAGAAACTGAATCGTCATGACCACAACATAGAAAAGAAGAAAAAAGAGAGAAAGTGGCTCGATTTGGTCATTTTTATCCGCTCCTTCTTCCGCGTCTTTCCCGCAAGTTCCTCCAGGAATGTACTGCTCTGGAATCGAAATTTTCAAATCAGCTTGTTTGACCCCGACCGAAATGATGAACCAAAGAAGATTGATGAAAAGGAAGAAGAAGTATAATTTGTCGCGAAGTTCAGTAAGAGCTGCAGCATTTTCCTCAGCAATGCGGGCTTGTGTTTCGGCATCTTCAGCTTTGGTCTGATTTCGAATGTAGCCAGTACGGCTGTCAATCATTTTCATCCAAAAATCGTGCTCGCTTTTTGAGAGGGTGAAGATTTTTGACTCTCTTTTCATGAGTTTATTAGTAACGAAGAAGAATTACTGATAATTACTTATTGTTCATCAATATAATTCGTGGTTGTATATAACAACTAAGGAAGATCATTCAATTTCTACGATTTCAGGTCTGTCTAACAAAAAATACCCAAAAGAGAGCTTTAACATTAATGTTTGAGTTATGGACCATAATGATTCATTTTTGACTCGTCATAAGCAATGTAAATAACCTGCAAGTCAATATTTTTGATTTCGAAAAAAATAGATTTTTTCGGGTTGACACCCTTAATTTTCAAAATTTTTTTTGCGTTTTTTTCTTGATTAGGGGTCGACTAACACCCTCACAAAATTTCATCCGAAACAGTCAACGGGAAAAATTTGACGAAATCCCACCGTGCGGGCCCTAGTTATGGTCTCTTATTTTAAATTTTTTTCTGTTTTTTAAACTTTCCTGTGGAGCGGCGCTTTTCGATCCAACGTCCAGTCGAAATACTTCAAGTTGTATTCTTTCATCAAATTCAATTCTCTTCTCGAAATATTTACTCTTGAATCGCCGATAATTTCACATTCTAGCTGATTTTCACTCGTGACCTTTGAAAGATTCTGGGCAAAATAGTTCCAGTCGTTTGAGTCCCAATCTGATTTCTTTCTGTTTCCGATTTGTCGTCTGAAGTTTCGAATTGAGATTCCGCCGTAAAGAACTGGTCCTTGGATTCGGAGGTTTGTGAAAGATTCGAGTGTTTCTTTCGTTTCCACAATGACAGGGCGATAAGGCTGGGAAACTGGCTCATCAGGCTTCTTCGTCTCCTCATTTTCTTTTTGTATCTTTTCGGGTTCTATTCCACAGAGGACTTTTTTGGCTCGCTGAAAGAGTCCCATCGCTGATTCTTGAGGATTCTTCGCCGGAGCCTGTTTCGGCCCGGAGCGAGTTCCCCAAGAAACATCGTTCAAATTAGCAATCATGTAGATTTGAAGAAAAATAAAGCAGGTTGGAATGAGAAGATAGTAAATGACCCCACAGAGAAGCGTGATTGGATCGAAATGGAGGATTCCAACGACCATGTGCAAAATTGCCATTCCGATGAAGAACAGAAATGTTGGGTTTATCCAGCAGTCGACGCCGATTTTGATGATGAAAATCAGGACCAACGCCATGATGAACGAGTAAATAAGACTGAAGACCTTTGCCAGGGATAGTTGGACGTCAGAATTTTTGTAGAAACGGCAAAGAATTGCGTAGAGAACAATCGGACCGACAATGAGAGTGTATGACCAGACGGTTGAAAGGGAATCTCCAACTGCCATGTTGAAGGCTTCAGCAACCATCATCACTTTAATAAATGATTAGGAAAAAATAAGAACACTTTTCGCACCTGTTGTTGATAATCCAACGACACTGAATATCAGCAAAAAGAACTGATAAGCAATGTATCCTCTAGAAATATATGCATTGTTTTTCACCGCCTGATCCTTATTCTTTATCAGTTCCCAAATGTTCGCAGTTGTGCTGGGACCCCATCTCCTTCTCTGCTTGTAATAAGTTTCGAAATCCTCAGGGGCGTAGGTCAAACAATGAGCAGCTGATTCAAATTCGATTCTTCCGCCAGCAAGAAGGATGAGTGTACAGAGCCAGCGATCTTCTCCTTGGTCGTACATCAGTTTTTCCATCGGGTTCGTCGCGATAGATTTGTAGAGAGCCATCACATTGTCGGCGCTGAGAAAACTCATCCGCATCATCGAAAAACAACCCGGGGAGCAAAGAACACAGCCGAGAACATGTTCAGTTGCTTTTTGGAGCCAATGACCAACGGCGTATTCGAATCGTTGATACCAAACCAACACTCCCTGTCCTAGGAAAAAACTGTATTTGAACTGTGATATAACGCGAAAGTGTTAAGTGTAAATTCACGATTTCGGAGCATTATTCTGAATTATCCATTCGAGATATTTTGGAAAAAACGATAAATAATTGCCTATAATGAGAAAATTCGAGAGCGCAATGAAATTTTTGAAAAATATTTCCGAGGACCAGAAAGACAAAATTCTTGCTCTTGACTGTGAAATGTGTGGGAATACCAGGTTAACTGCTTTAACAAATAATTTGCATGGAATTTTTAAGGCCACGTGAGGAACGCCATTTGGAGAAACGTTATGTTCTTAAAGCAACACTGATTGACGGCCATGGAAATATCATCTTCGGTACACTCAATTTTAAGCAGATAAATAATTTTCTAGATGAGCTTTGCATTCCCGAAAAGACGGACGAAGACATGAAAACAGATATTCATGGAATCACGAAACAAGACCTTCAGGGAAAACAGAGTTACCTTGATCTTATCGAGAAGGTCAAAGTTCTTGTCAAAGACAAAATTGTTGTTGGTCATTCCTTGGATGCTGATTTAAAAGGCCTTGGCTACAATAAAACAGAGAAGAAACGAATTCCCTTTGAGCATCCATTCAAACTTCAGCGAGATACCGCAGAAAGATTTCAGTGGACAACTGGGAAAAAACGTCCTTCATTGAAGGAACTCGCCAAAAATCACATTGGAGTGACAATTCAAGAGGGAATTCATGATTCGAAAGAAGATGCTTTTGCAGCACTTCTCATCTATGTAGGTTTATTGAGATTCAAAATAGGCAAAAATTTTAGGCAAAATATTATGACTCTTGGGAGATAAGCCTTAAGAAAAAATTTTCAATGCCTTTTCATTGTGAATTATGCAATGTTTTCTGCAAATCTAAGAAGGTCTTACGATCTCACTTGAATGGCAAAAAACATCAGCACAACGCGCTTTTGGCTGGATCAGATGAATCAAGTTCCGATTCAAACGAATGACATGTTGAAAACTGCTCACCTTGTGGGTGAATTTGATTGCAGCATGCTCCCACAGTTCTATTTCTTTTCATTCTCTGCAAAACTAATTCAACCGCTTCTGGTCTAAAGTGAACATCACCATCGAGCGCTAGAATAAACGAATTCTCCTTTGTCACTTGATCATCATTCGGTCCAACTCGCATCTTGCACTGATCAATTTTGTAACCAATCAGGTAATAAAGGTACATGACCATGCTCCATCGTTTTCCTCGCTGAACTCGGTCCGCGTTTTTCAAATGCACATGAAACTTGATTCCCAAGATATCATACTCCAGCCGGCCACCATAAGGAGTAATCACTGTCCTTCCCTTTTGAATAACTTGCTCGCAGCCATTGTGATTCTGCAGCAGCTCGGCTAGAATCTTTCCGAAAGAATAAACCCACTTATTCAGCGTTTGCCATTCATCAATTGAACTTGGAAGCTAGGAAATGGATAGGATGTAAATTGGGCAAATAAGGAACTTACCCAGGAAGGCCGGATAAGTCGCGGGTTTTTCTTGCTATTGTGCGATTCGAAAACATTGTCGAAAAAGATATTTACTGAATAAAAGTCAAGTAGGCAGATACTTTTCAAGATTTTGTCGGTAAAAAAATCCTACCTTCAAGATTGAATTTTTCATTTTTAGGAATTTCTTTGTCATTTTCTCTGTCATGGACGTATTCGATCAAATTTAAAATAGAAGTCAACAGTGTTCTCATTTCATTTTCTTCCTCGTGCCAAAGAGTTGTGCAGATAAATATCATCGGGACCGTCTCACTCTCTGTTTTCTTCAACCCGTCGTCCTCCATGTCTCCAAGATTGAAGGAAGAAATATCGTGCCGGCGACGGTGAAGGAAAAGGGACTGCAGTGTCCAAACCGGTCGGTAGAGGGGACTGTCGAAAAGCATCCGCTCGAGGCCATAAGGATAGCTTTTGTCGAAGAAAATGTGTCGGACGCAGATTATGAATGCAATGCATCCGCAGCCATATTGCCCGAGATGGAAATACTCAAACCAGTCGTCGTTTCCTGTGCTGAAGATGTAGAGAATTTCGGACGGATCTGTGTAGATGGCAGGTACGCCGAATTGCAAAAACATTGGCATACCAAGTAAAAGTAAGCAACCTGGAATCACAAAGGCATAAAGTTGAAGCTTCGTTCGGATCACAGAAACCACAATGTAACTCAATAAAAACGACGTCAAGGCAGCAGTTACACCACATGTTGTTACCCAATTAACATAAGCAGAATCCGTCGACAAAAGACTTCCGAGACCGGCACTCGTGAACTCGATCATATTCTCATATTGATTTTTCAAAATAGCGCTTGAATCAAAAGCCGAGAAAATAAACAGATAAAAGATGCCAACATTCGCTCCGACTCGAAAAAACGGGGCGAGGAGGTGAACCCAAGCGAGTCCTTCGTCTTTTCTGAGCGGCTCGAGCTGGGAATAGTTGCGAATCAGGTTCAGATTGACGGTCAACACGGCCACAATGGAGAGTATTTTTGAGTAGTCCTTGTTGATTGCAAACTGGAAATCATTATCGAGGAGATATTCAAGCAGAAAGAGCGATATTCCTCCGAGAATAAACGCAAAGCCGATAATATCCAGCAAGCAAGACATCTTCATTCCTGTTTGACGCCATTTTGTGATGCAAGAAGTCAACAGAAGAATCCCAACAGAATGTAGGAAAATATACCCAAGTTTGTAGAAAATCAAATTTGGCAAGACAAAGAAGACGAGAACTGCCGTTGCTGAAGCATTCCAGATTTCAGCCACTATTTGGGTGGCGTTTTCTAGCTTTGTCGAGTTTTTGACATCTTTTGACTTGAAGATGACAAAGTAGAGTCCAACGATGATGCCCCGGATTTCCTGGAGACAGAGCGCGATGAGGAGAGTGAAGGATCCCTGGAGAAAGAGACTTTGATGAACTGACTTCTTTTCCTCTGTCATTTTATCCAGTATGCAAGGGTGTTCTGTTTCGAACTGCATAGACTATGCAGCATAGTAGTAATTGTGGTGGCTAGTTTGCGAAGATTGTTAATCAGTACTTTGTTCACCAGTAAATATTTGAAGAGCCGACCACTTTCGCTCTTCTCGAAGCTGATTCTCTCCCCACAAGCGGCGCTAGAATCCAAAGTTGTTCGCAAAACTTGACTTGACTCGAAATAGTTCAGCTGGATAAAGGTATCTTCTGTTGATCGATTCAAATACTCAGCGTTGAAGTGCATGAAATCGACACCAATGCCGGAAATTAAAGAGAAAAGTGAGCAGATGTTGATGAAGCCAAGAGCAAGGACGAGGATCGCGAGAAATATTCCGCAAGCGATTCTGATGAAGATTTTGAAGTAGAGAAGAGGAATAGATGGCAGCGTATTTTCTTCCTTCGATGTAGCCCGGGCTTTTGAAAGTTATTTTTTGTCTTCATTAGCTTATCATTATTTTATCATATTCTTATATTGACGGAAGTACGTGTTGTGTTGTTAATCTTTGTTGGCTTACAAACTCAATGTTGCCCCGAGCGAAAATAACTTTAACATTAAATTGCGGAGACAATTATGGTTTTCGAATTTAAACTTTTCCTGAGTCCCATCTTTCCGGTTCTTCCTGATCAATGATCGACTTTCTTTTTCTCATGATTTTCTATGTTCTCTCTGTCGGCTTGTATCTCTTCTTGAAAATCTACATATTCAACCGTTTATATCAATATTCCCATCACAAGTTGGTGATTGAGTCCTTCTGGAATAGAGTCAATTTGTAATGACGACAAGAAGTGAAAAAGAGCTGCGAAACAAAGGATGTTGTTTACACAGGTTCAATGTCGGATTTATAATTCTATCGTAACAATGAGTACTCGACAAGAATGCGCTTCCTACAGAATCTATTTACAGGAAGACGAAGGGCGGGGAAACCAAACAGAATCTTCTTGACCGAAGAAAACAGCGCGGAAATGGAAAAAACGAGCAGAAAAAAATTCATAATTATTTTCAATGCTGCCATATCTACGTCTTTCATTCTGATACGTGATTAAATTAACCACCGAATAATCCCTGCGTATCTCCTGGTCGCGATTTAGCGTCCTCTTGGAATGAAAAGAAACAAAAAAAAAAGAAATCGATCCTTTGCTGGCCGCTTTACTAAATTAAATATGGGCCACGAAAAAAACTTGGCGCTCGCCAATGGCTCCTTTGATCAAATTAAGAGCGACGGGAGAAAATAGTTATTTATTCAGTTATTTTCAGCCTTTTTTTAATCCAAAAGAGAAAATTTCAAAAAAATGAAGACATAGAAGACTCTGATTGACGAAGAAATTTGCGTCGATTGGGTTTCGAATTGAAGTGCTTTTTTTAACTTTTGAGTTCTGATTGGGGCATGAAAAATGAATGGCAAGCAAGCCTGGTTATCTGGTATCAAGATGTCAATAGAATGTCCTGATAGTCATTTATTATAAATGACAATATCAGGCTCAATCACTCGGACTTCGACAAGCAGTCTGTTATTTTTTCAATTGAGCATTAGACAGATTTTAGACGACATTCAATAATTTCACCGAGAGAAACCTTTTTCAGAAGAACCTTAAAAAATAGAAAAAAGTTGAAAAAGATGGCAAAGTAGCAAAATTTCAAGAGATTTTTTAAGAAAATAGTCTAGAATGAAATCCAGCATTGAAAATCTTGAAAACTGCGATTTTGTTTATGTAAAGAGAATTCAATTTCGGCCGACTTGCGAGAAAGAGCTTTAGGAAGATGAAGAAGGATGAGTTGTTAAGGTTCACGGAGAGAGTTATTGGCAGTTTAATCTCGTCTGACATGCGGTTTTTGATAGATTACGCCCCTCGCCATATTGGTTTTATATGAATTATCGGATTCGCGAGAGGAAAACGCGACAGCATTACTAACCTATCACATCCATATTGAACTTTTGTCAGTACTGACTTTTTAATATCGTCTTTCTTTACAAGTATGAGGGGGTTCTACTGTTGAAACTCACTGATTAAGATACTTTAAACCCAGTTTTTCAACACATGTTGCCGAGCTCAGGGACCCTGAGTCAGGGTTCGATCCTGAACCGTCAGAGAAAAATGCATTAATGCAGTCAATCCCCTTAATAATATTTTCGTTTGTTCAGAATCGCGGTTTTCCAAGTTCCTTTTTTTCTTTGAATGAATTTATTGAAACATTAATGAAGAAAATCAAGCGCGGTACTTATTCTGCCCTTGGCTATATTTTTTCCGAAGCAGCGCAGAATTTTTCTAATTAGAGCCTTTTTTGAAATTTCTGAGCAGCTCATCCCTTGTCGGCTCAGAGAGTGATTCAGCGCGTTGCCGCGAGCGCGGTTATTCTTCCAGTTGAAGCTGCCCCAGTTGATTTTTATTATAGTAGCCCGACTCATTCTTCTTTCGCGACTCGCTGCTTTGTCGAACCAGCGCAAAGTGAGGCAGTTTAAATTACTACTGGACTATTTTACGACAAAAGACTTGGCGAGGACTTTCATAGTCAGAGAAAATAGTTTTCTGAAAGAGAAATTTTCTGCGAAGAAACTCTTTTATTTCTATTCTAACAGTTTTATTTTTATGAAGAAATATGTAGCGGGCCATATAATGAATCATAAATCTCAAACTTTCAAGAGTCATATGAAAATTCTTCTTTTATATTTTCGGGAAGAAAATCAGAATGATCAGAAAAAAGGTTGAAACTGTTAAAACTGGCAATATGCCAGGGATATTTGCTCGAGCGTTTAGTAAAGCAAGTGAGATGGAACGGGCGTCATTATAATATGAATTGAATTAATTGAAGCCACATCCTTTTTCCCTCTTTTGTATATAAGATACAGTATCTTTGCTTTGTCTTCTAGAGCTTGAACTTCATTTCATTGAAAAAAACAGCTCAGAAGACGAAGATAAAGACCGGTTTATTGGCAATAACACGACGAAAAATTGATGTTCTCAGATTTTTTTGACAAATTGTCTTATTATAAGTCCTTATTACTAAGACATATCTGTTTTTCTTTTCATCTTTCTGATTCTTGAAATATTTCTTCTACTTTGCCTTTTTTGAAAAAAGATAAAAATTAATGATTCACCTTTTCAGAAATTTATTGTCGAAATCGGTAAACGCAACTAGCCTATTCAAATAAAACGTCTTCAAAAATGCTACTTTTCTCCAGTTTTCTCATCTCTGGACTCTACGCTGCTAGTGCCTCGATTCAATTCAACAAGCCCAAAATCAAAGAAGGAGAGCAACTAATCGTCACTTGTGATTTGAGTGGATTCGGAGCAGATGTCAAATGTATGAGAGAAATGTTGGAAAATTGGAATTAAACGGTTTTGTTTTAGTTAGAATTTTGAAGGAACAAGAGCAAATTTTTCTATCAGAAGCTGGGGATGGACAAGCTGTAAGTTTCCATATTCAGAATATGATATTCTCTATTTCAGAATCTCCTTCGTTAGGGCTAAAGGACCCCCTGTCAGTTTTTTTCCTTCGAAAAATAGAAATTTCTAAAAACACCATATTTTTGGTTCTTAATGCGTCTTCAGGTTAAACTTGAAAAGGACTATTGAGGACTATTTGACCAAGAAAAATCAATATTTTTGCCAAAATTAGGGCAAACTCGATCATTTTCGCCATGCAAAAAGTCCAATTTTCAAATGCGATTTTGGGGGTGAAGAAATCGAGATAGACCCCCAAAAATAAAGCATCACAATCGTTTTATGACCCGTAGAATCCATTTCCCGGGTCAAAATTTGAAATTCCGAAATTTGATTTCTCGAAAAAGCTGACGGGGGGATGTCCTTAAGGGGAATGGGTCCAGGGTGCCTTTGCCCCTAATCGTTAGGGGGAATCCCCCGACCGTGAATTGTAATTTTGCCTTCTAGAGCCCGCCTTGGCAAGTCTCCGGCAACAGCATCTCAAAACAAGCCGACAGAATCGACATGGCCGAGTACAAATGCATCGCCGAAGATTCCGCCAAGAACTTCGCCCTTACCGAGCGAGAATTAATCGTGCTTGTCCCCCCATCGCTTCCAGTCATCGTAGAGCCAAGCGGTAGGGAGCGAAATTCAATTCAAAAGCACTTAGTGCCCGCTTATTTATTCAAACAACTTCCTGACAATAATTCTTCAGATAAAAAATTAATCGTCGGCAAGGCTGGAGAGTTGGTATGCATTGCTGATGGCAGCCCGCAGCCAACTTACACGTAAGCCATTAAAAAAAATTTGGACTAAAAACAGAACGAAAATCTTTAAATCAAAATTTAGGTGGCACAAAATCGACAAAGCAACAGGAACAAAACTCCAACTTCCCGCTGATGCTCGAACCGACAAAAGATACTTCGCAAATTCTCAATTCACTGTCGATGGAAATACAGTCAAATTCCTCAATGTTACTGAAAATGATGCTGGAGAATATTTCTGCACGGCGAGAAATGAAGCTGGTCAAAGTGAAGGAGAACCGACTTTTATTGGCGTTGGTGAGTTGTCGTTTATTTTCGCAGAAGATGGAATTGCTGATTTAGGTTCGCTGAATATTGCGTCCGTTGTTGGAATCGTCTTCGCTGTCATTTTCGGCGTCGCTCTTATTGGAATCATCGCTTTCGTCATTTTCAAAAAAGTGACAGGTAAATCAGCTCAAAAAAAGCCCCCTCTTATCATTCTTTTAGGCGGTGACAGTGATTCCTACGTGGACGAAAACGAAGTATTCGACGATGAAGGCAACGACGTCGCCATGGGCGAAAGCTACGACCCTTACGAACATCACAAGGGCACGAGCCGCCAGGATTTCTCACACGTAGTTTGAGAAACAATTTGCCAATGTAAGACAATTTTTGTTTTAAGAGAGAGGGTGAAGTGTCTCTGATTGCTTGAAATTGAGACTGAAAAGATGTTTTTGCAAAAAAAAAAGGTTAAAAAAAATTCAATCATTTCTCACCAAAAAATCAATGTTTATAAATCATAAACAAAAAATCACGCAAAAAAATAATTCCAATCAAATTTTTATCCAAATTTGAAAAAACTATTTTTCGATTTTCATTCTTATTTCTTTCATCCTTCAATTCAGAACAGTATGAAACCTTCGAATGCCGATTTTCAATCACGCCTTCAACGCCGGACATTCCTTCAATCACTTGCCTTTCTGTAATTATCGAGCATTCTTCTCCTCTCTCGCTCAACCAAATCAAAATTAAATGTATTTATTTGAGATTTCAAAAATGTCAAACGAATTTGCCTCTAAGATTTTCAAACTTTCCTGCTCACACATTTTTACTTCTATTTTCAGCTTACTTGGCCTAGCAAAAGGTCTCGTTTGTGCATTGAAATTCTTTTCAAAGTTCAAAAAAAAAACAATTGATAGAGACAGTTGTTTACTACCAATGAATATTTGCTTACTGACAATAAATAATTTTACCTCAGATTCTTTTTATGTACTACACAATTGAACGAGCATTGTTATTAATTAATATAAAATAAGTGGCGTCAACGGATAGGATATTTTTGTTGAATTTATTGTCAAAATTCATCACAGTTAAAACATATTTCGGTGAGCTTATTTCTGCCTAGTGTTCAAGGGGGTTCCAAGGGGGCGAAGCGTTAGTCCCCATTAGGGTGAGGTTCCCAGCGAAATTCGCTGAACTCCATGCACTGGTATCGATCTCGACCGTTGTGAGTTCCGTCGACGAAACATTTTGTTCCACTCCAGTTAACATCAATCTCTGCGCAGCAGCCATTCTCGGTTACAGGTTTTCCGCAAATGGCGAGTCGGCCATCTTCGTCTTCGCCATCAGGACAATCAGAGACACCATCGCACATTTGATCGTTTCTGATTCGCTGGAAAATGCCGTCTTCGTTTTTTTCGAGGCAGAATGGATCGAATAAATGAGATATCTTCGACCTGTCATTATGGCCAATAACTTTTGCCTGTTTCGCTAGTCATTGTAGACACGGTAATTCTCGTCCAAAATGATGCGCATTTTCGTAACATTTTTCGCACCTCCGTTTCGGCAACTCCCACTTCTAACTGACAATTTCTTCAATAATCGCAAATGAAGTTATTTTCTTCTTTTCTTTTCAATTCCGCTCTAGCAGGTCAAACTTCCTGTCCAGATCCAATCGGCTCTTCCAAATTATCAATCTACACGAGAGAGAACAGATGCGTGTATTTCTACGACCAGCGAAAAAATTTCATCGACGCGGAAAATGACTGCGCTCAAATTTTCGGAGAAGCAGGAAATTTTGGAAAATTAGTGACAATTCATCACGAGGGCTTTCAAGAGTGGTTTTATGAAGAGCAAAAGAAGCAGCTCGGGACGTGGTCCAGGTACTTTTTGCTTTCAAAAATAATGAATAATTTTCAAAAAAGCATTTGGATCGGCCTCCGCGCAGTTTGCGACACCTGCCCTCTAGAATGGGTCGACAATCAGCCGATGCAATACGAAAACTGGCAAAACGGCGAACCTAACGGCCCCGGGGTGGAAAATTGCGTCGAGCAACATGCTTTCAACGAGTGGCCAGGCGACAATAATGGACTGTGGAATGATATCTACTGCAGCTCAGAGATCAATTATGCTTGTCAAATATTTCCAGCAGGAACGCCAGAGCCTCCGGAGAAAAACTGGCCGACGAAAGGAGGTTGCCCAAAAGGGTGGCTGCAATTTGCAGGGGCGTGCTATCTGATTCCAGTTACTGGCAATGGAGCAGCAGAGGGTCTTCAGGATCGGAATTCTAGAGATATTTTATATCCGATTTTTTCGTCAAGCTTTTCAAGTAAAATCCGACGCAGCTGAAAAATTTTGTTGGCGCTGAAAATGACTGCAAATCTCGATCGCCCGACGCTCACCTCGCTATTATCACCAACCAAGTAATTGCCCTGATTTTTCTACATCTTATTTTTTACATAGTTCCACAAAGCTTTCCTCGCATCTCAATTCTACCGCCTCAATCTTTGGTCGACCCCCTACATTGGCGTCCATGCTGAGCCGGAAAATGGCGAGTTTTACTACGTCGATCGGGATCCTCTTGTTTACTCGAACTGGAAGGCGAAGAATCCAAACATGCCAGACAGTAAGTGTTATTGACATTTTTTTTCAATTCTACACGAAAAAGAGGATGAACAGTAGAAACAGCATCATTGAATATCTTTTCTGAATATTTTTGTTAGATCTTTTGAAAAGGAAGAAAACATTTTACCTTTTTGGGACCTTCCTCCTCTTTCTCATCATCTTCGCTTTTTTCGTCAGACTTCGACTTTTTGCTCTGGGTAGAGGATTTGGTTGTAGTCGTCGTTGTTGTAGAATCGTGAGTGTCTTCGATGATGATAATCTTTGGATTGGTCGTTGTTGTCTCCAAAATTTCAGTCGTTGTTTCTTCGATTTCAAAATCGGGAATAAAGATTTCAGGCGCAGTTGTTCTCACGATCTCTTCAGCTTGAGTCGTTTCGATGATCTCAAAAAAAACATGAAAAAATTTCTTTCTGTATGATTCTTACAGAGGCTTGTGTTGTGTCAATATTCTCTTCAAGTGTTGATTTGGTTGTGGATTCGATTTCTTCTTTTTCTTGTGTTGTATCGAAAACTTGCAAGGAAGATAGTTTTTATCCGAAAAAAAGAGTTTTCCTTACATTCAATTAGCGTATTTCCTTGAGTAGTTTTTTCAACTTTTTCTTCTTCAAAAGTGGTTTTCTCAGTTTCCTCCGCTTTCTGGGTCGTCGAGAAATTATCTTCGCTTGATTCAACTTCTTCAGTTTGAACGGTCGTGGCTTCAGGAAAGGTTTCTTTTGTTGTTGAATTTTGAACAACAGGAATCTCCTCGGGGGATGATGAAGTGGTATTATTTTCATCTGCAATCAAAATTTCGAGTTCTTCAGAGATTGTTGTCTGGCTTTTTTCAATTTCAGCTGTTTCAGTTGTCTGAAAATAGATTTATTTTATTGGACAATTATTGGCGTTTTACATTTAACACGTAAATTCTACCAATTGCGCTTGAACTAGAACTACTAGTACTGGTCGAAGTCGTTGTTGTCGATGTTGACGGCGAGGAAGAGGATGGGTCTTTTCCTGAGGCAATCGTTGTTGTCTTCGTCGGGTTGGTGGTTGTTGTGGTAGTACTTGTGGTAGTGGTCGATGTTGTTGGAGGTTTTTTCGCAAAAATATCGACTTCTTCTATTGCAGCCTTTTCTTTGAAAGTTTCCGGGTAGCCTTCAATATTCTCGTCCCAAATAAAGTCAATGAATCCATCGCCAAGTCCAGTGACAATATCTGACAATTTTTTCTAAATAACTTCTACATCTACACAATCATCATAACCTATTACAAACAAAGGGTCGACAAGACATTTCTTACCTCTGACTCTCTTCTTACTATTCTAGCGCTCAGCCCGTGCGCGAGAATCAAACAGACCCATCGCATTTTTCACTCGTTTCTTTTTCTCTCTCTCTTATTCTCTTCTTTTTCTTCTCGTTTCTCCGGAAATCTCTCTTTCTTCTTTGTCAAACAGGTTCACGAGGCTCTAATGAATCATTTTTAATAATTGACCACGAAGACGGGTTAAATTGTTTATGAGCCTAATTTTTTGATCGTTTCAGAATAAAAGGCCAATTCAGCTGGCGCAGGGACAATCTTAAACTCGTAAAAGAAGATATAAACCTGTCTTGATAGGGACACAGATCAATCAGCAGGGCTTTCTTCTCTTTTCCTCCTTCCTCGAATTCTAGCGCATTTTTAGTTTTCGTCAAAACTGAAAAATTCAAGTTTCGACAACTCAGACAAAAAAAAAGCATGAAAAGTGATAAGCCAAGCAGGATCGCGAGATAAGTTCACATGCCAAAGGCCCTTTTATTGATAAGAATTTATTTCTCCCGAAATAATTTAGGCGAGGAAAGATGCGTCCTTTCCGCTTGGAATACAAAGTCCGCCGATTCCTATTCCTTGGGCGAATGGTCCGACTCAGATTGCTCGACAGTTCGCCCTTGGGTCTGCACAATGCCATTTCAGCCGAATCTGCCAGATTTGCCCCTCCCGAATCCAAATAATTGCCCTTCTGGAATGCTTCCTTTCGGCGCGGATTGCTACGCATTTTCTGATGAAAAATTTACGTTTGACGATGGACGGGCTTATTGTGATAATACATTTGGAAAGGAATTTAAGAAGGGCAAAGCGGATTTGGCCTCGGTCATTCATCCCTATGAAAATGAATTTATACAGGTTCGATTTTATTCCATGAAAATATTTTCTTATCTTGAAAAATCAGAGTATGCTTGGCGGTGATTTGACTGGCAGACGAGCTCCAGAACGAGTTTGGCTTGGCCTTCACATGCCCTCTTCCGGCGAATTCACTTGGTCAGATGGCCATCATTTCGACTTTTCCAATTGGTGGAGCGACGAGCCGCAAACTCACTCTGGCGGAGCAGGAGGAACCATGGAACCAAGCGGTAGATGGCGCAGTGCTCCCAAGAGCGCCAAGTATCCGGTCATCTGCAAAGGGCAGTTTACGTATCGAGACGAGGATAGCGTCCATGATTATAGAGGAGAGCTGCTCAACTGCAGTACTCACAGGGACCATTCTTGGCACCAGTACAAGGAGTACTGTATTCACGCTACTTCGCAAGAGAGAACTTGGACAGAAGCGCAAAATCATTGCCAGGTACGAACCCTTTCCTTAACCCTAACCCAGATTCTTGATCCTAAAAAAGAAAAGATCTTCTTTATCGCGAGAGATTTAGACAGCATACTCGATTCCAGCAAATCTGGCCTCAATTCACGATTCCGAAATGAACGAATACATCTTCAAAATGGTCCAAAAAACGAGCAACCAAGAAGCATGGATTGGCCTGTCGAAGCATTATTCGAAAGGTTATGAATGGGCAGATTCTTCTGGCGTAAATTATCTGAACTGGGCCTCAGGTGAGCCAAGTGAGGTTGCACTTGGAGAGGCTGATTGCACGGAGATGAACAAGGCGGGAAACTGGAACAACAGAGACTGCAACAGAAAGAAACTGGCGTCTGTTTGCTCTCATGCGAGGAAATGGTCAAATTGCCAAGTTGCAGAGGGGGAAAAAGAACCTTGCGGTTATGCCGGCGTCACTGAATCGGTAAGAGTGAAGATTATCATCTCTACGATTGAAAACTCGGGCGATCACTAAAAATATTGAAATATTAAAGATATGCATGGACACATTCAAATGCTGTTACGACCCGAACTCGTCGATGAAATGCTTCATTCCTGCGAATTCAAACTCTAAAAATCACAAAGAAGATTCTGATGGAATGTCTCCCGGAGGCGCTGCTGCTTTGACCGCTTTTTGTTTTCTTACTTTGCCGGGAGTCATCTGGGCCGTCATGAAATTTTCTGGACGAAATCAAATTACTTCGGGCTTTTCGAATCCACAAGCCAATTTTTAATTTACTGTCATCAATTTACCTTCGCAATTTAACATTCTTAATAAATCTCAATCTGATAAAATTTGAAATATTTTAATTAATTGTTGCCCTAATTCTTTTAAAAAATTATGGTTTGTTTAGCAAAATGCCATAAAAACGAGAAGCTAATCTCTGTAAGGTACTCGACGATAAGATTTTAGAATCGGACTGGATTGAGGCATGAATTAAGAAGAAACCGCTTTGCGCAAATTAGCATGCGCGATAAGATGACGTGGTTTTGGTAACTTTGTTCGGAGGACGTACCGATTACCAACCCAAGATCCGATCTAGAATTTTTTAATTGATGGTGCACGTGGCTATTTTCAAGATTCCCTCTTCAACGAGAATTAAAGCTCTCTTGCGCCGAATGACCTTTCCATATAAAAATCTAACTTTTCGATGATACCTTTCATTACAATTTTTGAAAGATGAACAATATCTTTTTCTTTTTAGTTGTGGTTGCAATTTGCGATTCGTCGTTGGTAAGTAAAGATATCCACGAGAAGAATAGTAGATAAATGTGCATTTTGTCAAGGCAAGTTCTAATTTAAGTTCAGCCATACTGTGTCAAATTCGAGACACAGGCGGAAACGAAAAAATTCGATGCAGCTGAGGCACATTGCGTATCACGAGGTGGTCATCTTCCTTTCTTCAAAGTTGCAGACGAGCTCGCTCTCTTTAATAACCGCCCAATAAAATTCGGAAAAGAGTATTTGGGATATCATCGAGACTCTAACAAAGTTTGGAAAACAGTGGCCGGAACTGACTTGACAGTAACAAACTGGTACACGAACGAGCCACGAGATTGGGGTGGACAGAGTGAAAACTGCGTCGACTCATCCACAGAATCGTTCAGAAATCTCACATGGAACAGCATTTTGTGCTCGAGAGACCGTCGATTTCACTGCCGCTTCGAAGCGTCAATTTTTCCTGATGCAAGCTGTCCAGAATCATTCACAAAAATAGTTCCCAACCGCGAACCTACCTGCAACGAGGATGTCATAGGAGAAACACCGCACTACCAAACGATTCCCAATAATACGATGATCGAAACCTCCTCCTGCGAAGCAATGCGAGAATCGAATGTAATTTCCAAAAGATTAAAGCAATGCCAGATGGATCTGGCACGATGCTTCTCCGAGGATACCCGAGCTTCCATGTCGAAGTCGACAATGGATTTTGGCGGAGTCAACCTGGTTACCGGATACTCCTCAGCATGTTTTTTGGCAAAAATCAAACGTCAACATTCTTTCCGTTTGACGGCGAACAAAGAGAAACAAGCGTTTTCTTTTTAAATGAAAATGAATGCACAGAGGGTGGCTTCATGAATATAATTGTCGATCAATGGATTGGCGAAAATGGGACGTTTTTAAAACAAATGAAGATAGACGGAGTAACGAGATTGGTGACTTCATCAATCGGAAGTGAGTACTATACCGGAGGAGGAGTCTCGTGGCACACGGGAGGCAATGGACTCGACAACGATGCAGTTACCGACATTGGTATCAAAAATTTTTCGATAAGGACATTTGCTCCAGTCGCAACAACAACCACTACAACAACAACTTCTACCACAACGAGAACAACATCGACAATTGCAGAGAGACTTACAATTCTCCATAGTCATGCTGCTGTGAGAAACAAATCTGATTATCAAAATTTTTTTTAAATCATTTTTAGAATATTTACGCCAATATTGCTGGAACAGGTTATGCCGAACGATTCGAGGGAAGAATGACCAAAATTTTCGAAAAACTTGAAACGTCCGCTACAGGAGAGGATTGCTACGAAGAAAATGGCTTTGGTCAAGAAGACGAAGAAGCAACTGATGTCTCTGGTTTCGACGCGAACGACATGTGTAAACTCAACAAACAAATCAATTCAGCAGTTAACAGCTACGCCAGACATTACGCTTGCGAAGGAAGAGGAAAAGTGTACCGTCAAATCATTCGATCTGCGAAAAAGGTCAAAACATTTTTCGAAGAACGATACGGATGTTAAATAATAATAAATAATGTTAAAAATGTACCCGATGAACCGATTATAATAACAATATTTTCTGCTCATTATTTTTAATCTGCCAACCAAACCAATAAAATAAATTTATGAATATATGAATCTTTGCCAATCATAATTCATTCGCAAAAAAAACAGCGAAAAGACAAGACAAGACTAGATATATTCTTCTGATTCGATGATGTCGATTCTGTAATCATCATCCATTGATTGCTCGGCCGCTTCTTCCAAAAGAGCATTTTCTTGAAATAAAAAGAGGGATGATCAGGAATGTCAATGAATAATTTACCGATGTCATTAAGCTCTTCGGCAATAAGATCAAGCTCCAAGTCTGGCTCCATCGCAACATCAAAGCCCTCATCCAGATCAGCTTCGGCTTGTTCTGCCTCTGCTTCTTCCGCTAAAAAAACAATCTCCTTCTTCAAGCTCTCGAAATATTATACCCTCAGCTTCCTCGGCGATTTCATCGAGGTCGATGTCTTCGTCGTCTCCGCCACTTTCGCCGTCACCTTCGTCATCTCCATCAGCGTCGTTTCCGAAGTAGTTCGAAACTTGCTAAAATAATGGTGGCAAAACTCTACCCAAAGAAAAATATAACCGTTGCAGGCCGAGAAGCACCCTCAGTTCGTCCCAAAAACTCATTCTCCTCGTCAAGCGCCTGGTCCAATCCGTCCTCGCCATCCTCTCCTGATTCAAACTTTTCTTCCTCGTCGGCTTCTTCCTGTTCCATCATCGCCCGTGTCAGTGGATCCTCATAGTCGTTCTCCGAATCATTGCTTCCTTCCAGCGACTCTATTTCGTCTAGATTCTCTTCCGTCCAATCTGGTGAAGAAGGACGGGCCTTGACGCTAGAAACTCGCTGAAAATTCGAATTGCGGAACGCATCAATTTCTTCGTCGTCGACAAAATCGACAGACTTTTTACGTCTGGTCGAAGGGCGAGATTTCCCGGAAAGAGAAGAGATGCGAAGGTTGGAGAGGCGCTGAATAAAATTTCCTTCAACCTTTTTTTCCGGCTTTTTCAGCGCGGATTTTCGTGGAACGGGCTCAATTTTCGGAGGCAGCAGCTTTTATAAGTTGAAAATTTGAGTCGAAAACTTAGGGAACTATTTTTGAAATTTTCAACTCGAGAAGCCAGTAAGGTGTTTTCGGAACACCATTCACCAAAGCTGCTTCAATTTTCTCTTGACTGGGAACAAGCCAAATTGGCTTGAAAGTGTTGCTCATTTTTCCAGCTATTTTTTCGAAAGCAAAAGTTTCTCACATTACTTTATTTGCAGTTAATCATGAATATGAAAGTTGATCGGATGATCATCAATGTTTTCTCGATGACCGACTCTTTGCCACACTCGGGCTTTCAAAGGGCGGCTTTTTTCGCTCGAGAATTGTTTTTATCCTCCCTTCGTCGTATGTTTTGCCCGGAAAGTCTTCGTTATCTTCTTCAAACTCTTTGAGAAACTCGTTGTTGAAATGGAAACAGATCTTTTCTCGTGTAAAAATTGACATTCCAAGAGGGGTGTAGTCGAGTTGCCAACCTTTCTCAGCTTTTAAAAATCTCAGTTAGGGTTAAGGCTAGGGTTAGGGTTAGGGTTTATCATTTTTTCGAGAAAGATAGAAGAATAAATTCAACATATTTTGAAGCATTCCTATGACGGCTCCATAATGAAGATTTATTCTGAAATAGCATTCAAAATCTCTTGCCACTTTGAACCAAAGCCCTCTCGAATCAGCGACCCAAATTGAACCATCCTTCTTGAACCCGATCGGTGGGCAGCAGCGGCAGTTATTCAGGCCATACATTCCATCTTCTATTTCTGTCAGCTTGTCCATTTTGATTATTGAAAAGTGACCGATCGCTTTTTTGTTGCTCGCTTTATTCTCGCCCCAAGAAAGTTCGGCACCGTCGGAATCGAGAAAAAATCGGGCTAGAGAAGCCGGAAGAGGGAATTCATTCTTTTTCTCGAAATATTTCAATTGATGCTCTTAAATTTTTCCTCCCTCAATAATGAATTTTTCCATTTTCAAACCTTGGCCAGGAGAGCGAACTTCAACTTCGACCCAAAATTTGTCCCCAAGTCTTTCTTTCAGCTGAATTGCTAGTGTGTCTATGTCTGTTTCTCTCGCCATTTTTTTTCCTTTTTTTGAGTAATGAATTTCTGCTCCTGCTATTCCTCGTTTCTATGACAACGAATTTTCCTTTCGAATGAAATCAACGAAGATTTCGATTTTTTATTATCTTCTCTAAGAAGAGAGAATGTTTTCAAATCTAGCAAGCCAGTAAGGAAGCAGATAAACAGTTCCGGGGTATTCTCGGTTGCCGCCAGAGCCGGTAAACATAAACGGGTCTTTGTTCCACTGAAGGTAGGCTTGCTCGTCTTTTGGAATCGGGACGGTCACGTGAGAGCCATAATCTCCCCAACGATCTTTCAAAAATGTTGAGGAAAAATTATGTGATCTTTTTTAACCTTGATTCGGGTCCAAGTACATGTCCTTTCGATTCTCTCCCGGGGTCGCGTTATAGTCCCAGGTCACTTGGGAAATTGGCATTCTCACCAAATCTTTGATAAGAATGTTTTTTGTGAGCTTCTTATCTTCATCAGAAACATCTTCTCCAAGAAGTGCGAGAAAGATTCCCGCCATCACAGAATTTTCGGAGTAGCTGACGTGTTTCCAGGTTTTGTAGATGGAGTTTTTGAAGACCATAATTGTTTTTTCGTCTTTATCGGTCTGATTTTTCATTGTGCAAAAATTTGATCGAATATTACCAGAAACAGATTCAAAATGTACACAAAAGGAATTCCTTGAAACTAGAGCATGAATAATGATGCATTTAAATAGAAAAACCAATATAATTTTTTCTTATGAAATCTTGAAGACTTTGCCTAAACTTGAAAACTGAGAGTCACGAATGACCGTGAAATAGAACAAGTAGAACGCCAAAAATTGCTGCTCATCGTCACTGTAATTATCCTCGCTCGTCGCCTTAATTTTTTATTCACGCCCTTCTAGGAACCTAAAAAACCTGAAGTTTGACATTTCCAAGATTTCTTTTATAATTTTCCTCATTATAAAGATAATCAAAATGCGCCATGTAATCATTTTTCGCCGTGATTCCATATTTTTTCGCCAAAACTTCGCCGGCAGCAAGATAGGAAAGAATTTGAAGCGAGTTCAAGCCACGCTCTGAATATCTGTCCATATCGTTGTTGATCGAATAGGGATCCCAGTGGCCCCATTTCGTAGGAACGCCGTCGTAATCTGGCATCGTGTAGCCATTCTCAACAATCCGGTCCAAAATATCTAGAAATCCTCGAATGACAAACTCTTTATCCTCTTCTTCTGCCACTAGCTCAGCGTAGATTGGATCAACAAACATGTGGCCGACGATACTGTCCTGAGAAATTGTCGATTTCCACCAAAGTTCTTCACATTGGTCGCAGGGGAGTTCGTTTGGTTCCCATTTCTGCCATTTTGGGTCGTTGTTTGATGACGTCGAAATACAGCGAGCTCAAAAGAGTATCAATCATCGTTTCTCCCTGTTTCATACCTAGAAGTCCTCGCTGCCCAGTTACATCCTGTAAGAGCCTAGTCCCACTGTACATATGCTCGGCATTTGCTTTCGCTCTTTCATCCCCAGTAACGGAATATCGAAAACTCTCCGCGGCAAGAAGCATTGATGTCCAGAGACCATCATTGTCACTCGGTCCTTGAGATAGGTTTTTCGCCGGGTTTCCGAACTCAGGATAACCGATTGAAGAAACAAGTCCGTGCATCGGATGATTTGGGCCTAGAAGGTTTAGTCCGTGGCGACCAGAGTTGTAGACTTCTAGGACTTTGTCGGATTTGTCTTCGAAGGTCTGATTTTTATTCACCGTTATCCAGCTCAATCCATCCGTGGTCTTGACCAACGCTCCTTGACTGTAATAATCAGGCCATAGAATATTAAGGGCTTCAACTTCGTTACCAACAAGCCAGCGATAGCCTTCAAGAACTCGCCAGGGGGATGAACTTCCTTCTTCGAGGAAGAAAACTCCCGACTTTGTTCCAACAAAAGCGACGAGCCCGGGATCCTGGAATGATATCGTTTCCAATCTCTAAAAACCATAAAGGAGAAAGTTTTTTTTTCATCCGGTAATTTTCGCCAATAATTCTAGTGATTAAAGTATCTGACTCAAAGTCTACACTGTTTAAGTCATGGGAGCTATTCAGAGATAAGTGTTGAAAGCATAAATTTACCCTTTCCGAGTCCGGCTGATATTTGCCCCAATCAATGACTCCTACGGCGGTAGCATTCCCAAAAGGCACCCCTTGTTTGGTACTCCCCATCCTCCACCAGGACCCATCAGCGTATCTAACATTGACAGATGCGACATCCACGGTCATGATCTTTCTGATTGCATAACTGGTAATTTCAAAGTCAAAGTCGGTGATGACTCCATCTGTCGTTTGCAGAGTCCTGTCCCATTCCCAGTCGAAGACGTACTCGCTTTTATCCTCCAGAAGATCCTCGACATAGAAATTTGTTGTGTTGAATCCAAGGTCTGTTGCCAAATGGCAAAAGATTTGCCCTTCCGTCAAATCAGGCTGCGACTTCAAAATCACATCTTAAAGTCGTCGCTAAAAAGCTTTATGGAAAGATTTTTTTACTTGTGACTGGTTCAAAGTATTCATTGACGACATGAGCTTCGTCGAGAAGAAGATTGTAGTAAAACAGTCGCTCTGAGCTGGAGACGAAAACGATTTGTGGCGCGATTTGAGTGATCGCAAGAATATCTGAATCCTCTGCTTTGAACGATTTGGAGAAAACCAGCTGGAGGATTGTATCGTCAAGAAGCCATTGTTTTATTTCAAGAAAGCCGGATTCGAGACAAACGCGGGTGATCATGTTCTCATAAAAGCTGACTTGCTGGCCGTCTATCAGACAGTCTTCGGAGCTATTTATATCAGCAGTTGGAACACGAAGCTTTGTAAAATTCATGGGGTCGGTTGACTTCCACAAATAGATCTCCTCGGAAGAAGAAGTATCTCTGAAGATGACAGTCTGCCAGTCGAGAAGGACCATTTCCGAGTCTTTTGAAAATGGCGTGACGGGAATGTTGAGTTGTCTTGAGTTTCCATCAGGAAATCGAAATTTCTCACTTCAAAGCATTGAAAGTATGAAAAGCGAGTTGATTACCTGTAAAGCTGAGTAAATGTCTCTTGTGAAAAAACAAGAGCGGGCAAAATTGCCCGGAAAAAGCCCCTCATCTCTAAAAATTGAATTTTCGAACCCTTTTTGAGAAGAAAAAAAACTAAGCATATGGAAATTTCTCATGATTTTTCAAAGTTAAACACGCCCAAATGTCTATTTTCAATGCATTTTTCAAGCACGAAATTTTCGAAATGGTTCGTTTTGGAGTAAAACTCACTCTGTTTACCACCCATGTCGTTGTAAACTTTGATCGAAAAGGGATGAAGCGACATTGCTTTCTGCTCCAGTGAGCAAATCTGAACGGAGTTGAGGGAAAATAATCACACTCGAAATTTGCTACTTGAAAATCCCAAGCAACGTTTTTTTAAGAAAAAGATGCCCGAGCACACAGAAAGGCAAAAGTTTCTGCTGAAGAAATACAACATGGACCCCGAGACTTGGCTCTCACGAGATGAACTAGAAGAGGGAATCAATCAGTATGTGATTCGAAGCAAGGGATCGAAGAAGACAGTACGACGGAATATTTTGCAATTGAGGGCAATTTTCAAAGGATATCGCTTCCGACCGCCTTCTTCTGGTGAACACAGAGATGAATCGATGAATCAAAACGAAACGATTGAAAAACTCAAAATTCAATTGAAAAAAGAGCAGAAAGAAAATCTAAAATTGCACGAGAAACTTTTTCGATCAATCAAAACGCAAGAATCCGTCAATAAAATGAATGAAAAGCTCCTCGAAGGGAAAGAAAACAGCCTCCTTCAAAGGAATTAGAAGAGGTCGAACAGGCCTTACCAAGATGAAAGAAACAAGATATAAACATGCCATTTAACCTCTTTTGAAGCTACCTTTCTACCTGTCATTTCAATTAAACTTTATGAAGTTCTCGAAATTTATTTGGTCAAAAATAAAAAAATTCAAACTGAATCAGAAAATTCGCATTTTATTTCTTCGACTTTTTCGTTTTCATTTTCGTCGCTTGTTTTTTGCAGCTTTATGCTTCCGATATTATCGCCAGAAAGAGGAATCACGAATTTCGAAATAATTTCAAGCTCTGGAGAAAGAAATTTCGCGGAGTCGATGGAATTTTGAAGAAGTCGTCGAAAATCCCGGTACTCGTCATTTCCCTTCGCAGCGATTTTCTCGTCGCTTTTCAGAGAATCTAAAAATTTTCTTAAAAATTGCCGTTTTTCTTCTTCACCTGAAAGCCTTGCTAACAAGTCTGAGTACTGCCTGACACTCATCGCCATCTCTTTAATGAATTCTCCGAGATCTTCTGCGCTCGGCAATTCTCGCTCCTCGTTGATTTCATTTCCCAGAAAACGAGCTCGCTCAGCTGGGTCTGCTCCTTTTGCTCCGTTTTCAACACTGGCGGCAAAATTTCGATGCAAACATCTAAAATAATTTTGATAAGTATGAAAAAATTTAATAGAAAAAGGAAACTGCCAATTTTATATAAGGAACTCGAAGCCTTCCTTTCGTACCTCAGTAACTTCATTCTCTTCGCCACCTCTAAATCTTCCTCGCCCCGCACTTGGACTTCTTCATCCCCACTTTCTCCTTCCATCCCATCTAGGGTCGGACTCCTTAACGCTTTCCCAAAAAGGATTAAGGACAGGGAATTTTTCCGTCGAAAGCTTATTAAGGATTAAGGAAAGGAAACTTTTCCGGGCAGAATGGAAAAAAGGATTAAGGAATGTCCTTTAAGGGTTTTTCGAAAATTCAAAAAATATTAAGGAAAAGGGTTTTAGAAAGGATTTTTCGCAATTTTTTCGGGCCGAACCAAAATAGGGAAGTAATAAGCTAGGAAGTGACAAAAAAGGAAGTAATTTTTTTGAAATGGGTTTTCATTGGCCGGTAGGCCAAATGCAGAGATCTTATTGGTCTTCAGAAAATGCACTTCCTTTTTTGTCACTTCCTAGCTTATTACTTCCCTATTTTAGTTCGTGCCATTTTTTCGAATAAAATCAAACCCAATTTTTGTTTAAAAAATTTGCCACGGTCAAAAATGGACTGAAAAATTCTTATGGGGTGAAAATTTGGCGAAATATCCTTTCTAAAACCCTGAATCTGAAAGGATTTAAGGGAAAATTATCAAGGATTTTTTTTCCTGAATAAATGCCCAGAAAGGATTAAGGAAAGGGTTTTCCCTGTTGCAAAAATCAAAAAGGATTAAGGAAAAAATTAAGGATTAAGGAAAAAGGATCCTTAAAAAGGGTTAAAAAAAGGAAAGGAGTCCGACCCTAGATCCCATTCAATCTCCTTCGTTCCACTGCTCTCTGATAAAACTGCTCCAAATAAGAAGCCGAAGGCAAAGAGAACCCCTCTTGACTTCTTGCCGAGCTCTCTGGAATTTGCGCCACGCTGCGATAGATGTTTACAGTTGGGTTGTTTTCCACCAGAATTATCTCGCACTCCGGACTGAAAAGAGAAATTATTTTTTCCTCAGTCGCTCGTAAAGATAAAGAAAATGAGTCATTTCGTTTTTCTCTTACCCGTTGCCAGCGATCCAGTAAACCGGGCTTTTTGAAATCATCAAAAATTTTATCGAATACATAGCTTTAAGCTTATAGTACATAGCTTATTTTTACGATAAAGGCTAATAATTCGAAGGGTGAGCAAGGGCATACTTGCAGAAAGTCAAGAACGAACAAAGCCACCCCTTTTTAATTTAAATTATAAAAAAAGGATTTTTTATATTTTTCTTCATTAACAATAATTAAATGACTGTTTCCCTCAGGGTTCCAATTTTGGCCGAAAAAATTTTGGAGTGGAGTGGAGAGATGAGTGGATAGCCCAAAAAATTTTTTGAGCGGAGTGGAGCGGTGAGTGGATGCCCAAAAAAAATGGTTGAGCGAGTGGAGTGGGTGAGCGGAGTGGATTTTGAGTGGATTTTGAGCGGATTTTTAGGGAAGTTTGAGCGATTAAAAGAAATTTTTTTCATTCTTAAATCCATTATAATGGGTCGTTGGGGGGAAGGTTATCAAAAAGGTTGAAAGAGAGCAGACGAACAAAAAAGGTTCGACCCCCACGAGCAGACAGAAATCGAAGTCATCTTTGCACGCCGTGAGCAAGCCTTTCCTTGTCTGAAAAAAGGGGTTTTAAGAAAGAGGGGGTGAAAGGAAGAGAAAGAGGGGGCGTAAAGAATTGAGGTTGAAAAAGGTCGAGCCCCCACGAGCAGACAGAAATCGAAGTCTTCTTTGCACGCCGTGAGCAAGCCTTTCATTTTTCTGATCATCAAACTTTTATGAAGAAGTTGGTCCTAAATTGAAGGTTGATCCTGATATTATATCAGTGATTTATTCTCTTGATTATCCCCTGAGAGAATTCGATTCTTCATTAAAAATAGACAAAACTCTGTATCCAATCAGAATACGAGAAAAGGAGCGCTAAAGACAAAAATCCACTCCATCCGCTCAAAATCCACTCCATCCACTCAAAATCCACTCCAAAGTAGATTTTACAGGTTGGAGTGGAGTGGAGCGAATGAGTGGAGACTAAAAATATAGGCTGAGCGAGTGGAGTGGAGTGGATCCACTCCGCTCACGCTCCACTCCACTCCGCTCAAAATCCACTCCATCGCTCAGCAAAATTGGAACCCTGGTTTCCCTTGAGTCCGGCTGCAAAATCGCCGATTTGTACAAAAGTCGCATTCTGGAAATCGGTATTTCCTGCAGTCCCTTCTCCCTAACAGCAACTGCTACTCGTTCTTTCAGAATTCCAATATTTTCATCTCTCTTGAAAGCGACTGGAATCTTTTCTCCGCGATAAACAAGTGTGAATCTAATCGAGAAATGAAAAAAAAATCTCTCAATTTCAGAGCTATTTTGATTTCTCTTCCGTCCGTAAAAAGGCCTCGCGCTTCATCCAAAGTTCTCTTCATTTTCTTTTCGCATAAACTTTTTGGACTTGCTTTTCTTCTATCGGATCTTTAAAAACGCACTTGAATTGTTGAGATATTTTTTGTATTCTCTTGCCAAACAATGACTCGCTTCTCCAACAATGCCACTGCCAGAAAATTGTCAGTTCTGAGGCTTGACCCGCCTGAGCTCGGCATATCTAGATAACTTCTAGAAATGAGTTTCTTTTAAAAAATAATTTTTTTTTCTAGAAATGAATTTTTTTCTTGAAATGAATTTTTTTTTCTAGAAATGGATTTTTTTAGATACTTATTTTTTTTCTAGAAATGATTTTTATTTCTTGAAAGTCTTCAAATTTGTTTTTTTTTCATTTATTTTTTATTGTCGACCAGCCAGCTGGGCAGTGATAATTAACATAAAGCAGTTGAATAATTTTAAAAATATTTGATGTTTTCATTTACATTATACAAGGATATGAACAGTTCATTAAATAAAGGTATGGAATTTGAAAATCTAGAACGCGTCAAGTCGAGCTAGCAGCAGCAGGAAGAGGTGGACTTGTTGCAGCCGAAAGCAGCTCGGAAGCCTTCGTGCTTCAGCTGCTGGAAAAAGTAGCGAGTGTGAGTCAACAAGTTGTCGTTGTGGAGAGAAAGCTAGAAAATGATTGAGGAACCGCGAAACTTGAAGGAATAATACCTTGACTTTTAGAGCCAGATACGCGATGAGCCGGAGAACAAGGAAGAAAATGATCATCATCGCGCAATCCCAGCCGAAGTTTTCGCCTTTTGCGTCGAACTGAGACATGATCTGCTTTGGGTTGTCAGCGGCGCACTGAGACATCAAGCCAAAAATATCATCAACCATATCCGGGTCTACAAAAGTCGATTGGCCCCTTCTTTTGAAAAAAACGTGTTACCATTAGGAGCGTCGCATGCGATTTTTTCCCGATCGTTTCCGGAAAAATCTGGGCCGTAGATTGAAATCAAGCTTCCTTCGAACGCGTAGCGGACGAAAGAACCGTAGCTGCACCATTTCAAGTAGACGGGAACCATTTCGTCTTTGATGAAGAATCCGGCGAAAAGAAGCAAAGGCACGCAAGCTACGGGGCCCATGAAAGTTGCCACCTTGAAAGCAAAATTTCAAAGAAGAACAATGATTTGCGAAGTACCTCAACTTGTGGGGAAGCAGCGCCAATGAGCATTCCCAAGCTTTGGGAAACCAAGGAAGTCAAAACTGACATGATATAAAACATCAAGAATCTGTCGGTGACGAAAGGTTGGCCGGTCATGAAGTAGATGATTACACAGAAAATAGCGGGGAAAACGATCTATGAACTGTAATTGAAAAGTTGCATTTTTCAAGATCTCTACCTGGAAGGGCATATCGGCGCAAGTTTTGGCCATGTAGTACGATTTGAGAGAATACCAGTAGTTCATGTGCTCCCGGACAAAAACCTGCATTTCCATCGGAAATGTCAAGACTGTAGGCATCAGGGCGGAGAAGAGCTAAAACATTTGAAGAAGAAAAACGATTTTTCTCACCAAGAAAAGAGTGACAAGAAAGACCATGGAGACATTTTGTTGAGTGTAGTACGCATTGTTGCCGATATCGTTGTATAAAACACCGATGGCGAGGCCGATGATCACGTGAGAAATGAACCGGAGTTGAGTTAACATTTGATCGCGCATTATGCAAAGAAAGGAACGCTTCAGCAAAATCCAGAATTGCGTCAAAGAAGAAGTGTTGAACGAAAAATGTTCATCGTCGTCTTCATCTATTGTAGGCTCAGTTTTGAGGATTTATTTTTGAAAAAAACTGTCTTATATAAGAAATGAAAAAATCATTTCTAGAATCGAGCCGCTCCTGTAGCAGTAGAAGAACTGTACTCGAGTGGCAGTGGATCTTCGGGCGATGAATCCAGAACTGAATCGACAAGTTGCTCGTAAATATCTGGCGCCGATTTCATTATTCCTTCGTCTGTTTGGAAATCTTCGCAGGCACCTTGAAATTCAAATGAATCATCTTCTCATTGTTGATTTCGAACTTACCTTTTTTGACGGAATTGATGAGGGTGTCAGTAACATCGCCGAATTCGCCACTCGCGACTTCGATGACGTAATCAGCCGGATTGTGAAACTAAAAATTGACATTTTTATTTTGACAGAAAGTGTTTTGTACCTTCGGGCAACGAAGATTGTGCGAGTTGAGGAAAGGAACGAGTCCCTTGACGGTTCCGTTGTAAATGCACTGCCCCGAGCCGAGAATGTAAAGTCGGTCGAACATTTCGAAAAGACGCGCGGATGGTTGATGGATCGTGCAAATGATTGTTCTGCCTCCTTTTGCCAGCGATTTCATCAGCTGGACGACTTGGAAGGAAGTCTGCGAGTCGAGGCCAGAAGTGGGCTCGTCGAAAAACATCACTGAATGTTGGTTTTTTCATGTTGATTTGAGTTTATCCGGGGTCAAGTTTTGAAAACGAGACCTTGGATTTCAATTTCTTACCTGGTGGATTATTGCAAAGCTCCAAGCAAATAGCGAGTCGTTTTCGCTGTCCGCCAGAAAGCGCCGAAGTTTGCGTGTTTCTCGCATTCCAGAGCCCGAGAGAAGTGATAATCTCATTCACCAGTTCTTTCTTGTCCTGCGATTTCTTCAACTTGAGCTGTGCCGAGACCATCATCGCCTCCATCACAGTCAGATGGGGTAGCAGTTGGTCGTCCTGCATAATGTAGCAGCTCTGTTTTCGGAATTTCGAGGGAACGCGCGGTTTTTTGTTGATGTTGACCGTGCCGCGAGTGCCGAGCTCTTTGTAGCCGGCTAGGATGTTGAGAAGAGTCGATTTGCCAGCGCCGGAAGGACCCATGACCGCGGTCAGTTCTCCTGCTCGGAAGGAGCCAGAAACGGATTTGAGAATTGTCTGAAAAATGAATTTCGAACTACGTCATTTGTGAAGTTCAAAAGAGGCGTTGACAATTGTTAATTGGCAAGTTACCTTGAATCCCTTGTCGTGAAAGATTGATCCCTCAGGGACGAAATAACTGAGTTGATTAAATTCGATTGTGCAGGGATGCCGCTTCGGAAGATGGTTGAATTTGTAAGGACTTTCGCGATTGTCAACTTTCTTCAAATTCAGAGCTTGCCGCTCGACTGGAGGCACTGAACAAAAAATTGAGACGATAATATTGGGGAAAATTTGCCTTAAGCCAATCAGAAGGATTTATTAGTAAAATCAACGAATCAAAATCGCGAAAACTTAAAATCCAAATTTTTCATAAAAAATCATTATTTCAAAAATAATTATTGAAAAAAATCATAAAAAATACTTACTCAAAGAGGCGCTCTCATCATTCGTCATCTTCTTGTGCGTCGAGACCTGAAAATCTTCGTTTAAAAGAGTCGCCTTTGTCTCTTTTCTCAAAAGTACAAAAAAGGCCGATTTAGCCCGAGTTTTCAAACAACCAATTTCATTTTTTTCTCTCTTCGGGAGCAGCGTTGTTAATGAAGATCATTGCCCGGGGCGAGCTCCCTGGGGAGCGGGAGCAATATTGCGAAGACTAGCTACAGTTACTGTTAAATTATTTCAAAGCCCGATTGTCTGGACGGAATGAAATATTCAGGAAAAGCGGCTTTGAAAGTCTGCTTTTGAATTATTCCGGAAAAGAAAGTTTATTTCATGAATTTTCTGAGCGGTCAACTTCTTTCACCATTCTAAAATCAGACGAGACAAAAGTTGAATCTTCTCAAAGATTTGTCCAGACAAAATGATGAAAGTCCAATTAAAAAATTGACGTTTTGAAATTGGCCATGAGTTGATAAGCAAATAGTTATTTTATTGTCTGACGTCCAGTGTCCGATTTTATTGACTTTGACAAAAGACTACTGTCTCCTCGAATGACGAATTACTTCCCAGATTATTGGAGTTTTATTTTCAGAGTGTTTATTAATAGCGATTATTTATTTTTATCTTTTTTATTTATAGAATCTTATATTTAGATTCTAAATTTTAGACTGGTTCCAATTAGCAAATTTTTAAAAATCAAAAATGAAAAATAAGGGTGTCGGCATGTTTACTAAGGAACCCCCGTCAGCTTTTACCTTCGAAAAATGAAAATTTCTATAAACCCCATATTTTTTGTTCTTAATGCGTTAAGGTTAAACTTGCTACAAAAAACTGATAAGAGGAACTTTTGACCAAGAAAAATCAATATTTCTGCCAAAATTAGGGCAAACTCGTCAATTTTCGGCTAAAAGTCAAATTTTCAAATGCTTAATTGAGGGTGTAGGAGTCGAGATAGACCCCCAAAAAATGAAGCCTCAAAATCGTTGTTCGACCCAAAGAATCCTTTTCCGGGGTCAAAATTCTAAAATTCTGAAATTTGATTTTTCGAAAAAAGCTGACGGGGGGGGTCCTTAAAAAAACCTGTTGACAAGCCTAACCCTAACCATAACCCAAACATTATGTTCATACGAATAAAAACGACAAATTTGACAAAAACTTACTTCAGAAAAAGTAACGGATCTTTGCCTTTCCGTGACCATTTTTTCTCCAATAAATTCTCTCTTTCAAAAATCAAAAATTAAAATCTCAAATAGAGGAAGGAAATTTTCGAGTTCTTCGAGTCACGTGAGATAAACAGTATATTTTCTCGGCGGCGCGTTCGGAGGAAATTGCGTCTTAGGAAATTGTCGCAGCAAAAAAAAAGTGACACAACTTTTTTTTCTCGCGATTTTTGTTTGTCCTTGAGAGCGACTGGAACTTGCGCAAATTTGCACAGACAGTTGGGTTAACTTTGCATTCCATAAGGCGAAAAGACGACTTTTTATTGAGGTCAAAAACAAGACAAACAAGAATTTTTCAAGGCCTTTTCGAAAAAGGTCACTTTTCAAAGGTCAACGCTTTTTTCTTATTTTTTTTATCGACATAGGAATCTGCATTTTTTCGAGAAAATAGCTTTCTGAAAGTTGACTTACATTTTGAAGATAATTGTTCGTGATCTGGATTGAAGATTCTCTGCTCGTTCTTTTTTGATCGTTCATTTCTAAAAAAAATTTTTTCACGAAAAAAATTTCAGAGATCTCCCGCTCATTTTTTCTTATTTAAATATTTTAATGGATTTTGAAATTTTTCGATTTTCGGACATTTTTGGCCTATTTTTCATAAAAAAATTGTCCTTTAATTTGGGCATTTTTTTCAAAAATTTCCTTAAAAATAAACTCTTATTTCAGGATTTTTGATGAAAGTTTCTTTTAGCAAGGAAATACAATAAGCCGATTTTTAACACTATTTATCATTTGTTTCTCACTTACTGTCTATTGGCTCTCTCTTTTTTCTTATCGATCCCAGCGCGTTATTATATGTATTTTCCCGTGCTCTGTTTTTTTTCAGTAAATCTCTCTCCTTTTCTTTTCTCTTTTTGTCAAATCGATCTATTTGAAAAACGAAAAAGTAAAACGAGGAGTGGGATCAGAGTCTCTCCCTCCGCCTTTGACTCATGTTGGCCGGGCGCCAACGTTGCCCAGAGCAGCTCGATTGAGCCTAATTAAACGCCACACTCGAAAACTTGGACTGTCACCCTTCATCGCCCAAAGACCCACTTGAACTTGAGCTAAAGACAACTCAGCACTTTCTCGTCAACGAGCGCTTTTATTGCGCGAAAACAAGAAAACAATGAGGAATCACTTTTTTCTCTTTTGATCCTCTTTTATCGCCTTGAAACCACTTCACCTTTAATATTCTCACTAGATTTACAACAGACGGAATAAAAATTTTTCTTTGAAAATTTGACAGTGTTTTTGAAATGCAGGGTTACTAACCCTAAGGGTTCGGGTTAGGGTTAGGGCTAGGGTTGCAAAAATATTTGATTTTGTCGAAAGCAGTCATGGCTCGATTTATGTATCGCCACCCTAGGTCGGGGTCGGTTAGGTTTTTCGCTCTAGTTAAAATTTAAGGGTATCTTATCAAACTTAGACTATTTGAGCTTGATAAAATTTTTCTGCTTTCAATTCTCTACTAAGCTTTAGACTAAAGCCTTTAGTAAGGGACTTTAATTTTTGGGATTCGTTACATTTTTCATGAACGGTTCTTTTTCTTGGTCAACTTAACAAAAAAACAATCAAAAAAGGTTTGCTAGCAAATGGCATAAATTGACCGCGAAATGCAATCTTTTACCTTTGAATCTCATCTTCTCAAAAATTATCTCTGAAACGAAATTTCTTCAAAAGTCAAGTGAGCGTCTCAGCTTCAGACATAATTACGAGCTGAGCCGGCTCTCTCCTCAGAGAACGTTTTCATCATGCTTTGAACATCACGAGAAAAATAGCCCTAAGCTAAACACTCTTAAAATACGCTTTTCTCGACAACTATTAATATCAAGCGCAAGATCGAACTTGTTTGAAATTTAACTGAAAAAAACGGATTTTTTTTATGGGACAAATAGTGTCATTACCTTTAAATCTATCGAGGACATCTTCGATACCGTCAATGACGATTTCTGATCTTCTTGATTTTCGCTCTCTTTTTGGCATAATTATTTTTAAGGACGATAAAATGAGACTTTTTAAAAGCTTCGAGAAGGACTTCAAAGCATAATTTTTATAGTTGAGTTGTATTTTCGAGAAGAGTCACGTGACTCAAGAGATAGTGGACACCGGCCAGATCTTGCAACAATCAAGTCAAAATAAGGTCGGAAATGTTGGTGAGTTTGAACATGGTGCCATTTTTGAGTTTTTCAGACCAGGCGTGAGGGATTCAAAGAAGCATGAAAATAAGGCCATTTTTCGGCTGGTCACATAGTTTCGCCAAACATACCTTTGAATAGAAGATAGAATTTGATCAAAGTAGAGACTCGAAATATGCAGTTTTTTATTAATTTTAAAAGCAGAAAATGCTGTTCATTATCGACAATTCCGGGAAGTTTTTTTAACAGTTATTCCGTTCGTTAAAGAATGCTTTGACTTTTCTGGCGGATCGGATGATTTGACGGTATACTTTGCCTCTTCCTTTGCAAGCATAATGTCTTGCTTGACTGTTGATTGCGGAATTGATTTGCTTGTTGAGTTTGCAGATGTTCTCGGCGTCGAAAACAGAGACATCAGCTGCGTCTTCGTCTTCCTCACCAAAGCCATTTTCTTCGTAGCAGTCCTCTCCTGTAGCGGACCTTTCAAGTTTGTCGAAGATTTTGGTCATTCTTCCTTCGAATCGTCTTGCGAAACCGGCGCCAGCAATTTTGTTGTAAATTTTCTGAAAAAAATATTTCTAAAAAAATATTTTTTTCTGCTTACAGCCGCATGACCACGGAGAATTATGATTCTATCCGAAACTGTCGTAGTTGTCGTCGTAGTCGTCGTAGTTGTTGTTGTTGTGCTCGTTGAAGTAGAAGATTCGGATGTTGTCGTACTCGTCGTAGTCGCAGTCGTAGTTGTTGTGGTTGTCGTTGTTGGTGGCTTCGTCGGTCGGAATGTTCTGATCTCATAGTCCTGGATTCCAAGATCCGAAACTGCATACTTTTCCTTGTCGGGTCCAAAGAATCCAGAATTGCTCCCTCCAACGATGTGTCCTGAAGTCAGCCAAAATTCGCTGCCATCAGAAATTACAATCGACCGTAAAACTCCGTCGATGTCCATTCTTTTGTACGTTTTTCCGTCTTCGCTTATCCACTTTACATTTTTTATTATTTTCTGGTCTGAGAATGATATTACCTGATTGACCACGATTTCCATGTATCCTCCTTCGGTGCAATCGTTCTCGTGGAAATATAGAGCAGAAGGGTTGTTGGCAGGGCGGACATCATCCCCGAAAACATGAATCGTGTCATTTTGCCAATTAAGTTTATTGATAAAAATTTGGAAAAGATAGTCCGGATCAGTTTGGGAACCTTCAGATATGGTTCTAACGGTAAAAACATGGCTAGTGGAAACAATGTAAGACCACTTATGAGCTCCCTGTGTTCGAATTTTAGCGAAGTCGCACTCGACTTTCACTTTTATTTCAAATTCTTCGTCCGCTATAGTCTCGCAATCTGTTTCAAATTGTTTGAATGCGCCTATGTCTGGCGAGGGTAAAGGTGGAAGATCCGTCGCACGGAGGGGAGAACTTCCGATCAAAGTATCTTCGCAAGTTGCATTTCGAGCTGGCGGTGTCTATAAACGGTCATTTTGATTGTAAAATTGAGATCTTTCTTACCCAAGCTGGATCGCAAAGTGCAATTTTAACAAAAAAGATAAAGATATTCTTCATTTTCTTTTCATTTATCTGATTTGTTTCTTGAAAATTTCAAATCTTATATTGAAAGTTCATGTGGCGCTAGAGATCTTAAATCTTCAAAATCGCGTATTATTTGGAAATTACTACTTGTAACAAGTGTTTTTAAATCTTGGATCTTTGGTTTGAAATTGCTGGGTGCTCCAAACGGTTTTACCAAATCCATCTTATCAAATCAAACATGACGTGGCAGTTAACAGAACTTTTGCGAAATGGCTCAATTTTTCAGTGTCCCTTTCGAGCTTACGTCGATGTTCTAGATAAATTAAGTTTGCACTTTGTTTTTGACCTTGTTGAATATCATTAGTACTGACCTATTTACTCACCGCAGAACTTTTCACTTGACGACACAATGATTTTGCTACTTACACAACTCAACATCAACAGGTAAACCGACAAAATCATGAATTGATAATAACAGTCGACCCTTATAAAAAGCTACTGGTCCTTTGTCCTCTTACGATTCACCGAGATGATGATGGTTCTTTTGCTTCTTTTCGCTCATGTTTTTCCACTCCGCCGATATCCGATTGAAAAACGCGTCGTTCCAGTGTTCCCAAACCTGGCTCAAATTTTGAATGGTGAAGATCTTGATGAGCTTCAGCTTCAATTTGCTGATCTTTAGATACTTTCACCACAGTTTGATTGAAAAATAAAAACAATAAAAATAATTTAATATTAATTTTTAATAATTGAATGTTTTAAATTTTTTTATAAAAAAAGGAAATTTCTGAACATTAAAAATTAATAACAAGTTTGCCTTTCCTTCAGCCAATGCCATTACCGATTCTGAGTTATGTAAATCAAGTTCTGGTTGCTTGTCAACCTTGCCCAAAATTGGCTTGAAAGGCTCTGAGGTCGCCAAACCCTCCCTCGGGCAAAATCTACCGCCGCGATTACGAGCTTTTTCAAAATAATAATTTTTGTATTTTCAAAAAATATATTATAAAACAGAGAAGAATGAGGATATCCAGGCAAATAAAATGTCGACACTTGTTGCTGGGATTTGTCGTTATGACGCTTATATTTTGGTATTTTCCCGAGTCGGTTTTGAAGCAACAGATGAAGAAGGTTTTAAGAAAGAGAATGCAAGAAATAAGGTTTGAAAAGAAGAAAAATGGCAATTTTCATAATTTTATTTCTTAGCGAGCATGAATGGGTAAATATGATCCAAGAAAGCGAGCAAATCGCAGCCCTCCAAAAACTCGCAAATCTCGAATCGGGCAAATCCGAAGTTCACGCTGAAAATCTCGCCCCGCAAAAACCTGTCGAAGCAGTTCAAGTTCACAACGCAGTAGACGAAGTAAGGCAAATTATCGAAGAGCAGTCCAAAAGTGACGAAGCATCAAAAATCAAAGAAGAAGTCCCAGCGCCCGCTCCAGTAGAAGAGAAAGCGAAACTTGAGCCACGAAGAAATGTTCCTCATATTCCCATGGCTCTTCAACCTCAAGCTGGATTTGGGACGCCTCAGGTAAAAGAAAGTTTTTTTTTTAAGAAATGAGGCCTTTCGTCTTCTCTTTACCTTCGATTCATCTATCTTTTCAGGAAGAAATCGACCGACTGTACGATTACATGACGAAGCAAATCGAGTGCCCAGATCTTCACTACGTCGGAACCCCTGGAAACAAGGGCAAATACCAGGATGGAGCTTATGCCGGATGCCTTGCTGACGGCTGGTGGCCAAAAAAAGGAGAGCCATGTTTGGGCTATAGTTTCGGGATCGATTACGAGTGGAGCTGGGATGAAGGGATGGAAGCTCTTGGATGCCAAGGTAAGTTTTCGATTTCAAATTCGATTCTAGCGCAACATTTTCAGTTCACAGTTTCGACCCTGGAATGTACGATGAGCCGGAACATGCGAAGCATACCGAGAACATTTTCTTCCACAGATATGGCCTTGGCGATGTCGATTCTGATGCGCTTTATCAAACTGCCCTTAGAGATTACGCCTACAGAAAGAAATATGGGTAGGTTCTTCCATATTCTTCACTGCGAGAGCTGTTTTTAGCGATGCGAAACTCAACGAATTGAGAAAATGGAAGGTTCGAACACTCCCTTCCATCATCGACGAACTCGGCCACAGAGGAAGAATCATCGACGCGGTCAAAATTGACATCGAAGGCCCAAGACACGGTTACGAAGATAAAACAATCAGAAGCATTCTCGAAACTGGTAATTTCATCTCTCAAAAAGCCCTCTCGAAATTTTCGAAATTTTTTAGGTGCTTGGAAGTGTATCAGACAATTGAGCTTGGAACTCCATGTTTTTGGACCCGCAAAAGATGCAAATTACATCAGACTGCAGTATTCCGTCATGAAGGCTCTTGAAGAACATGGTATGGAAAAATCAATGATAATCGCTAAAAGGTGTTTTCAGGATTCAAACTTTTCGACGTGAAGGAATCGTTTGGACGCGATATGAGTGATATAAAACAAAAAATCACAACCGTAAGTTATTTCATCAAACGTAAAATATCTACCCCTTTTCAAGGAGAAAACGGAGCTTCTATGGTGCCTTGGTTGGTGGAATCCGAATGTGGAGCCGTGCGAATGAAAAATCGGAAAAATCGTAGAAGTGCAATATTTACTCAAACACAACTCTTTTCTGTACTCACCTGTATCAATTCTTCAATCAACAAATACGACTGTGCCTTCACTCGAAGAATCAGTAGCTGCCTTGACTATGCCACCTATCAATATATCGCAATTTCAGTTTTATAAGAGTTTCCGGGTCTCATCCGACCAAATCCTGACCTAGGAAATAGTTCTGAACAAGAGCGAGGGTTGGGCCCCGCCAACCCAATAAGTTCTCTTCCAAAAAATGCGCGCGTAAGGGCCTCTGCGCGAAAATATGAGTTTGATTTAGGACTCTTTTGGCACCCTAAATTTAGATTTTCCTAAGTTGACATCAAAATTTAATATTGTGGCCTTTGAAAGAAAGAAGTTTTTTCAAAAACTTTCAATTTTCCTTCTTGTGGTGCCTCAATCTTTAGAAGGCCAAATTCTCTGTCTTGTTACAAAAATAGACATCAAAATTAATTAATAATCATTTTTCATGAATCGCCGGTCGGCAAAAACAAGATCCAAAATATTTTATATTTTGATAAATTTTCCTCGACAATACTTGGCCTATTTTGATTGTCTGGATTTTGCCGAGCTGAAGATAAACTTGAAATATGATTTTATTAGTAGGTATAGTATCTAAGATATTCGTCTTCACCGCTTATAACCCTAAGTTACCTACGACTAGACCTCGGAATATTAGGACCTAGGGAGCGTTGGCTCGGCAAGCTGAGTAGAGGGTCAGGCTCAGTGTCAGGATTCGTAAATTTTTTCTCGAGATTTACTCAGGAACTCAGGTCAGGGTTTCACTCAGTCAGGTACTCAGGCAAACAGGTCAGGCCTGCTCGGACTCAGGTACTCAGGTCAGACTCAGGGAAAAACAAAGGGTTGTTTTCGACCAAGTTCACACATAAAAATTATATCCGTTGCATTTTCTCAGATTACTTTTATACAAACTGAAACATCTTAGTTAAGTTTACCATGAAAACCGGTCGAAATTAACGCTTTTATCAAAAAAATCTAGTTCTACCTCGAAGTTCAGTCCCTCAGCCATGATAATTTTGATACCGAAATCATGCAACTTATTCAAATTGTAAAATTTTACGCTTATTTTGCTTTTCTTTTTTACAAAAATTGAAGATTTTTTGTCTTTCAAGAAAATAGACATGAGTGAATAGTACTAATATTTTTTTCTCGATCGCCGGTCGGTTTGCCCCGAAATGTTTTGTATTTTTGTTAAATATTCCACGACGATACCTGACCTCTTGAGTTTGTCTAAATTTTTCCTGCTGACTTGGCTTTAGTCTAAAGCGCAAAATGCGAAAAATCCGAATTGATAAAGAAGCGCTAAGTAAGTTACTTTAAGGGATCCCCTCCCGATGTGAAAAATATCATCGACAGGTTTTGTATGATATATTTTAGGAATCTCCGTTGTCTGGCAATCATTTTCATATATTATTTCAAGGGGAGTCCATCACGTGGTAAAGCTTGACACAACTTTGAAAATGGCTTATTTAATGAAAAATTTTACTTCGAAAAAGTTCGCAGTTTTTTCGACTTTTCAAAGTCGACATAATCAGGGCTCCTAAGAAAACTTAGAAACCACAGAATTAGATAAAATAGATTAAATAAAATATCTACCCACTTAAAGGCACAAAAGAGCAAAGAAACTCATAAAAATGGCAAAAATCAGTTTAAAAACATCTCTCCTTATAAAAATATATTTCTATACTAGAGGTCATTCATTAAAAATTGAGCTTCAAAATGAGCCATCATCCTAGAAAAAAGCTCAGACCTAAAAAGAGTAGTTCGAAGGCAAAGTTGATGAAATTGGGGTGGGGATATGTAAGTATAGTATGTAAATTTGGTTCCGAAGAGGACAATCTCGTCTTCTATCAAAATTTTCCATTATATGACGTCCATCGGGGTCCTTCAGAGCTGGTCGTCAGTTTTTTGAGTAGATAAAGAGTTTTTATTATAGACTTTATGGTAAGTCTATAAATGTACCAGATCGACCTAGATGCATATTATCATTTGGACGCCATCTTGCTGCGGCGCTGAAGAGAATTGGTAATAAATACGGGAAAACTTGGGTTAAAACCAAATTCAAATTTTCGATCAGATAATTTGATAGCAAGCGCAGAAAATGAAGGTACGCTAGATTTAAAATATTTTCTTTCATAAGATTATCAAAAAAAATTTTTAGGTTTTACCTGGACTGATCATTGCTTCCGCAAAAGGTTGGAGCTCTTCTAGCCAGTGGGGTCCGGACGCGGAGTACGACGGAGACTACGTCGGCATGGAATGCGGCGGAACGATTACCGGCTCACAGATGATCGTCTCTCCAACGCTCGAGATGTATGTTGGCAATGCAAACGGTGACACTGCGCCATTCTACTATTCTAGCGTGCACTGCACCTGGAACATTCAACTCGACCCGTCCGTCACGTCCTTCGATCTCGTTGCGAAGAGCTTCGCCGTTGAAGAGAGCTCCAATTGCATCAAAGACTACTTGCTTGTCTCTGACGCGAACGGTCACGACACGTACTACTGTGGCTTGGTCAATCCCGCCTCTCTCCGACGACGAAGATCAAACGATGATGCTGCCGCTACTCGACTCCGACGAGATGTCACGACCGTCGAAACCGGCCTGCGCACAGTCACCGTCCAGGGCAACACTGCGACGATCGTTTTTGAAACCGACGATAGCATCGTATACAAAGGCTTCGAAATATGCGTCGTTTACGACGGAGACTACTCTTGTCTCGAAGAAGGAAACGCCTCGACTACTTCTTCTTCTTCTACCACTTCTGCTCCGTCCACTGTCCTTTCCCCAACTGACGCATGGTCTCAGATAGTAAAAGCTTCTGACGAAATCAGCTTTGCGGTTAGAGATTTTTACGCTGCTCTTCCTGGCCTCGGCGCCAACTCAAAACTTGCATCAAAGAAGATGGACCGATTCAACAATTTTTTCAACAAGATGGACATTCTTCAGGAAAGGGTAAGCAAATTGTTCATCTATCAATCTTTAAAATCCTTTTTTTATTCGAAATTGCGAAACCTTAAAAAAAGAGGCGAGCTTCTGCTGATGCTTGCGAGTTTCCCGCTGGCTCCAACGATCACTCTGCTTTCCTCGCTCCGGTCGACTCTGCGGACGTCTGCGTAAAATTGCAAGGACTTTTCGCTTGCCTTGCTTCCTTCGCCGATGCCTTTGTCTGCGTTGACAACGAAGGTTCGCAAAGATTCGAGCGTCTCATCCAACGACAGAGAAAATTGCTGATCACCAAGAAATTCAAGCAGCTGAAATGCGGCAATCAGCACTAAAAAGCCTGATTTTCAGAAAGCTATCAATAAATCGTCCGTCAACGATCATTTCTCTTGGTGACCACTGTTTGCGATTTTTCTGAACATTATTTGAATGAATAAATCGTTTTTCGATTTCAATTTCTTCCAATATAAGGAGCAATTTTTTTTATTTCGAATGAGTTGATAAAAATTAATTTGACTTGAAAATCCCCCCGTCAACAATTTTCGAAAAATTTTTTCGGTATTTCAAAATTTTGACTTGAGAAAATGGATTCTACAGGTCAAAAAACGATTTTGAGTCTTCATTTTTTGGGCGTCTATCTCGACTCTAACACCCTCAAAATCGCGTCTGAAAATCGTACTTTTTGAGGAAAAATGACGAAAAAGTCCCAATTTTGCTAAAATTTTCTTGGTCAAAAAGTGCTCCGAACAAGTTTTTATGATAACTTGAACTTTCAGGAACACTAAGAAGCCAAAATATGGCTTTTTTGAAATTTTCGATTTTTTGAGGAAAATTGTTGACGGGGGGGGGGGTCCTTAAAGAGAACCGTTTTTGAGCATCTTTTGGAAAATCAGCAAAAACTCACATTCTGTCTTTTTTTTTTGATACTTACCTTCCGGCAAAATCAACCGCCGCGATTACGACCTTCATCAAAATAATTATTTTCGTATTAAGAAAATAAAGAAAGAATAATGATACGGAGGCAACTTAAATATCGACAGTCGCTTCTGAGGTTTGTCGTTTTGACCAAGACATTTTGGTCTTATTCGGAGTCCGTTCTTAAACAACCACTTGCTTACATTTATCAATAATTTTAATTTCAAGTTTATTCGAGTTTCATTTCAAAAGCCTCTCCAGTAATGATCTTCGACTTGTAGTACTCAACATTCTCATCAACTATAGCTTGCGCTTCAATCATTCCGTGGAGTTCGTAGACGCAAAAGAGTAAAGAATTCCAGAGCAATTCGCGGAGGTTTTCTGTGAGATCGGATCCGTAAGATTGTTCCTTGAGGGACTCGATTGCAAGATCGATTTTTGTTTCGTCGAAATTTGTGTCGACGGCCTCTAAAATAAGATTGTATTTTGAAAGGATAAAAATCAGCACTCTGTTGTCAGAGTTTATCATGGTCTGTTTTTTCATTCAATTTAGAAACATAGAGTTTAATATAAACAGAGAGAGAATTTTTCGAAATTACGGGTTTCGTCTTTGACTTACCGATCAGCTGCTGAACTGGTTCAAATCGCTTGTAATGGTTGCAAAATTTATTCTCAAAAGCCGTGTCCAGATGTGTCAGGCTTTTCTCATAAGCTTTTTTGAGGGTTGAGCTTTTAAGGGTGTCCCCAATCTCGCCGTAAGAAATTGATTTCTGGTAGAATTTCGCCGCAACTGTGATTTTGTTGAGGAGGCTTTCGTCTATTTCTCGAACTGCTTGCCATTTTTTTATTCTAGAATGACGTTGATTTTGCATTTTTAGGGGGAGAGTACTTATCAGTGTCCTCACAAGATTGAGCAGCAACGGCCACCGCGCAGATCAGAAAAAGCATCATTTTCAGACTTTTCTCTAAATCTCGTCTCACGAAAGAGCGAAATGGCGCTTCTTTTTGAATTGACCTTTATGGATGTTCCGAACCGTCAAAATCGCATTTCCGTCGGGAATTAAAAATTTTATTCAATGAGCTCGAAAATGATCATTTTCCATTTTTAAATGAGGAAATATTAGTTCCAACTGACTTGTTCTGACGAATTGATTCAAAATCTCAATTTAGATAACGAAATACAAATACTATAAAATTTTGCAAATGTCAATCAGACGAGCTTCTTGTCCAGGCTTGCTGGAATATGTAAAGTACAGGAAATCACAGTTGAAAATGAGAGTTTTTTATCTCCTTTTATCTTGTTCTTTATCATTTTCAATCGATAACTGCCCGTAAGTATTCGACTTAAATCTGACGAGATCGTTCAAAAGATAAATAGAGAAGCGGATCTTTATGAAGAATGCGAAGCAAAATGCAGGCTTGATTATAACAAATGTCGGCTTCTCTGTGAGACCGATTTCTGCCTCTCCCTCTGCGTCCAAAGCAAAGACGAGTGCATGAAATCCTGTCCCTGTGGCGAATATTGCCCGTTTGGTTGTTATGGCTGTCAGAATGAAATTTGCCCGAGAACAACTTCTGCCCAAATATCAACGACAATAATCACCACAACAACTGCTTTAGAAACGACAAGAGAAGCTCGAGTCTGGTTTGAACGAACAGAGGAAGATCCCGCTTTGACCATGGAAGGAGCCGAAAATTTCTGCCAAGACCGAGGCGGTCATTTGCTATTCTTCCGAACCCAGGAAGAATACGAACTGTACCTGGCTGAATTCCCAGTACGACTTGAGCACTTCGGCTATCGCCAAGTCACCTGGAAATCAGCCTCCGACTATTTTTACCGAAACACAGACGGGTCAAATGCGACTTTTCATCAGTTCGGCCCGGGTCACCCGAGTACCTACGCGGCTCCATGCATTTATAACTACTGGTATTTATCTACAGGCGACTGGGCAGCCGATTATTGGTAAGGGTTTATTCTTCAGACCTTTTTGAATTGAAAAGTTATACTTCGAGACAATTTACTTGTCGATTCGAAGAGAATTTCGACTCGGGAGTCGGACCAACAATAAGGCCGAAGAATGTCACTTTTATTCAACAGGAAGAGAAATCAACGATGGAATTAGCGGAGTACAAGGTAAGTAATTACTTATGAGTCCGATAAAGAATTTTCTAGTGCAATCAACAAGGAGGGCATTTGGCTTTTTTCGAGAATGAAGAAGAGTGGAAAGAATTCACGAGGCTGCCGATGAGATATGTTGAATACATAGGTAATTTCTCCAAAGAGCTATTCCGTCATAAAAATTAAGGTGTCCGAGAAGGCTCAAATAGAGTTCAGTACTCTACCGTTACTGGCAATCGAGATCCATTTTTGAAATGGTATGGAAAAGAACCCAACGACGGTCGCGATCCTTGTGTTATCATCAATTACGGAGCTCCTGGATACTTTGCTGATGCCAAATGCTACGGCCAATATTTTTATTCTTGTAGATTCGAAAATTAAAGAATTTCTCAATTCAACCTGCAACCAGGGTTCTAAACGGACATGTCCGTGTACGGATTTTATCCGTGTCTGTCCGGTCTTGCCCGTACGGACAGACTAGACTTTTAGTCTTCTGGTTGAGGAAAAAACGGACAGCCTAGACCGGACTTTTGTCACGATCTGGACAAAATCCGTATTTGTCCGTATTTGTCCGTGAAATCTATTGTGAGAATTGTGCAATAATCGCGGACAGTATTTCTTTGACATCAAAGCACTTTATCGCTATGCGTTGTTACCCTCTCTGACAGCTTCCCGTCGAATAAATAATATTCATGCACCTTTTGATTAGCCGATTATGTGTGTGAAATCAAATAATTAAACAATCTTCTGCTATTTTTTATTCGCGCCGCTGCCTCCTGAAATTTCATAAGTTATTTCATAATGAGAATGAAAAATCGTTCAGTGAGGATTTTGAAGATTGCTCTCTTCTTCATTGCTTTCTTTGGGATATCAGCTAGCATCTTGACTCCTGTTTTTCTTAGCAGAAGATAGTTTTCTATGAAAGATGATCATCAATTCTCGACAGAAGCAATGCCAGAGAATGCGACCCTAACAACAATCGGAACACAAACGGCTTCGTTCACAAGTACTCCTTCAACAACCGACGGAGGGACAGAAAGCCATATGATGAGCACAATATTTTCGACAACGGCTAGAACAATCGCGACTCAAAAAACAATGCTTTCGACAATGCCAACTGTCTCTTTACCAATGACAACTTCAGAGAACTGCTCGTAAGTCATCATTTTTTTATCAAAACAGATATATAACATTTTAAGTGATTCGGGCATGTTCAAAGAATGCGAACTAACCTGCATTGTTGAATATAATAAATGCGGGGCAAATTGTGAGAGTGATTACTGCCATTCCATTTGCGAAGAAAGCAAGGACAAATGCGTTAAAGCCTGTCGCTGCGGCCAGAATTCCAATTTTGTTCAACAAGAAGAAAAATAGCATTTTACGGTTGGAATCGCCGTGGCTTATATTTTTATTCTTACTGATCCAAAAATGAATGAATTTCTTTTTTATTGTAAATGATTTGTTTGCTGCCAATAACTAAATGGACCATACTTGCAGCATTCAAAAAGGGTTCTTGGGGTTGAATTTTTGCTCGTCGGCCCTACCCATAATATCAAGGTCTCGTAAAAATCTGACCATGATTACGTGGTCCATGTCAGAAATTGACCATTTGCGCAATAGGGGTTAACTTGCGTATTTTTAGTCTTTTCTGGTACCTCCTGACATAGCATAGGAATTCATAAAAGAGAAGTTTTCTATCATAACTTCTGAATAGTATTTTTGTTTTCTGATTCTTTGACCGATAAATAGAGCTTCTACTACTTCTATTTGTATATATTTAAATATCAACATCAGCATTATGCCAGATGTTTTGCTCTTACAAGTGGTCGTACTTCTTCCAATGCATTCCCAAGCATCCGAGTCGAAAATGTAGTGTTCAGGGTCGTTACAGGCACAGTAGACCAGTTTCAAACCAGAACTAAGTGAAATAAGAAAAATATAGTATTTTATTAACACCGATTAAAACATATTTTCTAGAATCTATGCACCAGAACTAAAATCACCAAAAGCGGGACAAAGGTACTGAACTGCCAAGTGCATGTTGCATCGCTTGGACATCCGACAGTGGAAGACGAGCTTGCTGTAGATGAGGAGTCAGTCGATGTTGATTCGCTCGACGAAGGAGGATTACAAGTTCCGCCAGGTTTCACGTGATCATAAGCCGTCTAGAAACAAGTTTATCAGGTTATTTTTTGGCAATTTTCTTACTCTCATTGCTGCAAGATTTTCTGTATACATTGGCTCCAACTGACTCTCCGGAAGCGCAAAGCCATACTGTCCTCTATCTCGCAGCTCGATCGTCAGGGAAATCGGGACATTCGCTCCGGAATCATTGTGTGACCAGTCATCACTGCCGCCAGAAGCGGGGTAAAAGCTTGGAGCTCCTTCGCCATATTGATAATATGCTCCAGTAGTGTCACTTCCTAGGGGCTTTGCAAATATTTTTCGAAAGAAAAATCTTGTAAGAAAGATCTTATAAGCCCGTTCCTGATTGTATCAACCATAGCTTTCGCAACATAGTCAAGGTCAGCTTTGTTCCATGCTTCAGCCGCGTGGGAAGAAGAATACGGATAAATGATGAACTGCGAATATGCGTGGTACGTCAAATAGGCAAGTTTATTGTCAATGGCGAGCATGTCATCCCGATGCGCTTGCGATTCCGGCTCCGAAAAAGCACTTGGGCCTCCGTAGATGTCAGAGCAAGGGCTGTTGCTTGTTCCCGCATTCATCCACTCAATGTCGTAGTTTCGATTCAGATCGACGCCCTTGCAGTTAGAGCCAGGATTGTTGGCTCGATTTTTGCGCCAGTATCGGTAGCCAGTCCAGGTGTACTCGTAGCCGTCAGGGTTGAGATTTGGGTAGATGATCCAGTTGACGGAATTCTTTTCAAGAGATCAAAATTTTTTCGGAATAATTTTCAAGAACTGTATTTTGATCCTTTTCATATCAGCAGACTCTCCATTGATCAAGTCATCGATCAATTTATAGCACCACGCATGAGCTGCCCATTCTCGGGCATGAATTCCGCAATCAACAACGATTTTTGGCAAATTATCGTCTCCAATTGAAATTTTGTACAGATTTCGAAGCTCTACAGATCTCCCAATACTTGATACAGTAACACCAGGGATGTCAGCAAGACCATCGAGGTAAGCAAATTGTTCTTGCTCGGGATTTTGAATTGAAATATCAAGAAGAAGTTTCGTTAAATGACTAATTTTGAAACCCCTTCCTTGAAGCGTGTGATAAACATTAAAATCGAAGCCAACAGATCTTCCGGATTTATTGTCGAATTCATTCTCAATCAGCTCATCTAGCCGGTTTTCATCATCATAGTCGAAATCCAGCGTTTTCAAAAAGAAGTCCATCGCGCCTTTATCTTCCGGCTGAATGCAGAATTTCACTTCTTCTCCTTTTACGAATCGAGCTCCATTGTGAGGGAAGAAGAAATCAATGTTTATGTTTTCCGAGATTCCTCTGAAGGCATCAGCTTGATCTTGGGTATCGATGGTTAGTTCGTAGTAGCCATGGTTTTTGAGGGAGATTCCAGTGTAAGTTGGAGCGCCGATTCTCTGACTTTCAAGAATGCTTATAAAAGCCAATAAGAGCTTTAATTTCATCTTCAAAACTGATGAAAAATCGAAGAAGAAAAATATCTAATGTAAAATTCTAGAGACAAACATTTCTTGCGCCCAAAGAAGCCAACAAACCAAGCCCAAGTTTCATTTCTTCTCAATTCTTCTATATTTCCCTTTTTTCTCTTCTCACCAAAAACTAAGCTTGCGAAAATTTATCCGAGGAATGGATAAAGATCACCGTGGGATACGGATGTCTGAATCATTAATTCTCCGACCTTTGAAAATCGCTCAACTAAGAGTCTTAGATAATACGATGTTATATTTGATTTTTACTCTTTGTCTATTTGACCAAGACGAAAACGGATGTTAACATGAATCAGTCATTCAAAATTAGCCAAAGAACTTCCCCTTGTTTTCATGATAAAAAGTAACAAAAATTAAATACCAAAAAACTTTACAAATAAAAAATAATAAAAATTCATACTCGGGATCCGTTAAAAAATTCGATTATTTTTATATCAAAGTCCACACTTTTTTAACCCTCGCCCTTGATTTTTGATCTTCGACCTTTCAAACCAAAATTTGTTCCATGTTATGACCAATTTTTTTGTTCTGGAAAAAGCGAAAGCAGTAACAGACTGGGTATTTCTTCAAATATTTGTTCGTTTGCTGCATTCTGAGTTATTTACGCCCCACCTTCCAAAGTTCAGTTCGAAAAATCAGACAAAAAAGACGAAAAAAATGAAGAGAGTTATTTTGCAAAAGAGTAATTTTCTCAAACAAGGAGTGAGAGCAGCCGGAAGCAAGCCGATTCCAGACAGAAGTGACTCGTTTGTTTTTGGTCTTTTTAATGGGGAAATTAACCCGAAAAATATTTTCCCGTATCCGTCAGTTTTTAATCAGGTAAAATTCAATTTTTTCCTTATTTTTTTCAGATCAATCTTTTTATTCAATAAATTAAGGAACAAGTTGACGAGCTAAACGAGCTCTTTTCCGCCTCTTTTGACGCTTTTGACGGAACCAACGAAGCCCTGGAAAATGACCTTCGCGGCGACCTCGACCCAGAAATGGTCCAAATGCTCAGGGACTTTGGTCTCTTCGGCATGCAAGTTCCAGAAGAACTCGGCGGTCTTGGCATGTCAAACGTCCAAATGGCGCGAATGTCGGAAATCGGAGGCGAGCTGGATCTTGGTGTTTCGATTTATATTGGTGCGCATCAGAGTATCGGTTTCAAGGCGATTTTGATTCTCGGAACTCAGGAGATGAAGGAAAAGTATCTTCCGTTGGTTGCTTCTGGTGAGAAGATTGCAGCGTTTTGCTTGACTGAGCCAAGTACTGGATCTGATGCCTCCAGCGTTCAGACAAGGCCAGGGTCTCAAATGAAAAAATCGGAATTCTCAAAAACCATAAATGATTTAAAAGTAAACATAGTAAAGATTTTTGCTTCGTTACAGATCTTGAGGAATAAATAAAATTTTTCGTGTTCCCTGATGGTTGTGGGCCAGCCATAAATATGTGAATTTCTGAAAAAATATGATATATCATTTGCGATAAACTCCACTTGCTAACCCTAGAAAAGAGCAGTGAAACAAGAAGACGGTAGCTATCTTATGAACGGCGGAAAAATCTGGATCACTGGCGGTGGTATAGCCGACATCTTCACCGTCTTCGCCCAGGTTCCCGTTCAACAAGAAGATGGAACGATAAAGGATAAAATGACAGCTTTCATCGTCGAGCGTGATTTCGGCGGAGTGACTCACGGCGCTCCGGAAAAGAAAATGGGGATCAAGTGCTCGAATACTGCTGAGGTCTACTTTGATGATGTCAGAATTCCGGCCGAGAATATGATCGGAGAAGTGGGAGAAGGATTCAAAGTTGCGATGGAGGTGTTGAATTCGGGGCGATATGGAATGGGTGCGACGCTGAATGGAACGCAAAAGGGATTAATAAAGAAAGCGACGGAATTTGCCGCGAATCGAACGCAGTTCAGGGATAAGATCTACAAGTGAGTTGTTTTTTTTTGTAAAATGAAATTGGGGAAAATAGTAGAACTGAAAGAATCATGCCATAAGACTGAAATCACGCCATTTTAGATCGCCCCATCAGACCATAATTTTTCAGATTTGGCGCGATTCAAGAAAAACTCGCCAGAATGCATGCGGAGCAATACGCCTCTGAAGCAGTTAGCTATTTGGTCGCAAATGCGATGGATCACAAGACTGAAAACTATCATCTTGAGGCTGCTTGTGGAAAAAGTAAGCCATTTCTTTGAGTAAGGGTTTATTGAGCCTTTCAGTTTTTGCTTCGGAGAGAGCCTGGCATTGCTGTGATGAGACGATTCAGGTTATGGGTGGAATGGGATACATGTTTGAACAAGGATGGTGCATACTCGCCACCTAATTGAAAGAGATCATTTTGAATAAAACAAGTAGTCGACTAAACTAAATATAAAAAATATGTTAATGCGAAAAATTTCCACTATTTATGGTGTTTTGAGCACAGTAAAAGGCGTGGAAAAAGTGATGCGCGATCTCCGAATTTTCCGAATTTTCGAAGGAACAAATGACATTCTTCGACTAATGGTGGGTCTTCAAGGTCTTCAATACACAGGTCAACAATTGGCGCCCATCGCAAAAGCCGCCAAAAGCCCAATCGCGAATGCACCGACTTTGATCAAGTTCAAAATGGACCAGAGGGCGAAAGAAAAGGGGTCTAAAACAGGTATTTTTCAATAAAAGAAAGAGTGTTCTCAAAATTGATTGAAGCGGTGAATGATTTGAAACAATATGTCGACCCCGCGCTCCACCCAGAAGCACAGAAAGTCGGCGAAGCCATCACAAGATTCGAAGTTGCGTCGAAAAAGATTCTTCAAAAATTTAACAAGGTACTTTTTCTGGAAAAAATTCATAAAAAAATCAATTTTCAGGACATCATCAATCAGCAATTTCATGTCAAGAGAATAGCTGAAGCTGCGATTGAGCTTTTCGCAAGCTCTGCCGTTTTATCTAGGTAAGAATTTAGACGATTCACCGTAAATATCGTTTTCTAGAGCTACTGCGGCCCAGAAACACCCAACTGCAAACAAGGAAGAGGAAATTCTACTTGCCAAAACTTATATTTTCGACTCGTTGAAGAAGATTCATGGCGCTCTTGATCAACTAACAGAGTAATTTTATTTATTGATGAGACATTTCTATCATTTTTGTTAAGACAAGATGAGTCGCATTGGAAAAACATGGCGGAACTGACGGAAAAAATGGTCAATGCGGACAGCCCCGTCTTGGGAGCTCATCCGACTGAGCTTATCCATAAGTAAATCGCGAGGAGGAGCATTAATTTATTGACTGTAAAGTTATTTCTGTTAATTGTACTTTGAAAATAAAATTAAGTTATATCTCTAGAATCCGTATTTATAAGTATTTTTTCGCAAAAATCGCAGTCAGTTTTAAAAATGGCGTATTACAACAACCAAGATCCCTGGGGGTCGTCCTATGGGCAAAGATTCCAAAAATATAAATTTCTTTTTTTTACTTTTTGATAAAAAACGCATTCAAAAGGGATAAAGTTGATTTGAAACCAACAGAAGTTCTCCAGCACAAGCCTATCCTCAGGCGCCGTCATCATCATTTTCTCAACAAGCTCCAGCACCATCCTTTCCTCAGACACCGAGTTATCAAGCTCCACCACCAGCTTTTTCCCGACCACCTGGTTCAACAACGCTTCCTCCTACTCAAAGCAGCAAAAGCAGTAGCGGTGGCGCAGGTTCGAGTTGAATCTTTAAAAATGATACAAACTTTCTTCTCTTCAAAATCGTTTTTTTTTCTTCGGGTATATGAATCAATAATCAACCTGAAAAAGGTTTTATTTGCTTTTGCTGCTGCATCTGTTGCTTCTTCTTTGTAATGCCGCTCATGGTCAATATAATTTTAATGGAGGGCCAGGGCCAACGAGGAATGCCAGAAAACTGGTTCGTTAGCATGGATACCCCTGATTCACCTCATCACGTGAATTTCACCGCAGCAGAACTGAGTGAGGTTAAACCAGATGGAACTACTTGAAAATATTTCGAAACTAATGTACCCACTAGCGGCCCATATTATCAAGATGAAATAAATTGCACCATCACGGTTAATAATCCTGTAAATATGGTTTACGGAAGGGATTCGAAATTCAAATTCAGCGGTTTTCCGAAATAATAGACTTTTCCAAAAATTTGGTCGAGACTTACTATTAGAAAACCTCTGTACTAGTTTTGTTAATCATGAAATTTTCTGATTCCCAAAAAGTCGAAGGTTCCTTCGGGCTTTTCGGCCCACCAGGTTACAATGGCTACCTGAATTGCAATGAAGCTTATATCGAAGTTAATGGTAAGAATAGAAAAAAATACAAAAAAATGAAAATTTAGGTCAAAAATACTGTCAAGATGAGTTTATAAGCACCTCCTTTAACGGCGACATCAGCATCAGTGATGCTGCATCACTTACTATGCGAATATTGACGAATACTACAACTCGGATGGAAGCTCTAATACCGCCGGCTTGAATATGTTTATCTATACAAACTAAAAAAGAAAAAATAATAAATCTCTCTGTTTCAGTAAAACTGTTTCAAAAACTGATCCTACAAGGAGGTCATTCAACAACGACCGGGGCGATTTCCATCATGAGGAATTATTCTGTGCTCTGATTGGTCAATCATGCAAATCAGCCCGGTCGTTGTTGAAAGACCCTCTTGTAGAAAAAATTCTAATTCGAAGGGTTTTTTTCTTGGGTTTACTTCAGTGTTTTAATCAGCATTGAAGATAAGAGAAAGGCACAAGCTCAACAAAAAGCTTCGAATTTAGCGTCGTATCCAAAGCAGTCGATAAACCAGTGTCAAAATCGTAAACTTCGTGATTCAGCTCGTAAAATCCGCCAACGGAAAAGACTTTACCATTCACTGATTCCCGTTTTACGAAACCGGACTTTACTTTTCTCTAGAAAAGAAAACGAGTCCCTAGAGCAGAGGCAAAGTTCATCCTATTGACGAGCATGTTTCCTTCAATCGTCCAAGAATGCGATTCAGGAAGATATTTCCAAATCCGATGAGTGTATTCTTGCTGCAAATCTGAATAGCCACCGAAGAGGAAAATTGTCCCTTCAGTTTGTATTGTCGTAAAACTATTTCAGAGCTCGAAAATTTCGAGTCAAAATTTAACGAACGTTTAAATACAATCAAAGAGAAAGAGGATTCCAGAGCCCTTTCCTGTGCATAAAGTCCCCGATATTTGCTCCCCAAGATTGCCATTCTGATCCATTTTCGCTCAAAGCACTGATTTTGTTAGAATACCCCGCGATTCTCAGAAGAGTGCCTCAACAAGTTTTTCTACAAAATCTCCTTTTTTCTCTTTTTAACCTTGATAGTCAACCAGACCGCCAAGAAGATGACCAATCTCGGAGGATGGCCTTGTTGTCTCCACCAGAGTCTCCGTATTGAGCGAGGTGCATTCGTTCGCCCGATCCTTATCTCCGCAAATCCAAATTTCGTCTTGGAACGATCGACATCTGTGCATTTGATGGTTTTGTTCCAAATCCGTTACCTTTCGCAATCCGCAGTTTTCGAAAATCGAAACTCTTGTTCGATCATCAAAGCCACCAATAAGATAGTAACTGCCTTTGTGCTCAACAGTGCAACTGTAGTCAACGTCGTGGTTGTCAAAGTCAAACTCGGAAGTCAAATCCTCTTGAGCGTCCATTCGAAAATTCGTCGTCCAAGCTTCGTCGCGGTAGAAAATCGCGAATTTAGCTTCTGCACATTCTGGCCGACAAGATGTATCGTCTCTCAGACACTCTTGAAGTTCCTTTCAAGGACCCCCCCAGCTTTTTTCGAAAAATCAGATTTCGGAATTTTAAAATTTTGAGGCTACATTTTGGGGGTCTATCTCGACTCCTTCACCCCCAAAAAAAGCATTCGAAAATTGGACTTTTCGCCGAAAATTGACAAATTTGCCCTTATTTTGGCAAAAATATTGATTTTTTTTGGTGAAAAATTTCTTTTTATCAAGTTTTGAAGCAAGTTAACCTGAGGACACATCAAGAACCAAAAATATGGTGTTTTTAAAAATTTACATTTTTCAAAGGAAAAAGCTGACGGGGGGTCCAATGGGACAAAAAGCTCAACGTTACCTTGTGGACAAGAGAAATCGGAAGGATCGCAAGACAAAAAACACTGCTCAAGTTCTTTCTTGCAAAAAGTCTCGCAACTTTCGTATGCGAAAATTGAAGCTGGAAAAAGACTCAAAAATCTCATTCTCTTGGTTATGAACTCTTTTTGCTTTTGATAAAAATTGGTGGAGTAGACAAACAGAAGGTATTTTCCCAAAAGAAATTTGACGAAATTGATCTCTCGTCTTGAAAAAATCAGTCTTTTCTTTGTATTTCTTTTTTTGTACAGGCAGTGAATATAAAAGGAAAAGAGAGGCACCAGGAAAGGTTTAAACATGGCAAATCGAGTCAGAAACGATTTCGGGCTGATTTTGTGAATTCATCGAAATCGAGAGGGTAACTGGCGAAGCAGTCTTGATCTCTGAATATCCAAAAGGTGAGGATTTGGTGACAACGATTTCGTTGTTGTTGTTGTTGCTTTCTTCTTCATCATCGATTTCTGAAGGTTCGGGGACGCTTATCAGCCGAGTTTTACAGAGTTCTTTGTTTCCAGAAACGGAGAGAACTTTTAAACGATCAGCAATTTTTTCAAAAGAAGATATAAGGAGAGATTTTGAGGATTTTGCGGACCGGTTCCTGAGTTGTTCTGCGAGCTGTAGAGTAATCTGTTGACTTCTGCATCAACATCTGATTTGGTCATGGCTTGATTCAGATTTTCCGAGAGTATTGGCTGGGACTTTTGTCGATGATGGGGGCGAAAAGGACCTGGTGGCGACTCATCAATAGCGCCAATTGGCGGACGAGTGAGAAGACGAAGGTTGGCAAAATCGGCATCTCGGATTACATCTGATTCTTCTGTAACCGAACTGCACTGTTTTCGACGGTCATAATGCCTCGTTCGACTGAAAAAGAGACGTGATTGGAGAAAGGAGCGAGTGAATTTTACCATTGTTTTTTGATGAGTGGGGCGGATTCGTTTGAATCAGCTGTTGAATCATCGGTTTTCGAGTCGGAATTGATCAAGATCACATTTTCTAGTCGATGAAGATTGGGAGCAGACCGGACAGCCGAAGGATTTCTTCGGGTTGAATAAGAAACAGGCTTTTCAAGAGTTCAAATTTTGATCGATTTTTTTTTATCAATTTTTTGAAAATTCGCTTTTTTGAACACTTTCCTTGAAATTGTTAAAAAGCGGCAAATCGGGCAGTTTTCTTGTTGATGAGGTAACAATGTTGTGTTGGCTTCTTCTGAGGTCATTAACTGTGAGCGGCTCTTTGTTTTCTTCTCCGAAATTCGTGTATTGAAAACTTTCACTAAAAATAAAACGCCGAAAATATCAATTCTTGGTACCTGGTGAAAGCGCGTTTTTCTTTTGGAACCGCAAATCGAGAAAGCTCCGATTTTGGGATTTGAGAAATTTCGGCTTTTGAGTCGATTTTCTTTCCACAAAAGAGCATTGTTGCGACGATTCCAGTGATGATCAAAACGATGATGTCAACTCCCAAGTTGAGGATGTAAATCACCATGAACTGAAAAATGACTCATCAAAGGATTTTCAGATGATTCGGCTAGAATTCTCAATAAATAGAAAAAACTTACAGTTTTGATATTGTCATTTGACAGAAGCGCATCCTTGGTCGTTTCCGGAAGCGGCGCAAGAGTCGGAATGAAATTCGAAAACACTCCAACAGACAAGCCAAGAACAACCAGCAACAAAATCGCGGTCGAAAAGACGAAAATGAGGAGCAATAAATAAACCATTTTTCGGTTGAGCCAGCGACTCACGTGGCCGATCAGCGATAAGATGAGCATCATGCTGTTGATGATGAAGATCGTGTAGCAGAAGAGCGAGCTGTATCTGATCACTTGCGCGTCTTCCGTCAGATTTTCCAGCATTTTCAAATAGAAGGTTTTGAGTCCGAGGCCGAAGCCGATCATCAAGAGGGAGAGCATTCCCATTGTTGTGTTGAGAGCATGGAGCACTTTTTCCTTCATCTTTCTTTCTAGAATTAGAAAATTAAAGATGGGCTGCTCCCGCATTTCCCAAAATCTTGGATTTCCCAAATCCTGGATTTCCCAAAATCCTGGATTTCCCAAATCCTGGATTTCCCAAAATCCTGGAATTCCCAAACCCTGGATTTCCCAAAATCCTGGATTTCCCAAATCCTGGATTTCCCCAAATCCTGGATTTCCCAAATCCTGGATTTCCCCAAATCCTGGATTTCCCAAATCCTGGATTTCCCAAAATCCTGAATTTCTCAAATCGCAAAATCAGGATTCCGCCGATTCTGGATTTGGGGAAATCCAGGATTTGGGAAATCCAGGATTTTGGGAAATGCGGGAGCAGCTTTAAAGTTGGCAAAAGAAGCAAAAATCGCCGGTGATCCTTGAGGGCGGAGTTACCGCCTGCGGTTTGTCGAAAAGAAAGGAAAAACGCTCGAAAATGGAATTTCACGCATTAAAATTAATTAAGTCTTTGACATGACGGGCGTTCTAGGGCAGCCAGGCCTGCCAGGGGCCCAGCAAAATTGTTTTCTCGTTTGAGAGGAAGATCAAAGCCTGGCTTTGGATTAGCCCTTTCGAGCGATAAATTAAATCCGCCGCTGCCGCCCTCCATCAGCGATAATTTCGGCCTGTTATCAAAACGAAATTAGGTTTTAATCGAAAACTGTTATTACGAGTTTTGAGTGGTCGCAGCTGCATTTTTTACAAGTTCCGCTGGTTAAAAAAAAAATTAATTGTGCATTTTAATTTCGAGTAAAATTTAGTTTTCTTGATAAAAAATACGATTTTTGGGGATTTTTTCTTTATTCTGATTGGCCTATTGGCCAAATGCATTAATTTGATTGCCCAATATTTCGATCATAATTTTGGTCAAAATTCTCGCAATTTTTTGCTCTTCCTAAAATTTTTCTAGAAAAAATTTGCCTTTCGACCTTCACTGCCGATATTTACTTTTTTATCAGTCAAAAGACCCCGGTGCTTATCATTAAAACACTCACTCAAAAGGTCAAGCCTTCCAAACTTAAAATGAGCTTCCGCAGTAGCATTTTTTCTTGAGAATATTTTCCGCTCAAAACAGGTGTGGAAATACAAACAGAATTAATTAATGCGCGAGCTCTTCAAATTCTCATTTTTCAAGTGTTGGGCAATGTTTCGGAAGCAAAGATGAAAGGGCGAAAAAAGGGGAATATGCAGATGGCCGAAGAAAGAAGCTTTTGTTACATTCCGCTCCACTCATCCGGATCAGCCGCGACCCGGAACTTGAAGAGTGCGAAAAAAGAAGAATTTTAACTCCAATTTTGATGATAGCGAAAAAAGCTTATATTTCGCATTTCATAAATTTCCGCCTGGAAATCAATAAAAACCTTTTTTTTTTTGTCAAAAACCTCCGAATTTTCGACTGTAAATCGATGTATCAAGGGTCTGATTTCTCTTATTCTAGCGCTAGAATTCTTGGAACGGAAAGGCCCTGGTGTGAAAAGAAAGAAAACTCAATAATTAACATCCTCGCTCTTTTTCAATAGAAAAGTCGAAATAAAAAAAAACTTCTTTTGTCTTTCAAAAAACAAAAATTCTATAATTACCTCTGTTAAACTTCTCTTCTGCTTTCAATTTCTTCTTCTTTTCTTCTTACAGGCTCTCTACAGCCGGCTTCATACTTTTTTCTTTATTTTTGGCTGTTTTTCGGATTTGCGCTTGGAAAAGGTGCAAATGTGAAATAAAAAATTGGCAAGCTGCGAAATGCGCGCTGCTCCGCCTTGGCGCGTTTTTTTTCTTTTCAAGGTGAGTCACTCGAGCTCCGCCACCACCGCCCAATCATTGCAAATGATGATTGGAACGCGCAAGTACACTTTCGGAACCTTGCCAAACATGAAACAAAGTTAGACCCGCCTTTCCCACGGGGAAGATTTGCCGATTCTTAGTTCAGTTATTTTTCGACAAAAATCATCCATAGGGTCAATTAGAACGACTGTAAGCCTCGCGAAGCAAGAAAATGTTAAATGAGAAAACTAGTGAGAGCTTCATGCTGGTTTTTAATTTTTGATGGCCACGTGTTTTTGAAATACTGTCCTTTTTCTGACATCTTGTCGTGAATACATTTCCACTTGTATAAATTGCGTCTCACCTCGTTCCTAAGTAGATTATCCTCCCGTCGATCCCAAAAAAGTGTTTTAAAAAGAGTTTTCTCCAGAAATAAAAAAGAAGGAAAGATGAAGTTTTGCTCGTTATTGTACCTTTTCTTGGCAAGTGGAGAGAGCAAGGGACACTGGTCGGACAAACTGACGGCTTATAATTTGCACGATGCGTTTCATCTTTGTCTTCAAGGTAAGTTTTTGTTTTCAAAAAATCGAAAATATTTTGTATATGAAATTTCGAATAAACGGTCTGCTGAAGATCTTGCTCTTTTGTTACCAATTTTAGGAATGCTCTCTTCCGAATCGAATCTTATCTTTCCTTTGATGGAATACCGCTGCGAATCAATGATGAGGTACTCCATTCCAAGGCTCGGCAACTTGTGTAGATAACCTGAGTTCGGGTCTCAAATCGCATATCCAATCTATCAATTTAAGCTGTTTCAAAACCCTGACTCAGGTTTTCTACACCGTCCTTCGAACCCAAACTCTGTTTTCTTTCTTTTCTTCAAAAAGCAACTTTAGTCTTGCTTGGCATGCGAAACAAGGCGGAACAAACAACCACAAGAACGACTTCAAACACATCGGAAACTGACTGTAGCACATCTTATTTTTTTTAAAAACGACGCTTATGTACAAGAAAATGTGGGAGAAAATGAATACAGATTATGTAGTGAAAGCTCTTGAATGATTGAGAACATCGTATGATCCCTAGAAAATCGATAGAAAAAGCTCTCAAAAAGGAGACTTACTCGGCGGGAGCAGAAGAATGACACGGTGGAAATAAGTGCCATCGTCGCGACGAATGAAAAAACAAGGGAGAAAATGAGGACCAAGGGTCCAGATCCGCCTGGAGCAACGAATTTTTCTTCTTCAGGGGGAGGTTCTTCTTTGTTTTCTTGCATGCTCAGCATTTCCAAATACTGATTTATGGCCGAGAGCTGTTCCTCTTCGTCCGGCCTAGAGTTCTGTTACTTATCTGATTTGCTGATTTTTCTTACTCTTTTTCCTGGGGCTCAAGATTTGCGAAATCAAGGGCTGGTGAATCGGATTTGTAAAAAGGCCCCCATCTATTGTGAATGGAAAGCTGTTGGTAATGATTGTCTTTCACAAAGCTTTTCCAAACAGGGTGTTCTCTAGAATGCTCACAGAATCCAGGGCATTCTTCGTTGATAAAACAGACTGTGATATCGCAGTGGACGTAAAATGGGTCGCGCTAGAATTTCAGTAAGCGAGTAGACTTTGTTAAAAGCGGTACCGAATATTGGAGATATTCAAGCTCGGGCGTTTCCGAGTCGAAAGAGATTCGTGTAATTTGCCCCTGGCCAGAAGCATAGACGTTTGAAGAAACACCAACTGGACAGGCATTTTCGATTATTTTAACCGCACGAGGAAAGAGTTCATCCGCATGAGGGGAGGTGGAGACCCAGCACTTTTTCACCGCCAAGGCTTTGACGAAATTGCTGAGGTATGTTTGTTGTGTTTCGTTGGTTGTCATAATGTAAGTCTTTCGTTTGGGATAAGGACTTTTTAGTGATTAGTCTTAAATTTTGACTTAAACTTAAGGACCCCTCCGTCATGTGGGAATGACTTTTTCAAACATCGATTTCGGGTTGATACCCTTAAGATTTTTGAAAAATTTTCAACGACTGCGTAGCTCGATAGTTGGTCTAGGGCACCAGAACATTGAGCTCACTCGGACGCCTTTTAAGGATGTCATGGCGATAACTTAAAATTTCAAACACGAATATCTCAGAGATGACCTTAAGTGACGAAAAGTTTTTTTCGTGGAAAATAAAGCTTGGGACTCTCTCGAGGGCACCATAAGGAAATTTTGAAAATTCATCCATGAATTCACCTAAAAAATGACCCTCTATTTTTAATGGAAAATTGATTCTAACGGCGAAATTTTTATTTTAATATACTACAAAAATAAATTTTTCATTAAATTAATTATTAAAAACATGCCTGAATATCAAAAATTTAGAAAATAGCTAGATTTTAACCTTTTTGGTGGAAAAGTCGTTCATTCTCGCTCCCGAGCGCATCGATTCCTTTTCAATTTTCAAAACTTTAAGTCAATTTTTAAGGGTATTAGAGTCGAGATAGGCCCCGAAAAAATGAAGCGAAAAATTGTTTTTTTAGCACGAGGAATCCGAATCTGAGGTCAAAATTTCAAAAATAGGATTTCTCAAATCTTGACGGGGGGGTCCTTAAAGTTCATTCTTGAATTGATAAATTGCATTTCAATTGCTTTCATCGCGAGTTTCTGCGCGAAAAAGTGCCCTTTTTACTCATTTGAATCACCGATCTTACAGTAAATCGCACGACTGTACCTCAGTGAGGTTTCTCAAACCCGTGATTTACAGTTTGAAATCTGCAAAACGCTTCTAACGGGTGCCAGAAATAACTGCGAGGTGTGAATCGCGCGAGTTTTAGGAGCTGAAAGTGATACCGCACGGGTCTGTTTATGGCAGCAAACCGCCCTAATGACCCTTTTTGGCATGATAAGACTGAATCAACTCGTGCTGTATCATAGGAGATGACTCTAGAAACAAGGAAAATTAGCAACTTGGCACCTCTGGGAAGCTCTGCCGGCGTCCGGGTGATGAAATCGACCTGTGGAAGAGCTTTGATAAGAGCATAAAAGAAGATGGAATCGAGGTTCTTTCACCATTCTGTTCTGAAAGTCAAAAACTTAAGAACAAGGTAAGAGAGAGAGAGAGAGAAATTCTATTTATCGTTTTTTTCGATAATTACTTCTTTATTTCTTAATTAAATCTTTTCTTCAAACTATTTTCTTATAAAAAATTAAAGATGTCGCTTTGGGATCCCGAGGCAGCCGGAAACGCCGCCCAATGGCTCCGTCTTCCCGACACCACCATGTTGGAGATCCGAAACCAGCCCTTCGAGGGTGCCAAGCAGGTCTGGGTCCCATTCTCCGAGACTGGCTACGTCAAGGGTCTCGTCGTCGGCAAGGGTGACAAGCCCGGCACCACCAAGGTCCGACGATTGAACGACAACAAGGAGAAGGACTTCAAGGACGAAAACGTAAGTCACAAGATTTGAGTAAATGGAGACTGATTTGATGCTTAGGTCGAGAAGCAGAACCCTCCAAAGTACGAACTTTTGGAAGATTTGGCCAACATGACCTATCTCTCCGAAGCCGCCGTCGTCTACAACTTGGACGAGCGATACCGACGATTCATGATCTACACCTACTCCGGTCTCTTCTGTATCACCGTCAACCCCTACAAGTGGCTCTCCGTGTACGACAACCACGTCGTCGGTTGCTACAAGGGCAAGAGAAAGTCCGAAATGCCTCCCCATATCTTCTCCATTTCCGATAACGCTTACAACGATATGTTGCGAGAGCGACACAACCAGTCCATGTTGATTACTGGTGAGTCTGGTGCTGGTAAAACTGTCAACACCAAGCGAGTCATCCAGTACTTCGCCGTCGTCGCCGCCCTCGGCTCCGGTGGCAAAGACGGTGACGATGGTGCTCCCGCTCTCAAGGGTGGTGGAACCCTCGAAGATCAGATTGTCGCTGCCAACCCTGCTATGGAGGCCTTCGGTAACGCCAAGACCACCCGTAACGATAACTCCTCCCGATTCGGTAAATTCATCCGAATTCACTTCGGTTTGACTGGTAAACTCGCCTCTGGTGATATCGATACCTATCTTCTCGAAAAGTCCCGAGTCGTCTTCCAGCTCAAGGCCGAACGATGCTTCCACATCTTCTACCAGATCTGCTGCGAAGGTCGAAAGGACATCAACGAAATGTGCCAGATTACTCACAACCCCTACGATTACAAATACTGCTCCATGGGTGAAATCAAGGTCAAGTCCATCAACGATATTGAGGAACTCGACGCCACCGACGAGTCCTTCGATATTCTCGGCTTTAATGCTGAAGAAAAGGCCGGTATTTACATGATTACTGCTGGTCTTATGCACTCCGGAAACATGGAGTTCAAGCAGAAGCCCCGAGAAGAACAGGCCGAGCCCGACGGACACGAGGCCGCTGATCTTGCTGGTTACATGTTGGGTATCTCTGGACCCGAATACACCAAGGCCCTCTGTACTCCACGAATCAAGGTCGGTGCCGATTACGTCACCAAGGGTCAGACCGTAGACCAGGTCAACTACGCCCTCAAGGCCATCTGCAAGGCCGTCTTCGATCGACTCTTCAAGTGGCTCGTCGAAGTCGTCAACCGAGCTCTTTCCACCGATCTCCCCGATCTTTCTTCATCGGTATTTTGGATATCGCCGGTTTCGAAATTTTCGAATTCAACACCTTCGAACAGCTTTGCATCAACTACACCAATGAGAAGCTCCAGCAGTTCTTCAACCACCACATGTTCGTCCTTGAACAGGAAGAATATAAGAAGGAAGGTATCGAGTGGGAGATGATCGATTTCGGTATGGATTTGGCAGCCACCATCGACTTGATCGAGAAGCCACTTGGTATCATGTCCACCCTCGAAGAAGAGTGCATGTTCCCCAAGGCTACTGATATGACCTTCCGAGACAAGCTCTTCCAGCAGCACTTGGGTAAGAACGACAAGATCGGCAAGCCCAACCCTAAGAACCACAAGAACGCTGAGGTCCCAGCTCCTCACTTTGAGCTTTACCACTACGCCGGTACTGTCGGTTACAACGTCACTGATTGGCTCCTCAAGAACAAGGATCCCCTCAACCCCTCTGTTGTCGGTCTCCTCAAGAAATCTTCTAACAAGTGTATCATCATGCAGTGGGAGTCTTACATGTCTGCTGAAGACGCCGCCGAAGCCGCCAAGAAGGGTGGCGGAGGAAAAGGTGGTAAGCGACAGAAGGGTGGTTCTTTCCAGACTGTCTCTGGTCTCCATCGAGAATCTCTCGGTCGATTAATGGCTAACCTTCGATCCACCCAGCCCCACTTTGTCCGTTGCATTGTCCCCAACGAAATCAAAAGCCAGGACACATGGACTGGAACTTGGTCCTCCATCAGCTCCGATGTAACGGTGTGTTGGAAGGTATCCGTATTTGCCGAAAGGGTTTCCCCTCTCGAGTCCAGTACGAAGAATTCGCCAAGCGATACGTCATCCTCCACGCTGAAGCCAAGAAGGACGAGGAATTCTGCGACTGGAAGGCCATGTCCAAGGAAATCTGCGCTGGTATTCAGCTTTCCGATGCCAAGCACAAGTTCGGTCACACCAAGCTTTTCTTCAAGGCCGGTGTTATTGGTGACCTTGAGGATGAGCGAGATGAGAAAATCGCTGCTATTCTTACTTCTCTCCAGTCTTACATGCGATACCGATTGGCTGAGCGAACTTACGCTGAGATGATCAAGCGACGAGACTCGATCGAAATCATCCAGGGCAACATCCGAGCCTTCCAGTACTTGAAGGATTGGGAATGGATGAAGATCATCTACAAGATCAAGCCCCTTATCTCCCAGGCCGAAGAAGGCAAGAAGATGCAGGAGCTCGAGAAGAACTACGAAGAGGTCAAGAAGCAGCTCGAAAAGGAGAAGAAGCGACGAGCCGAACTCGAAGAGCAGTCCGTCTCCCTTGAACAGGAGCGAAACGAGCTCACCCAGAAGGCCGAAGCTCAGAACGCCCTTCTCGACGACGCCGAGGGTCGATGCGAAGAACTCATCGCTGCCAAGATTGAGCTTGATGCCAAGATCCGAGATCTCCAGGAGAAACTCGAAGACGAGGAAGAGATGAACAACGAGCTCGTTGCCAAGAAGCGAAAGCTCGAAGATGAATCTTCTGAACTCAAGAAGGACATCGACGATCTCGAACTTACCCTTGCCAAGATCGAGAAAGAAAAGCACGCTACTGAGAACAAGTCCAAGAACGTCACCGAGGAGCTTGCCTCCATCTCCGAGAACATTCACAAGCTCGAAAAGGAAAAGAAGGCCCTCCAGGAAGCACACAAGCAGACTCTTGGAGATCTCCAGAGCGAAGAAGAGAAGGTCGTCAATCTTACCAAATCCAAGGGAAAACTCGAGCAGCAGGTCGATGATCTCGAAATCGGCCTCGAAGCCGAAAAGAAGGCCCGAATGGATCTTGAGCGAGCCAAGAGAAAGCTCGAAGGTGATATCCGACTTTCCCAAGAGCAGATCATGGATCTCGAGAACGACAAGGCCGGTCAGGAGGAATCCTTGAAGAAGTCTGAATTCGACTATTCTCAGCTCAATGCCAAGCTTGAGGACGAACAGGCTCTTGCTGGTCAGCTCCAGAAGAAAATCAAGGAGCTTCAGGGACGAACTGAAGAAGTCGAGGAGGAACTCGAATCCGAGCGAGGCGGCCGAGCTCGATCTGAAAAGACCCGAGCTGATCTTTCCCGAGAACTCGAAGAGCTCGCTGAGCGACTCGAAGAAGCCGGTTCCAACACTCAGGCTCAGATCGAAATCTCCAAGCGACGAGACGCTGAAGCTGCCAAGGTCCGACGAGAGCTTGAGGAAGCCACTCTCAATCACGAGTCCTCTCTTTCCAACATCCGAAAGAAGCAGACCGACCAGAACACTTCTCTCTCTGAGCAGATTGAAAACCTTAACCGAATCAAGCAGAAGCTCGAGAAGGAAAAGTCTGAGGCCAAGATGGAAGTCGACGAGCTCCACGTCAACGTCGAGTCCCTTACCAAATCCAAGCTCAACTACGAGAAGCAGACTCGTAACCTCGAGGACAACATTGCTGATCTCAAGATGAAGCTTGAGGAAGGTGCCTCTGTTCTCTCTGACTCCAACAACGAGAACAACCGACTCCAGATGGAGATCAACGACTTCCGACGACACATTGAAGAGAAGGATACCGTCAACTCCCAGCTCGTCCGAAACAAGAACTCCTTGTCTCAGACTCACGATGAGCTCAAGCGACAGCACGACGAAGAGTCCAAGGCCAAGAACTCTCTCTCTCACCAGCTCCAGTCTCAGCGACACGACACTGACATGCTCCGAGAGCAGATGGAAGAGGAACAGGAATCCAAGCAGGAGCTCCAGCGAAACCTCACCAAGTCTAACAATGAATGCGTCCAGTGGCGAAACAAGTACGAGACCGACGCCATCCAGCGAACTGAGGAGCTCGAAGAGGCCAAGAAGAAGCTCGTTGCTCGACTCCAGGAGTCTGAAGAGCAGGTCGAAGCCGCCCAGGGCCGATGTGGATCTCTTGAGAAGACCAAGACCCGACTCCAGGGTGAAGTTGAAGATCTCTCCGCTGATCTTGAGCGATCCAACTCTGCCGCTGCCCAGTTGGACAAGAAGCAGCGAAACTTCGATAAGCTCCTTGCTGAAGCCAAGCAGAAGCAGGAGGAAGCCCAGGTCGAGCTTGAGTTCGCCCAGAAGGAAGTCCGAAACCAGCAGACCGAACTCTTCAAGCTCAAGAACTCCACTGAAGAAGCCGTCGACAACCTAGAAGCCATCCGACGAGAGAACAAGAACCTCGCTGAAGAAGCTCAGGAACTCGTCGATCAGCTCCAGGAAGGATCCAAGACCATCCACGAGCTCGAGAAGACCAAGCGAATCGCCGACCAGGAGCGAGCTGACATTCAGTCCTCTCTTGAAGAAGCTGAAGCTGCCATCGAGTCCGAAGAAGCCAAGACCCTTCGAGTCCAGGTTGAGCTCCAGCAGCTCAAGCAGGAAATCGACCGACGATTGGCCGAGAAGGACGAAGAAATCGACAACGCCCGACGAAACGCTTCCCGATCTGTTGAGCAGATCCAGGCTTCTCTTGACAACGAGATGCGAGCCCGAGGCGAAGCTATCCGATCCCGAAAGAAGATGGAATCCGATCTTAACGACCTGGAAGTCAACATGGCCACTGCCTCTCGACAGGCCCAGGATGCCCAGAAGAACACCAAGGATCTCCTTCTTCAGCTCAAGGACTTGAACCAGAAGCTTGATGATTCTCAGCGACAGACTGAAGATCTCCGAGAACAGTCCGCTGTTTCTGAGAGACGAGTTGGTCTCATGACCTCTGAGATCGAAGAACTCCGACAAGGACTCGAGCAGGCCGAGCGAACCCGAAAGCAGGCTGAAAACGACCTCATGGAAGCCAACGAGCGATCCAACATGCTCCACACCCAGAACGGTGCTTTCATCAACCAGAAGCGAAAGATCGAGGGCGAACTCAACGCCGTCAAGACCGAAGTCGAGGAAGCCATCGGTGAGGCTCGATCCGCCGAGGATGCTGCCAAGAAGGCCTTGACCACCGCTGCCCTTCTCTCTGAAGATCTCAAGAAGGAGCAGGACCAGTCCCAGCATCTTGAGCGAATGAAGAAGAACCAGGAGAACTCGCTCCGAGACCTCCAGTTGCGACTCGACGAAGCCGAGCAGGTCGCCCTCAAGGGTGGCAAGAAGGCCGTCCAGAAGCTCGAAGCCAAGTGCCGAGAAATCGAAATGGAACTCGAAGCCGAGCAGCGACGAACCAGCGACAACACCAAGGTCATGCGAAAACTCGAGCGAAAGTACAAGGAAGCCAACTACGCCAACGATGAAGACAAGAAGAACCTCATCCGATTGTCCGACTCCATCGACAAGCTCAACTCCAAGACCAAGTCTTACAAGAAGGCCGCCGAGGACGCCACCGAATCCGCCTCCTCCGCCATGTCCCGATTCCGAAAGGTCCAGCACGAACTTGACGAGGCCAACGAGCGAGCCGAAATGGCCGAAGCCGCCGTCAACAAGGCCCGATCCAAGGCTCTTGAATCCAAGTAAAAATTTACTCTGTCTACCATCTTTCATGATTTTTTCAATAAAAATTTGATGCTCAAACTCGTTTGTTTTTATCCCATTCCTGTAAGGATGTCCAAGGGTTGTTTTTGTCCAAAACATAAAATGGCTCGCTTCCGCCAAAATAATCGTATTTCACAAGTTGGTCTAAATTTCGGCTTGAATTAAATTTATATTTACGAGATCAAACCTTCAAATTCAAATGTAGGGCTGCTGTATGCTTTCCCATAAATCCTCAGACTGTTGAACATGTCCTCGTTCGTGAGATACAAAGAAAGATCAGTTTCTAAGTCTACTTTATTTTCCCTGTCAATACGGATCGACGATAAATTCTTTGAGTGACTGCTTGATAAATTGAAGCCGCTCAAATGATCTTCTGGAATTTTCTGGCATTCTTCTGGATGAGTTTCATTTTTGCAATCAGGAGTGATGTGGTAGCGCGAGCCATAGGAGCATTTCCACGCGATAAATTCTTCTCTCGGATATTTTCCGTTCGTAATGTTATCATTCTTGTGCCAAATTGTATTTGAATAATGAAAGAAAGAATTATGACTGTCGATCTTCTCTTCCTCAACTCTAGAAAAAACCTTCACCTCTTCATCGCTTTTCCCCTCCTTACCGCGTAGAACATAGCCCAAAATTATTCGCCATGACAATTTCTATCATGCCTTTTTGCTTGCTCTCCGGAAGGTTGAGCTTGTTGGCATGGCAAGATCGTTCCATGTAGTTTTTCTCTCCATGAAAAAGAAGTTTGTGATTATCGGAGCCAGTTTTGTTCTTGAGATAATTGCTGTTGATTAAAATTTGAATTTTCTCTGGCCCACATGCTGAAAATCTACATTTAGCAATTTTTCAAAGAAAAACGAAAAATCTTCATATGAAAAATTGTTCTTGAGAAAAACTTACTCAGACAGTATTCTGGAATCTGATCAGCCGTTTTATCTTCACAACTTTCCGCTTTTATCTCTTCGACTTGTCTCGCAGACACAAAGCTGGTATAATAAAAGAAGAAATTTGAAAATTTCATGTTGGATTTTACTTTTTAGGAAAAAATCATGTTTTCTTGCGTTTCTTTTGTCGCCTAAGTTGTTTAATTGGGGCTCAATAGGCTGAATGGCGCACGGGAAGATCGTAAAAATGAGAGTTAGAGGAAACGTCATTGGTAATTAAAATCCTGGTCAGAGACATCCGACGACATCACACTCTCAAGTCGGGAACCCTCGACTCGCCGGGATTTCCTCGACTCGCCGGGACTTTGCATATTTTTTCCCGGCGAGTCGAGGGTGTTCTAGAGATTGCTAGAATCACCAATTATACCCATTTTTAACGCTGAAATATTTTATATTTTAAATCATTCCTTATCAAATATTTCCCCAAGAAAAGGTTGAGTAGGGGTTATAGTTTGGGTTAATGGTTAGGGTTTAGGGTAAGTGTTGAGGAATTGTGCTTAGCGATTAGGGATAGGGTTAGGGTTTGTGACCCTCGACTCGCCGGGATTCTGTCTGCATACTTTTTCCCGGCGAGTCGAGGGTCAGGCGAAAATCCCGGCGAGTCGAGGGTCTCCCTCTCAAGTGATGCCACGTTCTCTACCATGTTTGATTTCTTTGTAAATCAGTCACGGTGACGATGCTGCATTCTAAATCTCGCAAGCTTTCTTCATGACGCTTGTTGTTTTGACGGGTGATCCAACTCAAAATTTGCGGAAATCATATCATGTTATATTTTTCGCTCGGCATTATTTTAAATTTTAATCCAAAAATATGCGTTTTTCTATCTGTAGTTAAGGGTGTCAACATCGAATTGAATATTTTTCTGCATCAGTTTATATTCACCCTCCCTTCTAAGCCGAGAAAAAAACTCAATTTTCATCGTGTTTAGCTAGTTATAGCCAATTTCAAATAGACTATGACAAAATAATCATAGATTTGTTGGTCAACTCATAAGATAGACCCTTACTTTATCGATCTTGACACCCTTAACGGTCTCAATTATAAATTTTCAAATAAAAATTTTGTCTAGCTCCCGTTTATTCTTACCCTGATTCTCTCAGGGAAAATGAGAGAGGAATGACTAGGGTATACTTACTGTAAACGTACTGTTAATTTTGGGATCAATATTTTTCGCTTATTACCGCAAGTAACTTACCCCGATGAAAAGCCACGTATGTCGTGTTCTGATCCTAAAAGATCGAAAACGTTAAAAGAAAACTTACTTCTAAAAGATTTTCGAGATCTAAACTTAAGATTTGGCCGACCCTAATATTTAGATTCTAAAGCATAAAATCTTAAATTTTTTAAGTACTTCTTTTTTGCGAATATTTGAACAGATGATGAAACTGCTTGCGCGAAAATTTTTCGCTTTATCATTAAAAGTTAACCAGCTTTTTTGATCGCACTTTAGCGCCACTTTTCGTGAAAATATATAATTTTTCACACGATCGAAGAAATAAAGAAAAATTTTTGATTCCTTGTCATGAAAGCTTTTTACGTGTTATTTTTCATACAAGCGCAGAAAACAAAAGCTGCTCGAGAAACAGGAAGAAAATATTCAGTTTCAATTGGGTCACGTGATCAGTGCGATGATTCCCAAACAGTTTTTGCGAAGAGCATGAAAATGACTCAAATTGCGAGGAGTGGAACTGTCCTCAAGGTTCAGCAGAATTTTCAAAATGCACAGTTGACATTGATTTTCATGATACTAACAAAATTCATCAATATGAAAGAGTTTGTAATTGCCATACAGATGTGGGCCCTTTCAAAGTTTTTTCTGGATGCAAGTGGAAAAGACTCGTTTTTAAAAAGTACATTTTTTACTTCTGATGTTTTTTAAAAACACCAAAAAGCTTGGGTAAAATTTCGATACAAAAGACAACAACGACAATAGCAACATCAACCACAACAACAACAACATCAGCAACATCAACAACATCAGCAACATCAGCAACAACAATCGATACGACTTCAGAGCCAACATCAAAGATAAGCGAGATTGTGACTGAAACTGAGGACATTCTGCGTCATGATTTAATAGTAGACAAAGAAATCAAAGAAAAAGAATCGGAGACCTCTGTGGAGTCAAAGAGAAAAAGCTCCAGAAGGTCAAGAATTTTCGCAAGTAAGAATGAAAATCTTATTTCTTGAAAACTTTCAATATTTTTAGGAAAGTTTAGCGTCTGCTTGAAATATCTTCCAAGCAAGGCGACAGATTTAAAGTGCACGATTGAAAGATATCAGCGTTTATGCGAGTACTCATGCGCAGGAAATCGACAAGAAAACTCGTGTTTGTGTTCAAATCAGGAGTGCTCTTGGGAGAAAGAATTTGAGGAATCGTGTTTTCCCATCGAAACGGATCGGAATCAACTTCAAAGCAGCCACATCATGAGAAGCGTTGTCCCTGACTTTGAATTTCCTGTTGAGTCGATTGAAAAGATTAATCGTCAAGGTAAATGTTTCAGTTACTCAATGATACAATAGTTATTTTCAATTCAAGATGGAGTTTATGTTCATGCGTTTCAATTTCTGCAATTTCTCCAGCGAGTCATGTATGAAGAGGGACTTTTCACGATTGATGAAGAAACTGTATAATAAATTCTGAATAACTCCTGCCCTATAAATTTTGTATTTTTCTGAAAATAAAAAAAACATAAAATTCTGTGTTTTCAACGTTGCGAAATAATCATATGATAAATAAAAACTTACCAGAAAACGTCGAACTTTAACTTGCCTTTGGGTGCAATTCAAGAAATCCACCTTTCAGGAACGTTGGCAGCCACGTTCTTTCGGGTTAGAGCACGACGCACTGGATTGATAACGTTTATTTTTTTCTAGAGAAAGACCTCTTCGAACGCTTATGAAGCCTATAAGGAAAAGTTCGAATATTTTCGCTGTTTCAATTATTAAAAATTTGTCTTTGATAAACTCATTGTAACTCCCTTTTTTTCGGGGAGGAGGCTCGAATCAACAAAATAATTGAAATTTTTGACCAAAATTTTGTCTAAATTTTTGACTCAACGTTTTTTTTTGACTGTTAATTTGGAACTCGAAAAGCTTTGTCATTTTGACAAGTGCAGTTCATGCAACTTGTTTCGATGGAAACAATGGAGGATGCTCGCACTTTTGTTCAGAGGGGGTTTGCTCCTGTCCGGACTGCTGGACGCTTGGTATTGTTTTCTAATGTTTTCAAGTTTAATTTTGACGGTTAGATTTGGACGGGAAGACATGTCTCATTGCGCCAGAGAAAGGCAACATTACCTGTGAAGCATCGGGGCCGACTATTTTTCTTGATAAATGTGTTGTGCCTGAAGTTGATCAACTCTCAATCCATCTAAATCACGACAACTGTTCAGCGGTTGAAGACGGTACTACTCATTGGAAGATAACACCATCTTCTTTTTACGATTGTGGAACTGTTGTTGACACCCAGGAACGGAAATAAGAAAGTTTCTCATTCATTGAAAGCCAAATTTCAAAATTCCTTGGAAAGAACGGCACTTTTTCTTTCAGCAATACTCTTCACATTGGAAGTAGAGTTGCAAATGGCGTTGTCATTGGGCGGAAACGGACTTTTGACTTTGCTTGTCATTTTAACAGTACCATGACCGCAACAAGCCACTACAATTCAAGGCTTGGTTTGAAATTAACATCGACGACTTTTTTTTTCATTGTAATTTTTTAAACCAAAAAAAAAGCAACGCAGTAACCGTTTCTCAAACGATCAACGCTGGAAATCCATTTGTCGACCTGTCTTATTCAATCAATTTTTACGATAGTGCAGATTACACAAACAAAGTTGACTTTTCATCCACAAGTATCACCGTCGGCAACACTCTTTTCGCCCAGATCGAAGCTCCAGAATTGATAAATGATACGAAATTCATCGTCAAAAGATGCACCGTCACTGATAACACCGACGCTGGTTACAGTCTCATGCTTGTCAACAATTTTTGCCCAATCGATAATGGTCTCAATTTTCGTTGGCGATCGGATTCGACGAGTGATTCTGTTGTTCAATTCGAGTATACTAATTTTATATTTCCTGGAAGCTCTGAAACGACTGAAATGACGCTTGATTGCGAGGTGAGCTTATCCTTAAAAATAAGTGGTGTCTTTTTTCATCCCTTAAATTCAAACATGTGTTCCCTTGTTCATTATTCACCAGGCAAATTACAAAATTTTAAATTCTTTGAGAAAAATATCGTAAAAAATATTTTTAGATTAATCTCTGCCATGTTGACGATTCGGAATGCTTGAAAGGTTGTGAGAAGCACATTTTGGTGTTCCCTAGTTATATGGCAGATGCTTACACGATCTCTTCAAGTGGACAAATGACGGATGTATCGGTCAGTGCGCCATCGACAATAGATTCAAATACAATTAATTTTGCTGAATATACTGGTGGAAGTCATTTTGCGGTCGTTCGTGGAGAAATGTATGTTTTTGGAGGAGGCTATGGCATGGAAAGCAATCAAAAGGTATAATAATGTCCAAGTTATTAATTTTTTGATGTTTTGATAAAGATAGCGATGCTGAATGGGTGCGAGTTCACCGAGCTTCCAGTTAAATTCACTTTTTATTATGGCGCTGAGTCTGCAGCACTCGCCATAGACGGCGGAATGCAAGGTAACAGTACCACTACATTTCATCTTTCTCCTTGCTGATAAAAACGTAAAAAAGCTTAGTAAGGGTATAGTCATCGTTGAGGCCTACTTTGAGCTTGAATTCCTGGGTATCCTAGTTTTTACTATTAACAAGAATTTTTTTTCGAAATTCAAAGAAGAAATATTTTTTCTAGCCCGTCAAAGTTGGCTACTCTGCGGAAAATGCCAAATTTCGTGATTTTCAGGGATCCTCATGTGCACTATGACTACCAGTTCTTGAGGGTTATTTGATAAAAGCTCTTGTCACTTTTCTAAATTTTCTCTAAAAGTAATTTTGAGTCATTGCAGGAAACTCTAGCATTATAACTTATAACAACTAATAACTTATTATAATTTATAAGTTACTGAAGAATTCAAGCGTCAAATGACCAAGTGCGATTACTATATCCTTAAATGTTTTTAGCTCTCGTCTGCTTTGATACGATATACGGGTGGCGGGCGGCGATTTTCCGAAGGGCGTTCGCAAAATCGAAAAATCGTTCTTAACTTCTCAATACACGTGGTCGGTTCAACCGACCACGGCGATTTTGAGCCGCCGTAATTTCTCTTGTGCTTATCCATTTGACCTGATTTTTGAAATGTGAGCTAAGATGACTGAAACGAACCACTTTGTGAAATTTTGGAACTTTTCTCAAAAGTGGTGGCGTTTTGCACTGGATTTATCTTTCAATCTTCAGCTTTAAATTCAAAAAGTGTTTTGCAGAATTAATTGTAAATCTTGATAGGTGAGTGTTCAAGCTTTCCAGCAATATGTTTAGTAACTTTTTTGCTTGCCGGAAACGCAAGTTAGAGCTAAAAGTCTTGAGCGCTCTTTATCACACTCCAAATTTTGCGCGCCGACCCCTAACTCTAACCCTAACCCTAACCCTAACCCTAACCCTAACCCGACCCCGTGTTTTGAGCGCTTAGTCGCGCGCCTGTGTATTGAGAAGTTAACTTTTTTCAAAATGTGTCCCAGCGGTAGAGGAAGACTGCTTCTGCCAACCCAACTGAGTTGAAAATGCGCGAAGTGGATATTCGGGACACTTTTTAACTTTGTTGCGAACGGTGTTCGCAAATTGGAACGTGGCCGCCCTTCACCTTGATGTAAAGCAAGGGCTTAAGAAAGTCCTATAATTAATAAAATATTTATAATATTTAAGTATTGATATAATTATCATTATCATTATTTTATATAAACTAGGAAGCAAGCTGAATTCTCGTTGAATATATTTCTTCGAAAAATTTTATTTTCTATCGTGGCGAGCCCAGTCTGAAGTCTCTTGACACACGAAAATAAGGGCAAAAGATGTGAAGTATTCGATGCTTTTACGACAGCACCTACTACTTTTGTCCCGCAGTACCATCATGGCTTTGGTAAATTGGGTATGTATCAAGGCCAACCAACAACCGCCGGTGGAACAAGCTCTCTGAATGTTGGCCCCTTCAAGAAAGTTGAAACGCTTACTCCAACCGGGTGGACAAGCCTTGCTGATCATCCAAAGTAATACTTTAACTAAGGTTCTTACGCGGACTAGAATTTCAGAAATATAAGGGCTCATGTCTTAATTGGTTTGGACAGTGGTGCAATGGTGATGGCTGGCGGATACAATCCAGATATTCCTGACCTTACTCGAGAAATTTGGCTTCTGAAGGACGGCTTATGGAGTAATATTGGTTTTCTTAGCGACGTTAATCCTTTCTCATTAATAACAATCTAACGAACAATTTTTCAGAGATCAAGAGAATCATCGGCGTTGAGAATCGGTAACGACATCTTCATCGTCTGTGGTGCGCAATCAACAGAAAAGCTGAACTATTTTCCGATTGAGAAACTAACAATCGTTGACGACGAACTCATCAATTCAGAAGTCATCGGCAGTAAGACAAATCAAAATCAACAACCCGTTCTTTTCGAAGTATCAGCTGATTTCACTTGTTAACTATTATTTTGATTAATTCCTTGTTAAGTCAAAAGATTGTTGGTCAAATTATCAAATTTTGTCGAATTTTCTGGCATTCTTCGGGATGAGTTTCATTTTTGCAATCAGGAGTGATGTGGTAGCGCGAGCCGTAGGAGCATTTCCAAGCGATAAATTCTTCTCTCGGATATTTTCCATTCGTTACATTATCGTTCTTGTGCCAAATTGTGTTTGAATAATGAAAGAAAGAATTTTGACTGTCGATCTTTTCTTCCTCAATTCTAGAAAAGATCATTATCTCTTGATCGCTTTTCACTCCCTTACCGCGTAGAACAAAGCCCAAAATTATTCGCCATGAGTCATGGGCCATGACAATTTCTAATCATGTTATCATGTCTTTTTGCTTGCTCTCCGGCAGGTTGAGCTTATTGGCATGGCAAGATCGCTCCATGTAGTTTTTTTCTCCATGAAAAAGAAATTTGTAATGGTCAGATCCGGTTTCAGGTAAAATTTCGATAAAAAATCAAAAGCCAACATCAAAAATAAGCGAGATTGTGATGGAAACTGAGGACGTTATATTTCATAATTTCATAGAGAATAAAAAAAATTAAAGAAAGAGAATCGGAGACCTCAGTGAAGTCTCAAAGAAGAAACTCAAGAATTTTAAGAATTTTCGCAAGTATGAAGTTATCTTCAATGATTTCGATAAAACCTAACTTCTTGAAGACTATCAATATATTTCAGGAAAGTTCAGCGTTTTCTTGAAAGATCTTCCGAGCACGGTGGCAGAATTCAAATGCACCATTTGAAAAAGATATCACCGCTCATGCGAGTACTCATGCGGAGGAAGTCGACAAGAAAACTCGTGTCAGTGTTCAAATCAGGAGTGCTCTTGGAAGAATGAATTTCAAGAATCATGTTTTTCTCTCGAAACGGATCGGAAACAACTTCAAAGTAGCCAGTTCATGAGAAGCGCTGTCCCTCGAACCGGATTTCCTGTAGAACCGATTAACAAGATAAATCGTCAAGGTAAATAATGATTCGATTAATCGATGATAATTATTTTCTATTCAAGATGGAATTTATGTTCATGCGTTTCAATTTCTGCAATTTCTCCAGCGAGTCATGTATGAAGAGGGACTTTTCACAATTGATGAAGAAACTGAAGAATAACTCCTGCTTTACAAATTTTGTATTTTTTTTTTTGAAAATAAAAAATCAAAAATGAAATTCTGTGTTTTATAGTTAACAATGTAAACGTTGCAGAATGATCACATGATAAATTAAAACTTGAGAGAAAACGTCGAACTTTAACTTGCCTTTGGGTGCAATTCAAGAATTCCTTCTTTTAGAAACGTGGGCAGCCACGTTCTTTTGGGTTAAAGCGCGACGTACTTGACTGATAGCGTTTTATTTTTTTTTAGAGAAAGAGCTCTTCAAGCGCTGATGAAGCCTATAAGGATAAGTTCGAATATTTTAACCGTTTCAATTATTTAAGGTCAGTCTTTGATAAACATATTGCAACTCCATGCTTTTCGGGGAGGAGGCTCAAATCAACAAAATTATTGAAATTTTTAACCAAAATTTTGTCTAAATTTTTGACTTAGCGTTTTTTTGACTATTAATTTGGAACTCAAAAAGCTTTGTCATTTTGGCAAGTGCAGTTCATGCAACTTGTTTCGATGGAAATAATGGAGGCTGCTCCCACTTTTGCTCAGAGGGAGTTTGCTCCTGTCCAGACTGCTGGACGCTTGGTATGGCTTTTTTACTACTTTTAAAGTTTTATTTTGACGGTTAGATTCGGACGGAAAGACATGTCTCATTGCGCCGGATAAAGGAAACATTACCTGTGGAGCATCGGGGCCGACTATTTTTCTCGATAAATGTGTTGTTCCTGAAGTTGATCAAGCATCAATCCATCTCAATCACGACAACTGCTCAGCTGTTGAAGACGGTACTACTCATTGGAAGATAACACCATCGTCGTTTTACGATTGTGGAACTGTTGTCGACACCCAGGAACGGAAATAGGATCCAACAAAAGGATATTTTTTAGGTAAAAAATCAAATTTCCTCGAAAAGAATGGCACTTTTTCTTTCAGCAATACTCTTCATATTGGAAGTCAGGGCTGGCAAATTAGGGTCCTAACAGCCGCACTACCGAAAAATTGTTAGGGTTCTAACTCAAAATTAGTGCGAATTAGTGCGGCATCCCCGTCCTACCCGTCCTATTTTTTTTCCTTGATATTTTTTCGTCTATTAGGACTGAATCGCCGCCCTAACCGTACTAATTTGGAGGCTCTTTTTCATCATCCAATCGGCGCGCGCTTCCCACCAGGCGCGGAGGACAAATTGGTGGAAGATTGAAAAAGAATGGAGCTGAATGGATGAGAAAAACGAATGACCCGCCATGATTGGCGGACCAATAAGCGCGCGCCTCTTTTAGGACGATTTTAGTGCGGCTTTTTCCAACTCGTACTAATCGCACTAAAAAGTTATAAAATGAGAGTTAGGGTTCTAACAATAGGGTTCTAACTCAAATTAGTGCGGCTGGCGGGACCCTAATTTGCCAGCCCTGTTGGAAGTAGAGTTGCAAATGGCGTTGTAATTGGGCGGAAACGGACTTTTGACTTTGCTTGCCATTTTAACAGTACCATGACCGCAACAAGCCACTACAATTCAAGGCTTGGTTTGAAATTAACATCGACGACTTTTTTTCATGGTATTTTTTTAAACCAAAAAAAAGCAACGCAGTAACCGTTTCTCAAACGATCAACGCTGGAAATCCATTCGTTGACCTGTCTTATTCAATTAATTTCTACGACAGTGCGGATTACACAAACAAAGTTGATTTTTCATCGACAAGTATCACTGTTGGAAACACTCTATTCGCCCAGATCGAAGCTCCAGAATTGATAAATGACACCAAATTCATCGTCAAAAGATGCACCGTCACTGATAACACGGACGCTGGTTACAGTCTCATGCTTGTCGACAATTTTTGCCCCATCGATAATGGACTGAATTTTCGTTGGCGATCCGAGTCGACGAGTGATTCCGTTGTTCAATTTGAGTATACTAATTTTATATTTCCTGGAAGCTCTGAAACGACCGAAATGACGCTTGATTGCGAGGTGAGCTTATCCATAAAAATAAGTGTTGACCTTGTTCATCCCATTCACACCTAGGGTCGGCATCGACCACCCTTTTTCAATGTCGGGTCGGGTCGGGCCACTTTGAAATGGCCGAAATCATGGTCGGGTCGGGTCGGGTCGAGTCGGCCTTTTGGTCGGGTCGGTGGTCGGTTTTTTTTTAACCAATGAGAATGATGAAAAAGCTTCAAAATCGAAAGATGGGGGTTATGAAACTTTCGATTTTATAAATGTCCTAAATTCTAAATGGTTTGGCGCTAGTGACATTAAAATATGAAAAACTTCTCGAATAACAGAAGTGAATTTATGTCAGAAAACATGCCCGAGAATGAGCGAAAACCGACCACAGACCCGACAAAAACCCGACCATCGACCGACCAACGACAAATCTCAATGTCGTGTCGGGTCGGTCCGACCAAAACCCGGCCCGACACCCGACAATGTCGATTTGGTCGATGGTGGGCGCCGATCCTAGAATTCACACATGTGTCCTCTTGTTCATAATTCACCAAGGAAATGACAAACAAGAGGATGCTCTCTTTAAATTCTTTGTGAAAAATATCGGAAAAAATTATTCTAAGATAAATCTCTGTCATGTTGACGATTCGGAATGCTTAAAAGGTTGTGAGAAGCACATTTTGGTGTTCCCAAGGTACATGGCAGATGCTTACACGATCTCTTCAAGTGGAGAAATGACGGATGTATCGGTCAGTGCGCCTTCGACAATTGACCCAACAACCAACAACTTTGCCCTCTACACTCACGGAAGCCATTTTGCGGTCGTTCGTGGAGAAATGTATGTTTTCGGAGGAGGCTGGGGAGGAATGGAAAGCGCGCAAAAGGTACAGTTATGTCAAAGTAAAGCATTGTCTGATGACTTGATAAAGATAGCGATGCTGAATGGGTGCGAGTTCACTGAGCTTCCAGTAAAATTCACCTTTTATTATGGCGCTAAAGCTGCCGCAGTAGCCATTGACGGTGGAATGCAAGGTAACAGTGCAATGGTTCCGTAGAACTGCATTTTCTTCTATTCGTGTTTAATCAAAACCATTAAAATGACCTCAAATTTAATATTTTAGCACTTGTCTGCTTCGATGAGATGTATAGCAAGGGCTCGCTATGGAAAGTCCTAGAATTTATATTTAAGGAGGTAGTCCTCGGTTTTGACAAACTCGGAATTTTCCAATTTTTATAAAAGATTCTGAAAGCTCGTTAGAAGAGCTACAAATTTGGTATTGATCATTTTTTCCAAATATTAGAGAAAAGCCCCCAAAATCGCACTTGAAAAGTGTAATTTTGATGAAAAATTTCAAAATCAATAGATTTTTTGACTATTTTATCCAAAATTATAGCTTAATTTCGATTTTTGATGACCTTAAGATTATGAAAATACAAAAATAAATGTCTGTTATAAAGATAATTTAAGGCTATGGTGGTCGATTCGGCCAAAGCAGAGCTCATAAACTCTGGACTTATAAATGTTAGAGTACCCAGTAATGGCTTAAAATAAAGATCTTTCCTAGATCCTCTGAATTACAGAAGGTTTTTTGTTTTTCCAAGATTTCCGCCAAATTTCGGAGTTTTTGAGCCTTGTATATTGGCTATTTTTGCGATTTTGGCTGAGATGCCAACTTTGAAGCCTCCGGAAGTGATTTTTTTCTTGACAGAACAGAAAAAACTTCAGAAGATCTAGGATAGATCTTTATTTTAAGCCATTACTAGCATTCTAGCATTCATAAGTCCAGAGTTAATGAGCTCTGCTTTGGGCCAAATTTACCACCCTACCCTTAAGATTAATCTTCTTTAAAAAACTATTTTTTTCATGATTTTGAGACACAATTTTTGCTCGAAGGCTTTACATTATGACTTTTTAGAATTGAAGAATTTCGTTTAGTGGCAACTCTAGACGAAGGGATGAGCTTTTTAAAACATTAGCCCAAATTTGTCTGAGCGCTGCTCAAAAAGTGCCGAAATCGCGAAAAGCAGGGACTACCTCCTTAATATACATCTTTATCTAATAGATAAATGCAGAAGGAAACTTTTTTCTAAAAAATAAGTTCCTTGAAAACATGAAATTCTCTCATAGCAAGCCCTGTCTCAAGTATCTTGACACACGAAAATAAGGGCAAAAGATGTGAAGTATTCGATACTTTCACGACAACACCTACTTTTGTCCCGCAGTACCGTCATGACTTTGGAAAATTGGCTATGTATCAAGGCCAACCAACATCCGTCAGTGGTAGTACCGCTCTGAATGTTGGCCCCTTCAAGAAAGTAGAAACGTTGACTCCGACCGGCTGGACAAGCCTTGCTGATCATCCAAAGTAATACTTCAACTTAGGTTCCTTCACTTACTAGAATTTTAGATCGATTAGGACTCATGTTTTAATTGGTTTGGACAGTGGTGCAATGATTATGGCTGGAGGACGCGATGATGATCTTTCCGATCTTACTCGAGATATTTGGCTGATGAAAGATGGAGCATGGAGTCTCATTGGGCTTCTTCAAGAGGTTCTTTTATTCTAAAACTCCGATAAATCATTGGCTTCTTTTAGGCTTCAAAAGAATCATCAGCGTTGAGAATCGAGAACGACATCTTCATCGTCTGTGGCGCGCAATCAAGGGACACGCTGGACTTTTTTCCAATCGAGAAAATCAAAATTGTTGACGACGAAATCATCAATCAAGAAGTCATCGGCGTTAAGACAAATCAAAATCACCAACCTGTTCTTTTCGAAGTCTCAGGCGATTTTACTTGTTAACTGCAATGTTGATTACCTAGAATAAAAAATCGTCTATCAAATTATCTAATTTATTCAATGTCATTTGATTGGTAAAAGACAAGTGTCAGAATGAAAAAAGGTGTTTTTGCTTAGCATCCCCATCGAGCAGCGGCAACGTCTCGGACGTCATCGAGGGTGAGCTCGGTCTTGCCAAGGGTAGTGAAGATCTCGTCGCACATGGCCTTAAGATCGGCCTCAGAGAGTCCCAGCGCCTGGGTCTCGTTGACGAAAGCCAAGAATTTGGTGAACTCGGCCTTGTTGATCTTGCCATCGCCAGATTCGTCCACGAGGCTAGATAAACACGGTTACAAGTGGCTTGCTATTTGGGAAGCAATATTTGCAGCGCAGTTTTGTCTTGGCGGAAAGCCTGGACGATAATGACTATCATGCGGGTTTTCTGGTTTGATGAGTCGAAAAGGCCGGATGATAAAATTTGATAGAGTTTGTTGTTTGCAGGGCAGTTTACAGTGCCCAGAAAGTCTGACCAAATAAAACGATCAAGAATCAGTTTTATTTGACACTAAAAAGCCGGATTTAAAATCGACCAAAAGTTCAAAACCCAAAATAGGCCTCTAAGCCAATCAAAAACGCGTATTTACCCCCTCAGATTTTATGCTAAAATTGTACTTACGAGAAAAAGAGCTGAGCTCGGATTTCGATTCGGGAGCAGAAGAGAACAGCCAGTCCTCGGGCAGCAGCGACAAAGTCGACCTCGCCTTTATCCTCGGGGTCGAAGGCGGGGTAGAGGACCTCAGCGACGTTCTCGGGGATGGCGTTGGGGAATCGAGCGGCGGCGGCTTCCTTTAGCTTGGCCATGGCGTCCTTCTTGACAATCTTGCCAGATGGGTTCTTTTCGTGGAAGAGGTTCCATTCCTCAGTAACCCAGGCTTCTTCGACTAGAGAAAAGGGGTAAGAAAAGTTAAAGATTTTTGAGTCTCTTATTTGCTATTTTCTCTCTTTTACTTACAGCCGTGTTCGGCGAACTTGGCGACAACTTCCTTTGGGACTGGTGGGGCCATTTTTAGCTGTGTCTTATTTTCAAACTCAAAAACTGAGAATGAAGGTCTTGACGACCACTTGACGATTATATGCAGCGTCCGTTTGCGTTGCAATCATTCTGTTTGCATCTCCTCACTGGCTATGAATAACTGGAAATTTCCGCCATTGATACGTGCTCTTTTCGCAGCTTATTGAAGTTTTATGCTGCTTTTTCGAAATATTCTTGCTGAGAAAATGAGCTGTCGTAGGAAATAGAGTAAGTTATTATAAAGAATCCATAAAAATGGTCATATTTGGCATGTAATGCGACGAATCATAAAATTTTTTTCGGCTAAAGAGTTGAATCTAAAAATTTCCAATGAAACTAAGGGTGTATCGAAGAAAGTTTCGGAGAAAAAATCATGATTGAAAAAGGCCCATTTCGCAATTCTTGATGGGGGGTCCTTAAGGTAGTAGGGGGTTATCATTCGAGCTGCCCCTAGCCCTAACCCTAACCCCCCCTAAGGTCTAAACCAGGGGACTTCGCCCCCCGGACCCCCCATTAAGAGTTCCCAGTCTCTAACTATAACCACTAGCCCAGATTCAAGAGATATTGGATGGCTCTAATTTTAGGCTCGAATGATAACCCCTCTCTATGGTCCAATGGCAATCAATTATTCTTATCCTAACCAACATCCTTATCATAATTCTAAACTTTACTCATGGAGACAAATTCAGTGACCAAATCTGACCTACATTCCTTCGTCATTTCATCGAGACCTTATAAATCCACCACTTAGACATTCTCACCATCCATCAAGACAGTATTAAAGGAAGCCATAGAGACGCCGATATTTGCCTTCTTTATCATGCTCGCGATTTTTGCATGAATCGCGACTCTTTCGATTTCGCATGACTACCAAAGAAATGCCACTCGCACTATTTGCGCTAAAATGATTGCTAAATTGAGCTGATGCATGATGCTCTGTGCGAAAATTTGGCAACTGCTGCTGTTGAAATAATGACTGTTCGTTCAAGTTCAAAGAAAGAGACTCATTCCCTGCCCTTGAATCTTGGCTCGGCAACATGTGTTGAAAATTTTTCAAAATTTTTTTATTATTTTTATTTTATTTTACAAAAAATAGCCTATCAAAAATTTACGCAGTCGCGGATACAGGAGTTTGATTTTGAATCTGATTTGCCTCAGCTGCAGCTTGAGTGTTATTCGCATTTTTCTTCTTCTTGCCTTTTGTCTTCTCCTTCTTTCCTCGATTCTGTCTTTGATGCGTCAGCTTGAGCTTCATCTTCGCTTGGAGGTGTTGGCGCTCCTTGGCTTTGATCTCGTTCTGTCGCTCTTTGAGAGAAGCTTCTGTTTGAATCAGGTCTTTTTTCGCGATCTGGAGGGCTTCGTCGATTTTGGCATATTCTTCGCGATTGTGTTTTCCCAAGAAGGCGTTTCGGGCCATTTGCTTTTTTTGCTCAGTGAGAATTTTCGTTTCCAGATCTGAAAATATTATGTCAAATAAAAAGGCAGTGAAAACACCTTTTGAAAATCTCCTTCCTTGAAATTTCACCCTGACTCAGGCTTCCTACACAGGGTGCTGAATCCAGAGTCAAAAGATAAACCTAACCTTTGAGCTTGTTTTCGAGTTCCAACTCTTTCAAAGTTTTTGGAATTTTCGGCACCGTCGCATCCATTTTTATAAGTCAATACAAGTTCTCGCTCTTTTTGATAATTTTCTTTCGCTTCTCGAGTTTTTAAAGTAGCGCGGTTAGTCATAGCAGTGGGAGAAAAAGCGAGGGTGATAATCAGCTGATTTGCTCCTTGCGGGCGATGTTATGTAATCGACAATTTATTTACAAGTCAATTGCAGTACAGTCTCCTACAGGCTGATTTTCTGTACAGTTTGTAAAAGTTCGCTTTGAGCAGGTAAACAGAAAAGGGTCAGTTTCTGTTCCGTCAATCCAAGCGGGTTCTCGACAGGTGCAAGTAGCAGAACTCACTGTAGTTTGACAAGAAAGCGCTCCGTAGCGGCAGATCGAAAGCGGGCAATTTTCGGGAGAATCGGACCCTGGACCGGAGATGAAGTACCAAAGAAGAACTACAGGAAGGAACTTTTAGGGAGAAGTAACAAGGAAGTATTAAAAAAATGAAAAATCATGCGAAAACTCATGCAAACGTACGTGAATACCTCCCAAAACCGCGCCCAAAATCACCAGCCAAGCAAGAAGTAACCACAGCCAAAGCATTTTCTTTTTCTCTGGCGACCATTTTGACTTTTTCTTTTGAGAATCGGCCCCTTCAAAAACATTTTGAAAAAAATAAAATCAAGGAGGATGGTAATAAAATGTTTTTTTCAAACCAGAAATAATATTCACGGAGTTGAGTCTGTTTCCAAGTGTATTAACGAAATGAGGATCGTATGAATCATTTATGAGGAAATCTGGAATGCTCATGTTCATCGAAGTCGAAGTTGAATTCGGAGTTCTGATTCTTGACGATTCCTTTTTCAAGCGCTTTTCTTGAAGAAATAAAACGACGCAAAGCATTTTGCTCTAAAAAAACAAACAAAATATTTTTGGAGGCGCTTTCCTTTGAGCCTTTCATTTTTCTCGGATGAGCAAGGGAGTAAAGATGTTTATTTGAAATTGATTTGACAACTGGCAGCGGCTCGAGCTTCAAAAATTTATATTTTTCAATCGTTTTTTCTAGTTTCTTACATAAGGAGAGTCTCTAAGATGCTCTGGAATGCCAAGGTTAGGCAATGATCGTCGTTGTCTCTCAAAACCAGGCACTTCTAGAGCCGCACTTCCGAAGCCCGAAGAAATCGGCATTTTCAAAAGAAATTAAGTCGAAGTTCAACAAGTGATGAAGAAGATGAGAAGAGCGATTAATATAGTTCCGTATCCAAGACAATCTGGGTGCGAGCGAGCCATCGAAGAATGAAGAAAAAAGAAAAGCTAAAACAACAACGATTCGAGATTGGTGCCGATTTGACCTGTGAAGCTCTTTTTTTTTTCAATTTCAAGAAAAAAAAAACAGGTTTTGAGACTTTTTTGTATTTTTTTTCTCTCAGAAAGACAGTCAGTATTTAAGGATGTCGTAAAGAAACAGTGTGCCTGATCATTTGCAATCGTTTATTCAAATTAGTTTCCTTGTTGCCGGCATAATGCTGCGCTATTCCGTCGACCATTTTGATGTCCGTGTCGTTTGAGATTTCTCTGAAGATTCCTGTGAACAGCACATCCTCGAGGATGAAATCAGAGAGGCTCACAATTGGTCAAAAATAGATTAAAAATATGATTTTGAGTGTTTTTTGGCCATTTCTGTGAGTTTTCGCGATTTCAAAAATATCCGCCGAGGCTTTTTTCGTGAAAGAAGCAGCAGGGCCGTTGCAAAAAGGAGGAAAAATGTAGCCCATCGGGAAGTTGAAAGCATTGACTCCATATTTTCCCGAGCGGACTGGCTGACCAGGTTTGATGTCGCAAAAAAGGCAGCGGAATTTAGCAGTGTCGGACGATTCTCTTTTGAAGGTGTTTTTGATCAACTAAAAAGGCATAAATTATGGAAAAAGGAATAAAAAGACACGTTTTCGTAGTCAACAACAGAATCGTCATCGTGAAAAATTGTCCATTGGATATTGCAAGCGTCGAAATATTCGGAATTCAGGAAATTATGAGCAGCGAAAGTCTGAAAATGAAACTCGATTATTTTCGAAAAGATGGATTCAGACCTTTAGCGGGAGATTATTGTAAATATCATCAAAATCAGCAATGATCAAGTCGTCAAACTCCTCCAACTCCTGATAGAGAACTTCCATGCCAGAGTCTTTTTTGCCGAAAACGAAGTAAATCTTGAGTTTCTGATCTGGAAGCAGCTTCTGGTACTCGTCGCGGATCTGGCGATTGAAGGATCGAAGTCTTTTGTTGTTGATCGCGCTCTTGATGAAAATCGGCAGCTCATTAATCTCACAAGGTTTTTGTGGATGCGCTAGAATCGCTGGAGGAATGTTGAAATCCTTTTCATCCAGCTTGAAAAAGTTCGGCGGAGGCTTCATGATTTGATAGCTCTCGGGCAAAATTCTTTCGGCAGAAATGAAATCGACTGGATTCGGTCGAGTTAAGGCTGGAGAATAGATAGAACCGGTGATTGTGTTTTCCAGAAAACGATCCTTCGAGAGAAGAAAGGGGCCTTGCTGAAAACTAGAGCGGCAGGGTCCGAGGTTTTCGCCCCGGAAGGTGAATTTGACGAGATTACTTGGATTCTTCAGGGGATATGTTATTTTACGAGAAATTTCAAAAAAAAATTCAGCAAAATCTATCCCTTTCCGGATCAGCATTTTTCTGATTTATGCTTCTATCATCCTTGATGCATAAAATACCGTTTTTTGGATCTGGTTTCTTTCCGACTAATTCTGGCAAGAGAAGAATATCTGCTTCAGTTTTGAAGACCACTATGTCAGACTCAACCTTCGGCAAGATTTCCTCAATCATCAGCAAATCCTTGTCATTTTCTTTTTTCACGAATAAAAATTCGAATTTCACTGGACTTGATTGAAAGTTCGTTAAATTCAAAAATTCTTGATTCAAAAGCTTCATTTCTTCGCTGCTGTAAGAAACAACGATTGTCCATTTTTCAGAATTTCGAAGGCCGAAACTATCGGCGAAGTTCAAACTCGCCCCTAGCGGGGGATAGTAGCGCTCATCTGCTCGTATCTTCGATGATGAGGGTGGAATAATCACTTCAATATATCTTGGCACAATTATCGTGAAATTACTGTAAGGGAAAAAGCAACCAAGAGACAGAGCTCCGAAGAGAATGATCATTATGAAAATTGAATGTGCATTTTTCTTGCTTTTTCGTTGTTCTGGCTTTTCTCTTTGGTTTGTGATCTTTTCCGACATCGCTCTTTTATTCAGGAAGTAAATAATAACTTTTCGATTTTTCAATTGAAAATAAATTGCAACCCTCGAAGATCACGAAATCTGATTCAATGATTTCTCGTTGAGCTGCGAAATCTTTATCAGGATATCATAACATTTTTAATTTTTGCTCACAAAAAAGCGTTTAAATTAAAAAGAAGAGAGAAAAAAAGGGAAAAGAAAAGAAAATTTTTGAAAACATGTTTATTTTATTATTATTACAATTTTGCTAACAATTGTGCGCGAATAAATAAATCAAGCCTAAAATCAGCAGATCTATGCTTATTTTTTGTTCGGATGAAGTAGACGTTGTTGTGGTCGTCGTTGTTGTCAGCGCTGGAGTTCCATCTGGAATGATTTCACCCGCAAAAGTATTGCAACCATTTGTGTTGCAGTGATAGCTAGTAAGTGTGGCTCCGGTGTAGTCAGGATGAGGAATTTTTGTCACTTAATTTTTTAAGAGAAAAAGAAGAATCGATTCTAACTTCTATTTTTCGGCAAGTCTCTCGAACAAAATCGGTTAGTTTCATATCTAGCATCTGCTCCAGAATAAGCAGCGGTGGTGTTGACTCCGCAAGACCTGTAAGTTGCATCTGGACAAGTTGTGTCTTGAAAAATCGTCAAGAACTGCGGGGAGAGGGGAAAAACCTGGTAGAGAAGATGCGTTCTGGATACAAGGATGATCCTTGTCAGTGTTGAATAGCTTAGTATCGCAGATTTTGCACTTGAGGAGGCTCATTTCTTCAAAATCGAGAAGCTTGTCGTCCAAATTTTCATCATTGCACTAAATTTTCTTTTCAAAGAATCATAAAGGAAAAGTACCTTTTGACCGTCAGAAAAATCACAGGCATAAACATTTGATTTGACGTTGTGAAACTTGCTGAGCTCTTTTTGTTCTGCCAAATAGGTTGATGAGGATTCTCGACAACCACGTTCAGCTGACATTGTGTATGTCACGTGAGTCTTATTTCCATGAGAAAACATCGTTGCTTGATTTTTTTTTTAGATTATTTGTGGAAAAGAGAGCTTTACCTTTTGTGAAGCATTGAGAATCACAGGAGACACCATTGTAGGTCTGGCCAGTTTCGATGTTCCAGCAAAGTCCGAGGTTTGTATTGTCCAGATGGACACCAAATTGAAATTTTGCTTGAAAGCCATTTGAACAAAAAGAACGTTTTTCGTAGCTTACTGTTCGTTGTGAGCGTAACAGAAGCTTCCCCATCGCAGAATATGCACTCGAATGGAATCGCAGCATCCATTTTGTAAGATTGGAAGTTGTTCCCGAGGTCAGAAATGGATCTTTGGACGATTGTGTCAACGTTTGTCACCATTTGCTCAGGAAACGAATCTTTCAATAAAGAGAATCCGGATATTTTTTAATAATTTTTACCTTTTTCATCAAAGTCAGCAGGGTTGGTTGAAACAGCATTAGGGGATATTCCATCTTCCGGCCTGTCAGTACATCCTCGTTTTGCAAAGTAAAATTTCTTCCCATCGAGTTTGTAAGATCTGATCACAGCTTGACAGGAGTTCTTCTCACAGTAAGCATAAGGCGTGTTGGAGTTGGGCTTGATGCATTTATCCTTGTTGTCTTCAGTCATTGCTGAAATGATCAATATTATTGAATTTGAGCTGAGGGGTGGGTAAACCAGAGCATTCGTAGCATTTAATGATGTTGATGACTGGATGGACGATTTCATTCGGGTACATATCAAGAGAGGAATTGTAAGTTACTGGAACCGCCTCAGATCGCGCTAGTAAAAAAACTGTAATGATAAATTTGAAGGAGGGTTAGGTACCTAAAGATGTTGATTCCATTGGTGGTGTGAAAATTTCACGAATGGGAATTGTCTGCCCTTCCGTTTTTCTCGTCTCAAGTGCGTCATCATTTTTAAAGCTTCAAAAAAATAAGCCTTTTTTGATCGAAAAAGTGTTCTTACATATGATATGTTTGCGTGATGAAGCCGCTGAAAACATCATCAATCGTGACTGAATCATCGCCGCAATCTCTGATGATTCCCACAACTTCCGAATTTCTATCTTTCAATTCATACGCATATGTTCGTGTCCTGCAGACACCACCCTCACTTGGGTTGCAAAAATACTTGTCGCTGTCGATATTCCATTGAGACGTAGAAACAGTGTTCATATTCCAGCAATCAAACGACACACCTTCCGGATCATTCGGTAGCTGCCCGAGTGTTGTCGAATCAGCGCATTTTGGGCAGAAAAAATCGGAAGCGAGGAAACAGTTGTGTCGTTCAACATTGTACCAGTACTTATTCGCGGTGTTGCAAAGACAGGTACATTTTGGCTGCTGAGTGTCATCAATAAAATGAAACGCTAGAATCGTTAATAAATGGAAAAATTAATTGTATTCTTACAGGTAAGATTTGCCTGAGCATGTTCTCGCTGAACCTCGCATCGATTGCACCAACCTCGAACGTCATCGCCATACCAGTACTCTTTATCACCACAATGAAAGTTATTTGGATCCCATCTTCCTGGAGCCGGGCAATGAACACAAAAATCTCTTGCTTCATTTGCATAGTAGTCCGTATCACACTTGCAGTATCCATTCTCACAAGCAGCATTTAGCACATTATCTGGAAGGCATGGACCTGAGTTTGGCTGATCTGCATTTGTATCAACCGCGCATGTGGTTCCGGCGCCGGTATCATCCAGGCCACAACTAGTGTCCCTTGTGATTCTCGTGATTCCTCGCCATCCTGAATCTGTTGTCAAGTCAGCCGTGCATCGAAAGCACTCATTATTATCACTGAGATGATATCCATCGGCACAAGTACAGGAAGTTCCATAAGAAGCGACAGTATCCCCAATGAGATCAGGATTGCCATCTGCATCTTTGTCAGAATAGCAGTGAAAGCATCCGTCTCCAGCATAATTAATAAGAAACAAATTTGAATCCGCGGCAGCAGTGTCAGAGAAAGTTTTGCAGCGGCAGTCAGGCGGGTTTGGATCTGTCTCGATATCTTCAAAATTATTCGCCACATCGCAAGCACATCTATCCGAAATAACGGATGAATCCGCATCAACCATGTGCAAAATTGAATTGCAGGAGCATGCCTTTGGATCAGACCCAGTATATCCTTTATTTACATCACATATGCAAACACCACTATTGCTTCCGTCATCGATTGCGCCATCAAAAACATCAAGAGTACAGTCGATCTGACAATCTGGTGCAGCAGGGTCGGAAGCTGCGTCAGAATATCCATCACCTTCATTGCAAGTGCACCGGGTTGAACCATCAAAGGCAACAGAGGGGTCAAAATTACCATTTGGATCACAAACACAGGATGGTGGATTGGTATTGAGATCAAGGGTAAATCCGAGATCGACGTTGCATTCACAAATTCCGGCATTGTCAATAAAACCATCATCTGTAAGGCAATTAATGCATGGGTTATCGGAAGTGTCAACACCAGGATCGCTGCAGTCTTTCGTTTCTACGCAGTTCGGAGCGCCACTAGGATTTCCGTCGACAAAACCCGAGGACGCATCGCATTCGCACTTATCTGGCGGGCTCTTTGTTCCGTCAAAGTTTCCTGATGGATCACATTCACAGCCTCCTGCGTTGTCGGAAACATATCCTTGTAGCGGGTCGCATTCACAGGCTCCACCGCCTGCAACACTAGCAAATCCAATAGATGCATCACAAATACATACGCCAGTACCATCATCAGTATATCCCGTGCTTGCATCACAGCCCGTACAATCCTGTCCCGATCCATCTTGGCCATCTTGAATGACACCTTCAAGACTACAGTCAAATGTTTGCCCAAGCACGCCTTCTCTGAGAAAAGTAAAAATGAGCAAAAAGCTCCATGTTCTTCCCATCTCTCTCTTTCTACTATTTTTCATTCATCTACTTGCACCGGTCTGGCGGAAATTTTACAATAGAAGGTATCAATTTTCATCACCCGCTTTTATGATTTTTTTCAAGTTTATTTTGGTTGCATGGACAAAAAGGCTATTTAGTAGAAGGAAACAATGATTTCTTCAAAGTTTTCAGGCAACTCATAATCTCCAAAATAAACATCATCAGGATCGTCATAGAAAAGACCAGCACTGAGATCCACGGTGTTCAGAAGGTTTCCTTGAGGAATATGAGTTGCTTTGAGAACAATCTTTTCTTCAACTTTGTCTGCGATCAAATCAGCTGAAATCAAGGGCACATCGCTCATCATTCGGCTCATTTTCGAATCCTCTGAGATCTTCTTTTGCGATGAAGAATTTCTAGCGCTGCAGCTTTTTTGGACTCGAGGGGGTCAAATTTGTTTGTTGTGCTTATTAAAAAACGGCATTTTGAACCCTTTCTTTTTTGATTGTTTTGACAAGGCCAGATTTCCTCTTTTTCCAGCTTCTTAATTTCAGACAATGAGTAAAACTCTCCGATCCAAGAAAATCATTAAGTTTTCCGCTGCAGATTTTCTCCAGATTCTCAATTGACATTTTCCCGGAATATCTACTTCTTTCTAGATTTCGCCCTTTTGCTGCTCTAGAACTTTTCAAAAAAGTGCGAATAGCTTCGTCGAAGATTTTTTCGAATGTTTTTCGCGACAATTGGGTCGAAAAAAGGGCTGATTCTTCAGACTCTTGTTGTTTTAATGATGATCTTCGGCTTCTGGCATCGCATTTGTCTGTGCCAATCAGGTGCCAAAATGCATCTTTGAGAGTTTTCGTGAAACGGAAGGTATACTTGTCTGTTTTTCTTGAAGCTTTTTGATCGTTAAGTCTAAATTTCAGAAGAAATAGATCTGATCACGTGGCTAAAATGGCCGAAACCTGCATCGAAAGGCATGATGAATCCAATTACCGCAAGATACAGTTGTTTCTTCAAGTTTTCTCTCAATATCCTTCAATTTCGATTCTGTTTTCCCGAATTTGGTAAAGAGGAGTAGAAGAAAAATGAAAATCTGCATTAAATTTCTGCAACAACTGGCTAATCTCTGCCAGAAAACGGCGTAAACGATGACGCGGGGTTGGACACGCTTGTCAAAATTATTGAAATTATAGATGCTTGTCCGATTTTTTAGACTATTGTTTTCGGAAAGGAGCAAGTTTCTACATAGTGGATCACGAAGTCAATGATCCACGTGGTGTTCTTTGCACTGCAAAGTTTGCAGTGATGAATTCAGATATCGTGATTTATTTATTCGGAGATTTTCGGAAGCGATGGGCAATATTCAGGAAATAACCGATGTTGCCTTGATTTTACGGAGATATTTTTTTCGTAGATACGGACGAGTCTTTTCAAATCTGTTGAGAACTCATCCGTTTTGTCATTCGACTAGAGAGCATGTGCATGATAAACAGGTTTTTTAAAAATCCCGTTTTTCTATTTTTATCGATTCTAGTAGCAGTAGATGATGCGACGCATTTCAGAGCCGGAAGTTTGCAGTTTAAAAAAGATGAAAACGGAGTACTCAAAGTCACGAGGACAATCGGTTGGAGACGATACCTAGCCGGCTTGGGAGACGATGGATGTGACGATTACACGACATTATAAACATTTGGGCATTATTAACAATCGGATATTATAAGCAAAAGGACATTTAAAACAGAGTTTATAATGTCTGAATGTTTATAAAGTCCGAAATCTAGTTAATAGCGTCGGAAAAAAAATAATTCAAAGAAATGAATCTTTTTATTTGTTCTTTAAAATTCAAATTTTATTGATAGCGAGTAAATGAACAGTAATGAGCACAAAATCAACAAAAACTTCAATAATTGCAAGGAGCAATAACATTGCATTATATTTTGATATTTTCCCTTCACAAATACAGATTCTTCGTGACGCTGAATCGGTCCAACCAAAATTTGTTTCTTGATCTTCCACTGAAGATTCTTCAATAGAAGTTGACTCGATCGACTCTTGCTCGGTGTCTTGCTTCTTATAATCGAACAAATCATCATACGCTTATTTAAATAAATAATAAAATCACAATTAACAATAACATGCACATACCTGGCGGTTCGTCATTCAATGAAGAAGGAGTTGGAGCAGTTGGTTCAGTAACTGTCCGATTAATACCATAAATTCCATTTCGCTCTGACTCTGAATAATATAAGAATTCAAAATAAACAAGTCTTCCCAAAAGGGCTTTTATTCTTACCAGGCATTTCATTGTGGTGACTTGACAGGTCTTCAGCAGAATTGCAAATTTTTGAAATATTTTTCTGTCCTCAGCTAGCTGAGCTTAGGTCGAAATTGAGCTGAGCTAAGCTGAGCTGTTTTCGATTACAATTGATCTGAGCTGAGCTGGCTTTTTTCAAAAAATTGAGCAGGGGTGAGCTGAGCAGACAATTTTTTAAACTGAGCTAGCTGAGCTGACCTGACGATTATTTGAGCTGAGCTGACCTGAGCTGAGAGCGCTGATTATACAGTTTACTCGCACAATTTGGACATTTTTCGTTTTGCAGATTTCTCGAAAGAGGGCCGAATTGTGCCGGTCCGAAATTCGGATTAATTTGCTGTCCAATCAAAAAAGATCAATTTCGGAGCCCTAAAATGTAAAAATCTCACTATTTTTGTCAATTATTCCCGTAAATTCTACGTGTCAATCAAAAAAAAAGAGTAAGAAATAGCATTTCTGTCGTAAATATATCTTCCAAAATACGTTTGAGCAAGTAAATTCGACTGAAATTCACATATATGGCTGATTGAGCGATTTTCATTAATTTTCGCGAAATTCGAAAAAAGGGCCGAATTGTGCGGGTCCGAATTGTGCGAGTCAACTGTAATTGGTAAATGAGTTGAAGCTTCCAAAATCAGACCAAGTAAAAGGGAGCTGAGCTAGTTGAGCTGGTCTGACATTAAGCTAAGCTGAGCTGCATTTCAAAATTCCATTTCAGATTTAGCTGAGCTAGCTGAGCTGGCGTAAAATTGAGCTGAGCTTAGCTTACTGTGTTTCTTAAATGACTGAGCTGAGCTGAGGTAGATGGCAGCTCAGCTAGCTCGGCTAGCTCATCTCACAAAATTTACAACTCTGGTCTTCAGTATTATTTATCCTGCAAAATTTATATTTCTTGACTCTTTGTATGACGTAGAGGGATGAAAAAAGAAAGCCTTAAGTTTATCATTTGGTCTTTTCTGAAAAGCTTACTTATTGAGCTAAGCATGATAGGAAATGCCAATTTTTGCTTTGACAGTCTGTCTTCATAACTCCATGAGGACAAACCACAAGTAAAAATCAAGATGGAAAGGAACAAATTAAGTACTGTGCCGAGAAATAATTTTAAGTCTGAATCAGAATTGTCATTGAATTCGATTTCATTGTCTCCGCCCCTTATGATGGCCAAACAATAAATTGCGAAGAGAAGAAGAAAAATGACAGCAGCGACGAAGAGAAAAAAGGTTGAAGTCCAAACGGCAACTCTTAGCTCGAGAAGATTGTTTTCGTTGAATTTGAAAAACGTGAGTTCCTTAAATTCGGAGTTGTTGAAAAACTTTTGATGATTTTCTTCAAAAAGCCACATCTCTTTTTTAATATTAAGAGTGACAATTTTCATTTGTGAGCGCGACTTTGACTCCTTGATATTTGCAAGTCCATGAAAATTTTCTTCTCGACGATTAAGAGATGATCTACCTTTGACGAAAAATAGAGTTATTCCGAAACTATTTCAAATACAACTTCAATTGATCATTTCTTTGGGAAGAATAATGTAAATCGTATGTTGACAGAAAATTTTTCCGTAAAAAAGGCAGTTCTATTTGATTCATACAAAAAGGTTCATTGTTTTCGGGTACACTGAACGGACACAAAATTTTCGGACAAGAGGGAATCCCTGCCCCGAAAAATAATTCATCTTATGAATCTCACTTAAGTTTGACTCTAGCAGCTCAACTGACTCTTCTTGGTTTATTTTGGTCACAAAGCATCGTTGACGATTTTAAAGAAATTTTGAAATTTTTCGATAGTAAGAAAAATTTGAACCGAAAAAAAATAACCCTCGAACACTTTTTGAAGATACGGACATTATAAACAATCTGGACATTATAAACAAACCGGACATTATAAAGAGAAATAAAATTTATTTCAAATAAATTTCGCCAAGCCCTCACAAGACATTTTAACCATTACGGACTTTATAAACAACCAGACATTATAAACACTGTTTCAAATGTCCGTTTGCTTATACTGTTCGATTATTTATAATGTCGTGTAATCGACCAATTGACTGCGAGTTTGATTGTGAAACAATCGGACCTGAATGGAAGTGTCTAAAGCAAAAATGACAGGCATATAAAGACTGTTCTTTTGAATGTCTTAGATTCGAGCATAAAGGTTGTCCGGATGGAAAAGATTGTAATATTAATCAGGATTGTTGTCTTCTTTGTGGACGTCATTCATGAGAGGATAAACGATTTTATTTGATTTTTTAGATGGATTTTTATTTCAAAAAGTATGATTTTTCAATTATTGAAACAAAAATTTTCGCATATTTCAGGCAAAATGGTTGCGTTCCGATCTGAAATTGCTGGCGGGCGCGTTTGTACCGCTGGAGTTACTTGAGCACCACACCGGTCGGTGCGGTACGCCATGTCTTTTGGGCTTGTCATCAAGTCTGATCGCCAATGCGCGTTCTGCTGAGCACCGCCGCGGGGCACCTCCACCGCCAGGACACTAGCTTACTATCGCGCTCTGTAAGCTATCTGCCCGTTTTGTGTGCTGTGTTATATACTCGAGCGAAAATCCAAAATCGCCAAAGCCGCGCCAACCATCTCATCATCAGCAGAATAAGAAACACAACCCACTATTCACAATTAAAAATTTAGCACTCGCGCGCTAAGAAGGTGCTATTCAAGTTCCAGGACGACGAATTATCAACAATTGACAAGAGAATCTAGAGCAGCGAATTCTTGCATGGGAGAGCAGATCTTGCAAAATAAAGAATGGAAGCAGCAGCGGAAAATCCAGTGGAACTAGAATGCATCAAAGAAGAAAAAGAAACCAAGTAAGGGTTGAAATTTCTTACCAAAAAATAAATTCACCATTTGCTTTAGCATCTTTCAATTTTTTTTTTTTTGAGGAGGGTTAGGGTTAGGGCTAGGGTTTGGGCTAGGGTTGGGGTTAGGGTCTTCGCCATCTAACAATTTTTTTTCTAGAAATGATCAATTGATCTCCGATTCTCAATCATCCGATCAATCTGCACCGACAGAAACTCTCCCATCGAGCGATTCATCTCCCGTCGTAGAAAAAATCGACGCCGAGCAAACTTTGAATGATTCTGGCTGCCATTCTGGTTCTAGCGATCCCGGTCAAGGCTCCTCAAGAACATCTGAAGAAAAAGAAATCGAAGAAGAACCATGTTGTTCAAAAGCTGCAACGGCCCTCCCTCCCTCACCCGAAAAGGGAATTTTACGAAAAGACGGAATGAAGAGGAAGAGGCCACTTAGATTTTCTTCCGTCAGGGAGTTTTTATTTCAGCGCAAACAGGTTTTCAGATATAACTGTTAAATCGTTTTCATGCTTTATTCAGTCTTTTTGCACCCTTCCATCGACGGGCGGATGTGCTCTTGGGATGGACGAAGAGCACCACGAAGCAGTCAGTTTTCCTATTCCTCTTCATCGGGAGCGTCTGAATTCAAAGCGTCGTAAAAAGCTGCGTCAGTGGCGCGCTAAGCAGAGGAAAATTGCCGCGCAGACTGAAAGTGGCCAAGCGATAACATCGGATCATAGCAGTGAAAATGATTCTGACTCGGATGCGCCAGAAGGTATGTTTTTTGAGTGCGATCAGTTTTGATTGGTTGCTTTTTCAGAGGATCTTACTGGCGTCGATGAATGGTGGTTCCTGCAACCTATTGCCCCGAAAAAGCGTCGAAAAATCTTGAAAAAGAACGTTGACGATGTTGACAGCAGCGATCGCTTAAACAACCGAGTGCTCAGATCATCAAGAGAGGTCTGCGGCTGCTCATGCATCGATGTTTGCCACCCAGCGACATGCGAATGCTCGAATGGAGGAATTCCATGCCAGGTTGATCGTGATGGATTTCCATGTCCTTGCCAAGGTAAAATTGAGTGTCTTCGAGAATATTGGACAAGACTTTTTCATCTAGTCGGACGATGTGGTAATCCAAGCGGAAGAAGATCGTTCAATTCAGCAAGAGTCAGACATCATTTCTTCAAGACAATGTACAAGCTTCGGTGCAATGAAAGTCCTTCCAGAGAAAATTCTCCTTCTTCATCTTCAGAGGTAAGAGAATCTTGGCGACGGTCATTGGTAACTTGAAAATAAAGGTGCGAACAGGAGATGTACAGCAACCCTACAGCTTTGGAGACTTTACGAAACCATCAGACTTCCAAGGCGCAATTTACCTTCCACAGCAGTGGGATCAACAAACATCGCTTTCAGAGGTGCGTTGTCGAACTTTTCTTTCGGCATTTTTACAATTTTCAGTGGACATCCGTACCAGAGATTGAAGACGAATCTCGTCTTTGCGACAATCTTCCGAGTGTCGACGATAATTCCTTGGTCCTCCAGCCAAATGTCACCGCGTCTTCTGAGAGTTCAACTGAAGACGGCTCAGTAGATGGCGCGCAAGAGCAGCCAAATCACGATCAAACAGAGCCTGATCAAATCGCCAACAAAGAAATTCATACCCAACAAGTTACAATCACGCCTACACAACCTGCCAGCATGAACGAGACAAACATCACTGTCATGAACGAGGAGAGCTCACGAGACAGTGATCTGACTGTATAAAAAACCATCCGACACAAAAAAAAACGATGCAAAAGTCAACAAAAATCCAAGCAGTCTCAATTCCAAATCCCGGTTTTTATGATTCACTCCGAGCTTGCTAAAATGTTTAATTCTGGCCAAGAACATAACAAAACTAGATTCAGACGATGAAATCATAAATGACCAAGTTGCTTATTTATAAAAAGCTGCTTTTTGAGCAAATTAAGCAGTCCGCTAAAAAATCCCTTCTAGAATGCACATTTTTCTTCTTTTCTTTTTCGACTAGCTGCGAATCATTCCTGGTGCCCCATAATTTCAACTCTGTAAATTCCAACTAAGCAATGAACTGCCATTCAATTTTCACCTTTTTCCAGAATAAATTTTTTTCATCGAAAGTCCCTTTTCAGTCGTTAACTCGTAATATTGCGTCTTCACAGGGCAAGAGCATGTATTGATCGACTGTTGCAATTGGAATTGTTACTAGACAGTAGGTAACTTGACGATCTGGTTTTTTCATATGGGAATTATCGCATCTGATAATTATGCGAGTGTTTGTAGATGTCTATGCATACCTGACCCTAAGTTAATGGTTCATTCAAGTCCGTTTAATCGGAAGTGAAAAATGAACTTGAGATCGAGAGGTTATGATCCCTAACTGACAATCAAAATCTACAATCATAAAATAAAATTTTGGATTTTGAAAAAGTCGACGGGGGGATCCTTAAGTCGATTTATTTTTTTAAGAAGTTACAGTCTGAGTCAAAGATCAGGTACTTTTTAGGAAACAAGAAAATCCTGCGGCAGAGTTTTGGCATTTCGAGGCAGAAAATCCCTCATCTCAGACTTCGACCTTACATTGTGACGTTCAAAGACCTGTTTGACCTTGTCTTACCCGCTTACGTTAGTTTTCCTTCCACGTCGGCGAGTTCACCAGACAAAAAACCATGGGAACTATCATCTTTTTTTCTGCATAAATACGGTCAATTTTTGCCATGAAAAAGAATAATTTTATTTCACGCATTCATTTTTATCATCAAAATGCTTTTGAAGCCTTCCCAAGACCTCCTCATTTCTGGCAAATACCTTCGAAGTAAGTCAAAGCCGACTTTTCTCTAGAATTTTTCACTGCAGTTACAGTTTCTATTTTGGATACAGATTATATTACATTTAAAAAGAGCTTGATATAATATAAGATGTCACAAACGCAAAAACTGATAAGAAATCATCCAGTTTTAGGTTTTCCGCTTTTTTATAATATGATTTTTTTATAATTAAATTGATCAATGATCACGCCAGATTTTCAATTGCTCACTTACTCTGCTCTATAAGTGGACCAGTCTGACAGGGGCTTAGAGTGGTGCGATTCTGATAAATGCCAATTAAAAATCTATCAAATTTACGATAATCAAAATACATCTGCCTTCAGACACGCCTATCAACACCGGACTCCAAGCAATCAACGAAAATGAAACTCAGAATCTCGAAAGTTCCTCTTCTTCTGAGGACGAGTCTTCCACCACATCCGTCCTTTCTAGCGACTCTGAGCAAGAGATGACTATCAACAGCGAGATCATGGAATTACCATCAGAATTGAAAGAGCTTTTCAAGAGATTTTGCGTCTCGGAGAAGGTTGGTTTCTTGATTGAAAACCCTGTGCGGAAGCTTCCCGAGCAATTTGGCCAGTGGGAAGAACTGGCGAAAAACGTCGTTGATCTTCTGGAACAAAATGTTTTCAGAAAAACGATCGAAGAAGATCTTCAAATCATCGGTAAATGCTCGAATTTTTTTGAAACGTTTTGATTCAAATCCATTTTTAAAACCGACATTTAGACGATTCGATCCTCCAATCCCGCGAAGAAATGTTCCATGCGGCGGCCATTCTCACTCATCTCGGAGCCGCTTACGTCAACGATCAAAATTACGCTGGACCTGCCCAAGTTCTTCCAGCGCAAATCGCCGTCCCCTGGTTCAATATCTGCTCGCGACTGAAGATCCATCCCACTTTGACCGACTACATCGCTGCCAATTGCAACTGGGACTTGCACGATTCTTCGAAGCCGGCGGAGCTGGACAACTTGAAAGCAATAACGGTAGAGCTATTTGTGGGGTGATAAAATGACACATATTTTTAAGAGCTTGACCCGAAATCGCGCGTACGAGTGGTTCATGATGATCCCAGTTCGGATGGAGATGCAATACGCCCCAGTTTTGAGCAGTTTGATGGCTATTCGGCAGATTTTACAACTAAGGTGAGGAAATTCTATCGCTTGTAGCCGGACCTGGAAGACTCTAGAATCTTGAAATTTGAAAAACTCACTGAAATTCTAGTGAGACAGAAAGAGATGAAGACAGCATTGTCAAACACTTCAAGAGGGCTGAAAACGGACTCCGAGAAATGACAAAAACGCTGCTCCGAATGAGGGATCACCTTGACCCCCTTGAGTTTTACCACGGAATGCGTCCTTACTTAGGTACTTTAACTCCTTTATGATCTCATTTCTGACTTTCTTTAGCTGGAAGTTACAACAACCCAGGTCTTCCAAATGGTCTAATCTTCGAGGGCGTCTCCGAAGAAGGCAAGCGTTTCATCGGCGGCTCAGCGGCTCAAACTGCCATCACGCCCTCCATGGATGCCATGATTCCCGTCAAGCATCATCAAGCCGTGGTCGACTACAACATGAAGTTACGTCATTACATTCCCACGGAGCATCGCGAGTTTTTGGAATATCTCGGTACTGCCACGCAAAAAGCCCACTTTTTACCAAAAAAAATTTTCAGACAAAGGCCCGACACTGACTGACATGATTTCTGAAATGGAAAACGAGGCAATTTACGAAGCTTTCAACAACTTCATCGAGGCATACGTCCATCTTCGTTCCAGCCACATCACGATTGTCACCAGTTTTATCGTTTTACCAGGTTCATCGGCGATAAAGAGCGCTTTTAGATCCATTTCTAGCGAGTAGCAAAAAAGAAGACTTCTTGAAAACCCAAGCAAAGTCAAAAAGAAACGATCAGTCAGAGCAATTCGTCGACGATGACCCAGAAGGAGAGAAAAATAAAGAAAAAGAAGAGGAAGTTCCAGAAGAAATCCGAAGAATGCAGCGTAGAAAATACAGGTTTCCTCATTTTCTTCCCTTCATCTTTTGATTTTTTTCCTTTTAGCCGAAGCCATAGTTTATCAGAAGTCGGGACCGGAGGAACTCCATTTATGGTCTATTTGAAATCGATTCGCGATGCAACATACGCCGCAAAATTATAGTAAAAACTTTCGTTCCCCATTCTGTAACAACTTGCACAAAGAATACATTGAAAATCCCAAGACAAATCGAAATCGCTCGTTCCAATTTTCTTGAGCAAATACAAACACAAACATGCAGAAAAATGGTCAGACCGTTCTGCAAATAATTTTTGAAATCAAGAGAAAATGGAGATTTCAGAGCCGCCAAAAGAGGCGAAGCGGATTTCGAGGAGGGGATGGATCATCGGAATCACCACTTGCTGCATGGCAATCGGGATCGGTGTTGGCGTCGGTGTCGGAATAGGTGGCTCTGGAAACGATGAAATTGCCGATCCGTCTTTAGGTTCAAAAATATTTTTTTCCGCTTATAAGATGACAAAATAGAATGCTTATTTTGAACCAAAAATAAGATTCGCACAAGTGATTCTCGCTCTGGCTTAGGTATTTATTGCTGAATTTTTTTACGAAAAATCATATCAATTTTGATATTTTCTTCATTTTTTTTCAAGATAGCCCTTATCGTTACGACTGCAACGAAGTTTCCTGTACTCAGCTTGATGAGTATGTCTGGAGAGATAACAACGACTACAGGTAAATCTAAGCCGACTTCAATCTTAATCGACTGATAAGATATGAAATTGTCGCGGAATATGACTTCAATGAAAACCCTGACTTTGTCGACGGAGTCAAAACCTTTGTCATCAACATGACTTCGCAGCACTGGCTGACAACCGAGCACGTGACCCGAACTGAGTGGTACCATGAGCTTGTCGTCTCCCTTCCATACAACTTGGACCGAAGAGTCGCCAACTGGGGATTGATGCTGATCGACGGCGGATCAAACCGAATCGACAATGTTTTGAAAAATGATTCCGCCCCCGTTGTTGGAACACGAGCAGCATCAATGCATACGGGAACCATTACAGCTTGCCTGAGACAAGTTCCAAACCAACCGCTTTATTTTGAAAACGATCCAAGGATGGGCGAAAGTGGCCGTAAAGAAGACGATATCATCGCATGGACATGGCGGCATTTCTTGGAACACCCGGACGAGTCTGACTGGGTTTTACGTCTCCCAATGACCAAGGCAGGCAGATTAGCGCTGGATACAATCGACGATGTTTTCCAAAAAAACAAGGAATCAATGAATCTCGGCGATGTCCAAAAACCAGTCGATAGTTTCCTCGTTACCGGCGCTTCAAAACGGGGTTGGACGACTTGGACTCTTTCCGTCGTGGACAAAAGAGTGAAAGCGCAGATTCCAATGGTCCTTGACTGCTTGAACATGGAAGAGATCTTCCTCGAATGGTATCGAAACATGGGCGCTTGGAGCTTTGCCCTGGCACCCTACTGGGATGAAGGATTGACGGCGTATTTTGACAGGCCGGAATTCAAGCTGCTTGCGGATATTATCGATCCTTACAAATACAGGTAAACGAAGAGTTACAGCGACATGCTCAAAGAAACCATAAATGAATATTGAACGCCGCAATTATCCAAATACTGCGGCGTATTTATGCTTTTTTTTCCCTTCAAAGAGGATGATTGCATATTTTGCTCGAAACATTAATTAAATTCCTTGTCAAACCGCATTTCTAGAGATCGAATGACCATGCCAAAATACGTCATGAGCGCCACTGGAGACGAGTTTTTCTCCCCAGATGATAGCTACTTCTGGTTCGACGACATGAAAGGACCTACTTACCTCGGGCTCTTGCCAAATGCCGAGCATGGAATGATTCCAATCGCTGGCCTTTCTCCCGCGACTGTTCCCGGCAGAATTCTTAGCTTTTACAAGGCTGTTGCTCATGACTACGAGTTGCCTACGATGGATTTTGTCCGACAGGTTGATGAGAATGGAGTTGCTTCGATAACGCTAAAGACAAGCAAGACCCCTGTCCGAGTAAATGCCTGGTGGGCAGATACCCTTAATTCAACAAGGTAAAAAAACGTATAAAATTCATCGGCGGGGCAAAAGTATACAGCGAATTTGACCGAACTGTCCCGAAAATTCCACTTTGCATCATTTCAGACGTGATTTCCGATGGGCCCGAGTCAAGCAAGACCGAGTCGACTGGCCAACCAACTCTGCTGACGATTCAAAGACTCTCGCACGAACCGAGCAAATTCCGGAGCTGGCGAATCTTTTCGCAAAGATGAGTGATAATTTTGAGATGACAGATGTGGACGATGTTGTGGAGCCGTATCGAGTTTCAAAGGAAGATATTGAATTTCAGGAAAAGTTTGAATTAGAAAGATTTTGTTCAAAAATTATTCCTTGCGAAACTTTTGCAAAGCCAATTGTGTGGCATCGTGCCATGGTTCAACCTGTTTTGTCCGAGACAAACATTTACTATTACGAGATTCAGGTAGCTACATTTACCAAAACAATCCGAAAATCTCATTTCTTTTCAGCAACCAGCTGATGGTTTCCGCGCAGTCATGATCGAAGCCGCTTTCCAAGGCAACGACAATCGCGGCGTTCTCACTTTCTCGACAGAAGTAATGATCACCCCCGATATGCGACCATTTGATGTTTGCCAGGGAGAAGAGTGCTACGGATATCTTGTCTGAAAACTCAAAATAAATCGGCAAAACTGCTATGTTGAACTTTTTTTCTAAAAACGCATCCAAATAACCTGTCAAAAATAATTGACTCTCGTGATTTTTGACATTTTGTTTGTCATCAAAATATGACTTGACCGTTTAGGTCGAAAAAATATAGATTCCATTCTTCGAAAAAAATGATTTTAGGGATAATTACAAATTATTTCATCTGAAAAGCAAGTTTTCCCCCTTAAAAATTTTTCATTTATTCAATTTTATGATTGGTCTACGTCTTTTTTCTTCATTTTTATGATATCTGAAAATAATTTTCATAATTTCCTATGAGCAGAAAAATGCTTACCGCCGCATAAACATATCAGCATAAAAACCTGGTCTCCGTTTGTTAATTGTTAATTCAATTCTAATTTCATAAATAAACGCACGTTTTTTACGCTCACTCAGAGGGCGCTCCAGTGCATTTTTCGCTACCACAATTCTCTCGTCTCGATTCGATTGGAAAAGTCGCTTGCAATTAGAAAAATGAGACCGACAACGATAAATGAGATTTCCAACAAAGTCAGCTTTGTACCCCTTTTGACGAGTTCCAAGAGACCCGTTCCCTCCAAATCCTACAACAGAAAACACGTCCTCACTCACAAGCAAAAGAAAAAGTACGAAAAATCCCTGCAGCTGTATCAAGTCAACAGAGAAAAATACGAAAAAGACGCGAGAAATGAAAAGATCACGATTCTTGCATATTGGTCTTTTGTCGATCCGTACATGGAGCAGTTGTCGGAGAATTGCGGTAGTTGCTGGATGACGAATGATAGAAATTTTGAGCACGCAGCTGATGCGATAATTTTTGATAATACAAGGTATGAAATAAGTTCAAAATAAAAGAAATAAAAAATAAAGCTATTTTAAATAATTTATTATTTTATTTATATAATATTATTAGATAATTAAATATATTTTTAAATAAATTATATTAATAAATATTTAAAATATTAAATAATATTAAATGATTATTTTTAATATTTTAGTAATAATTTATAGAATAATATTTAAATAAAATAATAAATTTATTTTTAAAAATATTTTGTTAAAATATTTTTAACAATTAGTTACTTAACCCCTTCTTTAGAACTTCTACAGCTCGAAAACTTCACGACATGCCCGATTTCGACTCCCGCAATCTCGACAGCCAATACTGGATTTGGTGGCCCCGAGAATCCGCCGCTAAAGGAATGAATCGAAAGACAATCTTTCGGGAAATCAAAGATGAGAACAATTGGGACGGATGTATGAACCTAACAGTTTCATATCGCCAGGATTCGGATGTGATCAGACCGTTCGGAACTATTGATAGAGTTTTGGAGGATCAGCCGCAAGATTTGCATGGACAGGATCTTATGGGAAAGGGTTCAAAAGATATGATATTATTTTCGCATTTTCGAATATATGATTAGTGTTATATCATGTCTACTAGACAGTAAACCCTCAAATAGATTTTATTCTAAAAATAAAAACCGAAGAAAAGCACACTGCTTGGATGGTCTCTGATTGTGACCAAACTTCTGCCGCCTTAACCCGATGGGAATACGCCAACAGGTTAATCGACGAGGGATTAAAATTGGATGGATACGGAAAGTGCTTCAATAGAATCGTCAACAGTTGGAAAGGAGACAATTTTCTAGGAACAGCTTCGAAAAATTTCTGAATTCTCTGATCTAGAATTTTTCGGCTGCTCCTATTTTCAGTAGATTTTTTTCTGGACCAATTTTTCAAATCGATTTTTAAGGGTGTTAGGGGCCTCCCGGCCCCTTCAAACCCTGACGAAAACCCGGCCCGGGACCCGGGCTTTCTTTTGATCCAAGAAGCCACCCTTAATTATAATTCTAACCCCATTAAAATCGGTTTGAAAAATAGGTCCAGAAAATATCTACTGAAAATCGGAGTTGCCGAATTTTTCTGATAAAAATATCAAATTTTAAAATATTATCGAGCTGTGAAAAGCGCATTATAAATTTTACCTGGCCTTTGAAAACGCGTTTCACTGTACCGACTACATCTCCGAAAAATTCTGGCGTAATGCCCTTTCATCTCTGAACGTCCCCATCGTTTTTGGCCCGGTTAAAGAAGACGTCGAAAAAGTCGCGCCGAAAGGATCCTTCATCTTTGCCGAGGATTTTGAGACGCCGAAAGACTTGGTTGATTATTTGGACTTTTTGGATTCGAATGACACTGCTTATCTTGAATATCACAAATGGCGGGTTGAAGCGGACTTTCAACACAAGGATTTTATTCAACACAGAAATGGTTGAAAAATGGGCTATTGGAGCGAACTTTGAGTTGGAAAAAAGCCGCAGTGTTTTGATTAATTTACGTATTTTGTCTATAATTTTTTCTCGGGCGAGATCATTATTATTTCCTGTTCAAAAAAGAGGGAGCCAAAAGCTGTTTTGGTTGAAAACATTCTTGAGTACTCCATCCGCCCGCTCCATTTTCGATCTAATTACGGTCACGTGGGGTTATTTTGTAAATAAAACGTTCCCGCTTTTTTGAAGAAAAAAGACGTGTAAAATGCGCATTTCTTTTCAACCCGAAAAAGTGACCCTGGAGGAAGAAATCTGGCAGAAATGATGTGCAATATGTGCGGCGAGCTTCAAACTCGAAAAGCGCTCGATTTTCCGAAAAAGATGATCAACTCCACTGCTTCCTGGTGGTGGCGAAATCTCCCCGACGAATCCTGCCATGGCGGTGTTGCAGTGCCAAACTGGCTGCTAGAATTTCCTCCGCAAACGATGGAAGATGCGTATGATGAAATGCGAATGAGAAAACATGAGTTTGCAATGTTGTGATTTTAGTTTAACTGTAAATAAGAGAAACTGTAGATTTGACTGGATTTCGTTTTTTTCGTTGTTAAAGATTTTCATTTCTGTTATCAGTTAATTGAATGTCTTCTTGCTTCTTGTTTTCGTTTGCTTTCGAGGCTTCATTGCTTCCATAATCAAGATAAAACGCAGTTACTATGGATTTGATTAAAAATGTATAACGAATTTGGTCTTACTTAGTGCTAAAATCGCAGAGCCAAGAGACCAAGGAATGATCACCGTAGTTGTGCCAGTTTTTTGGACGATAAAACTCAGCAAAATCGCCGCTGCCTGTCCCACCGAGAAAGTAGAAGAAATTATCGAATTGTCGCTTGATAGTCCTCTCGATTTTGGATAGCTGGGATCTTCGCGGTAGATTCCCAGAAGCATGTAGGGCACACTGACTTGGATGCACAAAGAGAAGGCCATTGCAACGGCGATGAGGAAGAAGCCGAGACTGCTGTGGGTGAAAATGTTGAGGGCGAGAACGAAGATCATGAAAAGGAGACTTGAAATGACTGTTCTCTTGGTAGAGGGCTCGATATTTTGGGGAGGTGTCTGGAACTGACAAAAAATTTCGACAAATTTTGCGTGGAAATTTTCAACCAATCAGAAGCCTGGATTCGGCTTGCTGGCCAAAAAGCAGCCGAGAAGCCGCCCACGCAAAATTTTTCGAATTTTTTTGTCGGTTTTAGACACCATCCCGATATTTTGATCCGAAAGGAGATTTTGTTATTTGCCAATTTTTTTTCTAGAGCCCTTGCTTGATCCCGAATCGTCTGAAGATCTTTGCCTTTTCAAAAATCAAGCTGAAGAGCATCGTACCAGCGGGAAACGCAATAAACACTTTTGACGCTTCAAGAGTTCCATCTGTCAATCTTTCTTTGAAAATTATGTCGATTTCTTCTTCCGTCTTGTTTCCGGAATTTTCAATTGTTGGTCGATGAGCGCCAAACATGCTTTCGGCGTAGACTGTGGTGAAAAAGATGTAGAAGGGGAAGTCTTTGGAGAAATTGAAGAGGAACAGAAGGCACATTTTCAAAAGCTGAGGGGGAATATTCTTGAAGATGGAGAGGACACTTGTTTTGAGAGTTTCTTCTTTTGGCGACTCTGGAATGGAGAAAAGATTCATTACCGCGCCAATGATGAAAACTCCGACAGAGATAAAGAAAATGTCCAATTGCACGACTCCATCTTCGCTAATTGGCAGGTAGCCGCAAAGAACGTATCCGACAATTCCGGCAAAGCCGCAGACAAAAGCCACGCTTTGCATCACCTGCGCTTGTTCTTTTTCGTTGAAGCTTTCCATCAAATAACTGTACATGGGAACTTGAAGGGTCCAGAGAAACAAATCGTAAATAAAGAAAGCTGAGTATAGGAGGATTCCTCCCGCCGCTTTGGTTTGGCTCAAAAATCTCAAGAAGGAGAAGCTCATAAGAGTCTTTCTTGAGCCATTCCTACATCCGTCATTTTGAGCGATAAAAATTGCAAAATCGCCGCAATTATGACAAAAATAACGCGAATAATGATGAAGGGTCTTCTTTTTCCTATCGGACTTGAGCATCTATCTGATAAGACGCCGACGATCAGGGAAGTGAATATCTAAGAAGTCAAATAAGTTTATTTAACTCGAGAGAAAGACCATATTTTCGTTTTCAATTTTGAGAGGTGATTGAATTTATTTTCTGGCTACCACGATTTCGTTTTAAAATATTTTTCAAGTTTTGCTCTGAGTTGATCATCGAGCCTTCATGAAAAAACAAAGATTATTAACCCAAGAAAAGAACAGTTGAAATTTAAATAAAAGCCTTGTTTACTTACAGTAGCAAGCGAGGAAGCAGAAAATACAGTTGAGCCAATATCAGCTGTGATGCCGAAAAATTCCATCGACGGAATCGCATAAGCCCCCATCGCCGTCCATATCAGCTCTCTACCGCCTCATGAGTTTTCACAAAAATTCGCGTTCTCTTCAAATTTTTCTCTAAATATTTCGTTGAAAATTTTCTTGAATCGGTACATGAAGAATTTTGTTCCAAACTGTTCTTTTTCTCTCAAATTCTTCATTTGCCGCCATAATCTTTTGAAAATTGGAATTCTTCTTTTTCAGTTTTTTCTCTTTCAAGATTTATTGCATCATAATCAAACTCGACCTCGCGGACCCGAATTTACGGTCCAGTTCAACTATAGAAACGACATCTAATGAAAAAAAGACAAGGACAAGTATTTGGACCAGCTCAGCCAATAGCAGCTCGAGGATGATCCTGTCGTTCAGAACAAAATCTGGAAAAATGCCAAAACAACAAAAATGTTCAAGAAAAAAAAATCATTTATTCAGTTTTAGGGCGGAATTCAAGAGCAGAGCCATTAATACAGTATCTTAGCTTTGTTTCCGTTGGGCCATCGTTGAACTTGTGCCCCAAATGGGCGCCGCAATCTGAGCAGCTGGTTTCCGTGAGCTTTACGCCGTGTTGCGCTCGCTCGATGGTTTCTTTTATGCTTTCTTCGAGAGCTCTAGAATATTCTCAATCGCTTTGAACCGAGTGATTTTGTACCTGTCAAAACTTGGCCAGCCGCAATGCTTAAATTTTGCACTTGATTCAAATAATTTCTTTGAACAAACAACACAATGATAAGTTCCGTCTCTTGTTTCGTTCAAATATCTTCCTGATCCGCTCGTATCCGTTCCACCTAGCTTCAAACCCGATTTAAGAAAATACGAGAGGAGCAAGAAGTACCTGAGTAACGGCATATTCAACAACAGATAAGCGTTTTCGAAGTTCTTCTTCAGAAAATTTCTTCGGGAAGTTTTCTTTCGCCTGAAGAAGAATAGAATTATCTAGGCTCAAATTTCGGTGTAGAAATGAATCAAATTTGAGAAGCCGCTTGCGGCTTCGAAAATTGATATAAGAGCCGCGCTTCGAGCGGCTTGATTTAGCTCGAAGCGATAAGCGGTTAGGGTTGAGTTAGGGTTAGGGTTAGGGAAAATTGAGCGTTTTTTTGTTAGAAATTATTATGAGACTAACCTTCTCTCTTTTCCTCAACGCCGCAGTTTTCTGACTCTTCAAACTTTTCAACAAACAAGTCGGTCCATTTGCCTTCAACCTTTGAATTTCCTCTGCAATCGGAGTCGCCATTTCTCCTCTTCAATGGAAAAACGCGCGTTCTGGTAGCCTGCTTTTGAATAATTTACGAGCGACTTTGACTGATTTTCTGTTTGAAAGTGAAGCAGGTCGAGATTTGGTCAATATCTTTTGTCGAGGAAGTTGCTGATTTTTCAGAAATTTGCTTCTTTTCTTTTTTCTTCTCTGTTTTCTAAATTCTGTATTCATAAAAAGCACAAACGCGCACTTGACTCTCTTTCTTTTTCTTTTTTTAATCCAACTACTCAGATGTCTCGTTCAAAGTCTCGATTTGGGGGCTAAGTAGCGTCTCGCGTCTCAGAATTTCGCCAATTTGTTTGACAACCATTGAAAGTGACATTCCAAATATCACCGAAAATTGACGAAAATCTCAAAAAATTACCCGTTTTGTTTTCAAATATCAAAACAAATAATTCGGTCAAAATTAAAAATCTCGGTTTTTCTCTAGAAAAGAAGCGTCATCACTGTTTTTTCTCAAAATTTCTTTCAATCGAAAATCGCGAAAAAATGACTGTAATTCAAGATTCAAACACCGTCAACGAAGAAAATGAGCTTCGCCAGAGAAAAGTCACAGTTTAAAAAAAATTTTGCTTTTTCGAAATTTTTAATAGCAAACTTTTTTATAACTGAAGGAAAGAATTCTCAAAAGAAGAATCCAACGAAGAATTGATTGAAAATGAAATTAGCGAGGAAGCCGAAGAACAGCTTCACAAAATCTCAGCTTTCGAAGCGATCAAGAATTTCAGCCGAATGGTGCTTGAAGATATCGTCGACAGTAGCGATCTTGACAAGGAAAAGGGAATGGAGTGGTATCAGCTCATCGCTTGTTTGGTCCAAGGAACGGTTTCTTTCTCAAGATTTCTAGAATGCAATACAGTCTTTGAAACCGAGAAAAAGCTTCTTTCTACTGCGTTGCATTTTACTACACAAGTTTGATTCTCACCGAAAGAAAATTTCTTTCCAAAACTCTCAAGATCGACGAAGACTTCTCCATTGTTCGAGAAAGTAAGTTGTTCGTTAACCCTTTCCTTTTAACGATTTTTCAAGTTATCTGCATCGGATTGTCCTATCTTCTCTGGCTTCCTATTCCTGCTTTGACATCCCTTTTTGTCGGACCAAAGAGCGATCGATGGGAAAAGATTTACGTCAATGAAAATGGAGAAGAAATCAAGGAAGGAGAAGACGAAGAAGAAGACGAAGAATACCTTGACGAATACCAAGGAGGACTCAAGGAAGAATAGTCTCTTTTGAGAGAATTTTCACCACTGTCATTTATTTGTTATTTTTTTCTATAGCTGTCAATAATAAATTTTTATCATTTTCGACGCATGCGCGAAAAACACCGCGAATCAGCATTTATTTGACTAGAAAAAGCGTTTAGCGCGAGTTCATCCAATTTCGCTTTTGAGGACTTGTCCGATGAGTTGACAAGTTTATCTTTCGTTTGTCAGCCGCCAGCTTAACCCTTTTTAGACCAGCGTTGCTTCCGTGACAGATGTCAGTTTCATTTTTCCGAAATCATGAAAGCAGCGTTTTTCAATTGTTTTATATGCTTTTCTTTTGCAAATCACGTGGTTGAGATTTTCAGAGATCAGTGCAAAAGAGCTTGTTGTCAGGTAAAAATAAAAAAAAATCACGAAAAAAATTAATTCTAGTGTTTTGCAAAAGATTTGAACAACCTTGATTGCCACGAAAGAATCACAAAAGCTTGCGAAAATAACTTCCCCAGCGAAATCGTCTGCAAGTCCGAATTCAGCGACGAAAGAAAAAAATACGAAGACGAGGAATGCCCTCAATGCGCGCACTGCAAATACTGCGATATACACAATGAAGAGCCGATTTTTTACGATTATGAAAATCCAGGAGACGATTATTACTACTACTATCATGGGAAAGAATCAGTTCCTAATTTCCAGTTCAGAGGAGAATTTATGAAAATTTGCGAGGATTGGAATGAACCGCCAATAACAAAGACTTCATTAGATTCAATTACGAAAACCTCGAGTCTGAAAACAACAATGATTTCGACAACAACACCAAAATCATCATTCCAAGTAGCACCAACAAAATCAAATCAGACTTTTATCACAACAAAAACACTTCAAACCACGACAACACCGACAAAAACAACAAGAACAACAACGAAAATAACCACAGCAAGAACAGAAGAAATTACGGAGCCACTTGTGTTTTTGGAAGCTTTTGATTTGTCAAAAAGCTTTAATATTTCAAAAGCGCGTGAAGAAAACTGCTCGAAATTCTGCAATCAGCGATTTTTGCAAAACAAATTTCACGAAATCGCGCTGATTTGGGCAGATTTGGCTGTTCAAGAAAAAGCTCTTCGAAAAGGAAAAGCCAAAAGAAAAACGTAATCAGAGAATTATGAGTTTTTTATCTAACATTTTAAGGACATCCCTTCGCAAAGTGATTGATCATCGGGAGCGAAATTTCAAATGCAGAAAAGGAAATCCAATTCCTGCCAAAATTTTCAACGTCAAATGCTGCGAAAATATTGCAAATAAAGCCGCAGATGAAGAAGAAACGATCAATCTTCTCTGTAATTCAATTGGTAGAAAAAATCACGAAAAAGCATAAATTAAATATTTTCAGTAAAATTTTACGAATTTACCGACGAAAAATGCACAAACAAGACTTGGATCTTTCGAGTGAAGAGATTTTGCGAAAAAATGACTTAATAAATTATGCTGCTCATCTTATTTTTTATTCGCTCAAGTATTTTCATTTATCGTAAGCGAGTTGCTTAAAACAGTCATTTCTCCGATTCTTTATCAGTCCCGCTTATGATGGCAAACGGGCGCGCGTCGTCTTTATATCTCGAATCTACGCCAACTCTTCAGCGCGGGGATAAAAACGGATTACGGACAACCACTGCGGCTTTTTTCAAACTACCACTTTTCGGAAAATACAGAACAAAGTCGCTTCCAGATTCTGAGCAGCCAAGAATGTCTTCTTCCTTTTCGGATTAAAAACGCGCGCTCCCAAGTGCCCAGATGCTTTATCTTTCACCTGCAGGAGCAAAAATACATCGGGAAAATTTTTCATAAAAAAATTAAAAAATAAAAACTGAATTCAAAATCAAAATTCGTTTATAAATTAATAAAATAAATAATAAAAGTAATAAATAAAAATTAATTTATAGAAAAAATACAAATAGAAAAAATATTATTTATGTGATAATAAAATTTTTTAATTTAATTAATAAATTAAAAATATATTAAAAATAATTCTTCCAGTGGACACAGATTTATCAGTAGTTTATTAACAGAATCTAATTTTACTTTTCAGCTCATCAAAAAAAGAACAAAATCTCCATATTGGAGTTCAAAAATCAAAAAAAATTCAAAAATTTCGGCGGCTACCGTTTTGCTCTGGCGACCTTCTTTTTCTGTAATTGAAAAGAAATTGACCCGCTTGCGAGGAGGGTTTTCGCCACTTTTGTTTCTCCTTCAACTTGACGAGCAATGAGCCGTTCTCATTTTCCTCCGCGTCAGGCACGTGACATTCTTCATAAAGCTAAACGAACGGTTGGGAAAATTGTAAATTCCTGGCCAGATAACGCGACTTTTAATCCTTCAATCTGGCAGCGCTGGAATCTCCCTCGAAAATATTCTTTATCTTCTCTTGAGAAAATGAGAGATTAAATTTTTAAAGATAATTTTGGGATTTTTTCTTTCCAACCGTTTTCCTTTGAGTAGACGTACGTTTCGCCGCAGCAACCGTACTGGGCGACAGCGTAGAGATTTCCATTGCAGCAGGCTTCTCTGAAAATGGAAATAAGAAAAAAATAGAGTCAAAAAATCTCTACATGATTTCAGGGGAGGTCTCAGGAATCGACAAAAAATTTCGACAAATCATTTCGTGAAAATTTCTAACCAATCGGAAGCCTGGATTCGGCAGACCGGCCAATCAGCACCCGAGAAGCCAATAAATTTTGCGTAGGCGTCCATTCGGCTGCTGATTGGCCGCTTAGCCGTTCGCAGCCTTTTGATTGGTTGAAAATTTTGACGCAAAATTTGTCAATATTTTTTGTCGGTTCCTCGCATCTCCCCGGAAAAATCTGATGAATTGGAGGATTTTTTCTATAACTTAAAAAAAAAGCGAAAAATATAACGAACCTGCCAGGAGAATATTTTTCCCCTTTCCAACCGCTGCCACAGCATTTTTGCGTGTCGTCGTTTTTCTCCAGGACGGAGCCGCCACAACAAAAACTGCTCGCTTTGCTGTACAGTTTATCAATGCAGCAGCCTTGGCTTCCCTTATCGAAGAATTCCTTATCATCGCAGCAGGAGAGCGAGGCTTCTTTTTGCCGGATTTCTCCGTTGCAGCAAATTTTATCTGGCTCGACCGGCGTTTTCTGAAACGCAGATTTTAATCGGCTATTTTTTCTAGCTCAGCCAACCTTGCCGCCGCAGCAACTGAACTCCGCCTTATCGATGACCTCGCCTTCGCAGCAATCTTGTTTTCGCGCAAAATATTGCACCCCGGCGCAGCATTTTGAACCGTTCAGTCTTTTTTAAGGGTTTTCTTGGAAATCATCTTTTTCAAATTTTTCGGAAATTTTTCATTTTTTAAATTATTTTTTCGAATTTTTTGAAAACCGCTTTCCTTGACATGATTTTATTTCCACAACAAATAAACATATTCGAAATGTATTGCTCGGTTTTGTCCCCCAGGACTGTTGAAATTTGGCAGCTTTCGATTTTTGTGGTGAAAAATGGATTGAACTCCCTAGTCACCATCGGATCCATTGTACTGACGACCGCTCTGGTTGTTGCCATGGTTGATTTGACGGCTTTTGTTGATGCTGTTGTTTGCGGAGGAGGAGGAGTGGCGTCTTTGGGAGGTAGATCTGGGCAGGGGCCCGGGCGAACCATGATGTCATCCATGCCGATGTCAGATTGGTAACTCAGACCTGCAAATATTAAGATCTAACTATGGTGTCACTTTCTCTCTCAAAAAATAGATAATGCTTTCTGAAAGCGAAATTACACAGATACTCGAGAGAATAAAAGAAGAAGAAATTCAAAAGTAAAATAAAACTCTTAATTTTTAAGCAATCTGAATTTTCAAGAATAAAGGATGATATTGAATCGAGAAGAAGTCGTGTTCAAAATATCAAAGACGAAATAGAAAGCGAATGTTCTGAGCTACGATCGAAAATAAGCGAAATCGATGTTACTATTTCAACCCTTGATGCCATGATAAATTACTATGAAGATCTTATCAAAATTTCCTCGAGTAAAAATGCGGCAATCAAAAAGAGACGTCAATTATTTCGATCATTTAACATCAAAGAAAACAACATGGCCGTCTTGTTGAGAAATAAAGTCCAGCTCAGAGCGCGAAAAACTTCAGAACAAGAAAAAAAGAAGTCCCTTCAACTTCAAATCGAGCAGACAAAAAACTCGATTAATGATCGAATCAGGAATTCTCTGAAGAAAAGAACAGATAGAAACGAGCTCATTCCAACTTGCGAAATTTGCCTTGAGCTTTACGATAAAAATGAACACTGGCAATCTTGCATTGTTATTTGTGGACATCAGTTTGGAAAATCCTGTCTATTAAAAGTCCTCGAAACGAAAAATCGATGCCCAAAATGTGACAGAAAATTCACAGCTGAGCAAATTCTCGATTTGTTTTGAAGTTTTTATTTACTGCAGATTCTATCATTTTCGAAAAAAAAAAATAAAAAAAAAATTGAAAGAGCTCACCTCTTACAGCGTTGATTGTAATATTGACCAAATGGCCCGGCTCAAGATCTGGCTTCTTAATCGTAACAGCTTGATAAATCCAGTGAGTGGCGGTTTTTGACGCTTGGCCACTTTTTTTGAAAAGGAGCTTTCGATAGGCGCCTGGGACGGGAATCGAGACGAAAGCTGTCAAGCTGTAAGCGTGCTTGCCGTACATCAGGTACCACATTGAGAAGCTTTTAAGAGGGTTCAAATCTAAACTGATTGACCGCGCTTAGCAAAGACAACTTCGGTAATAAGTGTTTTTTTGAAAATTTGCTTGGAAATTTGTGTTCAGCTTGAAAAAGCGGCTTGTTCTGTCAATTCTAGCGAAACCGCCCTTGTCAACAACAAATTTAATTTGTCAGAAATTTAAACAACGAAAATCCCTAAAATTCAGTTTGTTTGGAACCCTTGGCAATACTCGTCATAAGCAGTGATATCGAAGGCGGGAGAAGCGATTTCGGCTTGAGAAAGAAACATTTTCTGCGAGGCCTCGAGCAGCAGATAATGGCCTTCCTCCGTTTTGCGCGTCCTGTCAAATGCGGGCCCAGTTGCGGGGCTTGATGACGCACCTGAATCGCATTTTCAAAATACAGAAAATTTACAAATAATTTTACTATTCCACAAAAAAGGAAGTTGAAAAAGCGGCGGATTATTGGCTAAACAATTTTTTTCTTATAGATTATATAAAGAGAAATTAAATGGCGAATAAATCAACGCCTTTATCTTTTATTTTTTAAATAAATAAATTATTTTTAAAAAATAAAGGTGTGAGTTTATTTTTTTATCGTCTTTTCTGTATCTATATATTTTTTATCGCAAAAATGACTCAAAAAACGCCGCGAATGAAGATGCGTGAAATTTCCATTTTCATCCTTTTTTTTATTGAACTTGCTTGAACAGGGACTCGGGCGTTGCTCAATATTTTTTTTCTCATCTTCGAAAAATTCGAAAATTTTTACGCAAAAATCAAAACGGGAGCGGTGTACTTGCCTTGTCTGACAACCAAGTCAAAGAATTTGTTCGGGACATAATTTTCTTCTTTCGTGTGGTCCACATTATACCACCCGTCGCACCAGCCATCTTCCCACGTGCAAATAAACCCTTTCGCAGGTTACATTCAAATTTTTTTCGCGCGAGGATCTGTTTTGTTTTTATTTTTGATTTTCTTTTTTTTTTTGTTTCTTTAAAAAAAAAATAAAAAAAAAATCGTTGAAAAATTAACTGAGTCTTTATTTTTTCCTAGGGTTTGAGTTAGGGTTAGGGTTAGGGTTAGACTTAAAAAAATTATTAATTTAATTAAAAATTATGGTTAATTAAATTAAATTCCTATTTTTCGAATAAAAATTTCTTCAAAAATTTTTAAGCCAATCAAAAACATGTATACGACCTGTTTGCCAATCAATGAAAAGGATTTTTGAAAAGCCAAAATTTTAGATTTTTCGGCTCATTTGACCGTTGAAGTTAAAATTCACTACAGGGTTTTAAAAATCGTCAACATCAAAGTATATCTGAAATGTTAACCGAAGTTCCTACAGGCTTGTTCGTCTCTTCATTCAGCCAAATCTCTGATTCCGTCGGATTCTCTTCTCTACTGTCTTTTACAAGTAAACTGAAAACTGCAAGTATGATCTTCCATATTTTCTTCATCCTTTGGTTCAGAAGAAAAAGGGAAAAAGACGCGCCGATCGAGAAGAAGCGCGCGTTCTAGAGTCGCACGTTGCGATGATTGGTGGCGCACCAACCCCATCGAAAGAATCGAAGTCGCGCCGCCGCAGAGAGCGGCGAATATCGCTCTTGAATTTCGTCAAAATGTAATTTTTTTCAGAAGATAGTCCTCCTCGCCACTTGCAAATTCACACCTCAGAAACCGCCAAAATCAGGCGCCGGAGAAATCTTTTTCTCACATTTTTGAAAGTTTCAAATCGAGCAATTTTACGCTAGAAAAAAATTTTCGATCATAAAAATTCTAAAAACATTTTTATTCTTCAGTTAGAGCATACTTTTTTTATGAAAAAAAATTTTCTGCTCTTTTTTATTGAAAAATGAAGCTCAATGAATAAGGCTGTCGGTCTCAAAGTCAAAACAGTGCCAGAGAAAGTGAATAAATTCTGTCAAAAAATAAAATCATCGTGGTTAATATTGACCTTTCGACAGATTATTTTGATAACGGAAACTGCTGAAATGATTATTAATTTTTATGCCGTTGCATTTCTTGCAAAATACTTTCGGATACAAATAAATTTACGGGTCTTTTTGCAGCTCAAATTATTTCTCAGCTTTTAACCCTCGGCTGAGACACATTTTCTGGTCAGAAAACTCGTCAAAAATATTTGCTGAATCGACGAAAATCAAGAAAATAAAAATGCATCCCATTTAAAAGTGAAAAAAGTGACTATTATTCGATTTCTAGAGCCGCTGCCCTAGATTTCTCGCACTTCAAAAAATACAACAGTCTTCTTGTTTTTTCTTCGCGGCAAATAACTTCTTTTGCGTCTAAAAGAAGCTCCCTTATCGCTTCTTTTTTCGGCAACGCTCTCGAAAGTTTTGAGCGTTTCAAACAAAGCTGGCCAAAGTTACAGCTCTGTTTAAACACACGTGTTCGTCATTAGCGCTCTTTAACATTTTCACAGTTGAGTTGAAGCGAACTCGAATTCGCCGAAATTGTTGAAAATAATTCAAGAGCGGATTTCCCGCCTATTCCAGCTCTCTTTTCCCCGCCCGGGATCCAAAAAGATTAACCTTTTACCGAAGCCAGGCGAATCCGATTACTCAGTACAAATTCCAAAAGTTCACAGCGTTTTCTTACCGCTTACGCCATTATTTCTCCCTAAGCGCATTTTACGCTTGTCAGAAATTTTTTCTAAAGGAGGTTGACAATGCAGCTGTTTTTTTCAAACAAAAAAATTTAAGGAGAGGTGACTTTCTGAGTCAATCTTTTTGTCGCTGAATATTTTGTGTAAAAAAACCGTGGGTTTTTCTGTGATTGGCTGAGAAATTTCCGGTATCTCGCGATTCGGTCTTCTGATTGGTTGATTCGGTCTTTTCCAACCAATCGGAAAACCGAATTTCTGGATATCGGGGAGCTCTCAGCCAATCACAGAAAAATCCGCGGTTTTTTGAGACAAAATACTCAACGACAAAAAAATTGACTCAGAAATTCATCTGTCCTTTAATCTTTTTGTCTGGCAGACTATTCTCGACGCCTTAGCGCTAAAAAACATATGTTTCCGAACACAAATTTTCTTAATCCGTGTTCGATCCTTTCAAAAATTTCGGGACGAATCGAGCTTATCTTTTATTTCTCAAGAAACCGCGAGAGTACATAAAACGCCTGTGCCGCGTGTAACTGATAAGCGAAGCACCATGTCGAGTGATAAATTAGTATATACATTCTACACGCGCAACTTTTTATCGAGGCGCCGAAAACAGTAATTTTTCGAAGTAAAATAAAGCTGATAAATTTTTTATCGGATTGAACTTTGCCTCGAAATTCGGGTTAGGGTTAGGGTTAGCCCTTGGCGAATTTTTTTTTCAAAAATTCTGAGGAAAATTGCCATTTTTGTCAAAAAAATAAAATCTCGCCAAAAAAATATTTTTCCAAATTTTGGCCAAAAAATTTCTTTTAAATTCTGGCCAAAAATTTTTTCAAATTTTGGCCAAAAAATATTTTATCGAATTTTTTTTCGAAAAAATTTACTGGTTTTCTTGAAACAAGCAAGTTTTGTTGTAAAAAATAAATGATTAATATTTTAGACTTTTTTTAGAGATTTTGTCAAAAAGTGGAATCGGCAATTTTCGAGAGTGTCAATACAAAGTCTGATAAAATCTACTGTAGATCGCTTGTAGCTTTTTTTATCGGCTTGAAGTGGCACTTTGAAAAAGTTGCGATAAGAGATTCCGACGCTTTCTTTTTGGTTTTGGTAAGTTTGAAACTAACGGGCGCGATAAAGAGCGCGATCGAGGCAGATAATTTCGCCCGCTAAAAAAATAATCATCTGGAGTCGGCGAAAGTGGCAAACTTCAACGCCAAGAGCTTAAAAGCGCCAAATTACTCTCATCTTTTTTCGCAACAATTAACCAGGTTCAACAGTAGATTTCTTCAAATAAAAAGTGGCAATTAGAAATTTTTTTTCTTGATTTTTTATAAAAAAAAGTGTCGCAATTTTAATTTTTTTCATAGTTAATTTATAATTTTATTTTCATTTTTTAAAATGATTTTATTACTCATTTATTTTTTATTTTATTATGAATTAATTATATTTTATTTGTCTAATTTTTTAATAATTTATTGAATAATTTATCGATTTATTTTTTTTTTTTATTATTAATTTTTTGTTTTTTTTTCGAAAAGCTTCAATCAAGTTCCCACGAAATGGCCTCGTCAAACTTCTTGTAAGCGTCGGATTTGGCGGCTTCGTTGAGTTTATTTTGCTCAGCAGGCGAGTATCTCTTCACTCCAAGCTTGCGATTTGTGGTCGCACGTGTTCTCCCTTCAAACGCTTCTTCAAAACAGCTAAACACTCTTTCTACATTCAAAACCGCACCAAAAACAAAAAGAAATGAAAGTTTAGCCGTTCCTTTTTCTTCGTCCGAAACGGCGTAAATTAATTCGTGTTCAAGCCGCGCGGGGAGGCCTTTTTTGACTTTGGAAATGTCGGATCGGAGAAAATCTTCAGAAGAAGCAAAGAGTAGCTTTCTTGACTGGGTATCCTAAAAAAGCGGATTACGAGAAAAGAAAGAATTGAGAGGTCAAAGATGCCGTTTTCGAGAAAAGAGTTTTTCAGGTTTTTAGAATTTTTAGCCCAAAATATAAGCTCTGAAGGGTCAAAGAATTGATCCTTCATCTTTCAAAAGAGTATTCACTCAATTTTAAGGGCACAAACCAAGAAAAGGAAGTGAATCTTCTGAAGACCAATAAGATTGCTGCATTTGGCCTACCAGCCAATCAAAACCCATTCTTTAAAAATCAAATCCTTTCCTTGGTTTCGCCTTTTTTTAAGAAAAAAGAATCAATTGAAAGAAAATGACCTTAAAGAACCCGTAAGATTGGCCAATCATTTTCATACCTCCTTGCATGCCTTGGTGGTGTTATATTTCTTCTGCATTTCGTCTTTGAAGCGATAATTAAAGAGCAGCCAATTCTGCTGCGCGTAGCCGTAGACGCGAGGCGGCGGGTTTTCGTCAAATCCTTCTTTCACCAAAAAACCGTCGGCGAAAATCGCGACGTTGTAATCGGACAAATGCATTTCGCAAAATTGACTTTTTCGGTCGAAATCGAAATCGTCGAATCTTTCGTCGAAGTTGACCGCCGATCTTTTCGTGATTAAAAAAGGCTGCCAATTTTCCGTCCAATTTGACGCAATTGTATCGCTTGTGGACATTGACCAACTGTGAAAATCTTCGTTTAAATGGCAAGCTACGGAAAATTAAAGCAAATTCGAGCGATTTAAGGGGGTACCGGGGCAGTGGTGCTGGTGCAGTCGCTGCACGTTTCCGCTCGAGAGCTCGTGTATCAATTCCATTTTGCTTCTTTGACAGGCTTTTCGATCAAGACTGAGGACTAGAATTTTGCTTTATGAAAGATAATAGATTTATTTCTGATTTATTTGATCTTAATGATTGATTGTTTCCTTATTTGAAAATTTGATCCATCATTTTTAAAAAAATTTTTCTTAAAATCGAAAGTTTTTTCCTGATTTAAAATATATTTTAATTAAAATTATTAATAAATAATTTTTTTTTTTAATTTCTTCAAGAATTTGATATAAAATTATTTAATGAATTATTATTGAAATGAAAAAATATTTCAAGAACTAAAATAATTGTTTTTTATTCTTATTATTCAAAATTTATTATCTAAAAATAAATTATCTGAATTAATTATAAATATTTCTTTTTAACTGAAAAAGCCGTTGCTTGGAAAAGGATGGCCATTTTTCATCTCAAAAGCTGGAACGACAAAAGCTTGTTTTTTCGCGCTCTCAAATAAACCGCCTGCTTTGGCGAATTTGAGGAAATTTTGGCGGAGGTCATCGTTTGGCAAAAGTGAAACATCGGACGAGAGAACGAAATCGGTCCCTGCTGAATCCTTAAAAATAATAAGCAAAACAGAGATTACGGAAAAAGGAGGTGAAGAGGGGAAAACAAATTATCGCTTGTTTTGAAAAAAGGTGCATGTGAACATTCTGCAGCTGCGTGGATCGGCATTTCCGGTCTCACGAGAAAAAAAAGGGCTTAGTAGTGAATATAACTGGGTTTATTCTTAAAATTATTCTTAAAAGGGCTTACTTTCAAAAGACCTGAATTCTGGCTAGAACAAGTGTTGAAGGTTTTTGTTTAAAAAGAATAAGGCTCGCTACAAAATCGAAAAATAATTGAGTAAGTTTTTAAGAAGAAATTCAATTATATATTTTATAAAAATAAACAAGTCCTAGAAAACATCCAGGTGTCAAAAGACACCAGTTTTTTGCGTGTTGATTTGAGAGAAAAATGCCTTTTTTAAATTTTGCGACATTTTTATCTGGAATCAAATTTGCCAACGATCCCTCGAAATCTATCGTTTTTTTCTTTTACCTTTGCGATATTCCTGAGCAGATTTTTGGGCGGTCTATTCGCAGCAAATTGGTCGATCGGCCGCTGTTGCTTTTGGCATAATTCCTTCAATTCAGCACAGGAAAAATACTTTTTTGAGGAAAAAAAAACGCGGCGGCGCTTTCACAAATTCTATATTTCGTGAATAACGAATTAACAATTATGCGCGCCCAAGTCAATCCGCTTTTCCTTCAATTCTGCCAGCCGGACGTCGTCAGTAAGAGCTTTACGGGGTTTTCCTCGGGAAATATTTTAAACACAAAGATTTAGCAAAAAAAAAACTTGATTTTACTTTTCAAATTGGCGGTTAGACAATTTGAACTTTTTGCTTTTTTTTCGAAAAGGCAGTATTACGTGGTAGTTAACCCTTTCCTTCTAGCGAGGTCGGATAAACTAGATGAAAGTGTAGTGGAATGCTTTCGTCAAGTCCGGAGCATTTCCGGAATTTTTCGATTGCAATGTGCGCTAGAGAAGACTTTTTACCGCAGATACACATTTTAGAGTTTTTTAATTTTTCCGCTTTCGCGGTTTTCTGACTTTTCAAAGTCCAGATATTCAAGTAATAGGTGTATCCGCTTTCCCTGATCTCCATCAACGAACAAGCAAATCGACATTGGTCCCCGCCACTTTCGAGCCAAGTCCCAGAGCTAGAATAATTCGCGGTTGAAAAGTGATCTCCCGTTTAATTCAAATTTGTCAAGGCAGCGGTTTCAGATTCTGAACTGCGCGATAAAAAAAGAAACGGGCGCACCTGTGGAATCTCTGGCACCGTCGCGAAGGTCGCAAGTGTCACATCTTCGTAATCGCCGCTGAGGCCAGAAGCTAAGTAGTATCTTTCAAATAGCTCTTTTTTGAGCTATCTTGATTCAATAGTTGTAACAGCGATACGAATATTTAATACTTTTTGTCAGAGTTGCAAATTTGCTGAGCTGAGTGAGCTGAGCTGGCTGAGTGAGCTGAGCAGTCGCTCAGCTCAGCTCAGTGATTTTGGAAAATGATCTGATCCGCTCAGCTCAGACAATTATCACTCAGCTCAGCTCAGCTCAATTATTTTCGAACATGATCTGTTCTGCTCAGCTTAGCTCAGACAATTATCACTTTGCTCAGCTCAATAATTTTAATGCAATTTACAACCAAAAACCGTAAAAAAAGCTCAGCTCAGCTCAATCAGCTCAGTTCAGCTCTAATTAGGGTCCTCTCTGCTCAGCTCAGCTCCGCTCAATGACCTCTGAAAAAGGCCAGCTCAGCTCAGCTCAGCAAAATTAATCAAAATTTGCAACTCTGTTTTTGTAAATTTTATTATTTGGTCAATTATTTTTTTAATTTATTTTTATAATTTATGATCTTGGACTATCAAATGGAAGATTTTTATGATTCTAGATTTCCAAAGAATGAAAACCGCGCATTTCCGGAAGGAGGATAAATGAGAGCTGTCCCTGATTATCCGATAATCTCCAGTGTAATCCGATGTTTCCCCGAAAAAATGGTGGAATTCGTTTTCGTTTGATTCTGATTTTCTTAAACCCCTGGGCGACTTGCGTAAAATTGAGCTTTCTTGATGAATTCCTTTTTCTGGCGCTTTTTTGTAAAACAACAAAATTTGAATAAACAATAACGGCCAGAAAATGAGCGGAATTTCTTGAGTCATCAATTTTAATGCTTTTTTTTCACCAGGTTTAAACTTTATTTGTGAAACTAAATTTCTCTTGAAAATTGTTACTTTTTTTTCAGAGTAGATTTTTTTGAAAAAAGCGGCCAGCCTTGGGCCAAATTATTCAGAACTCAATGTTTTCATCCTTTTTGAATTAAATATTCGATTTTTATTTTGATTTCCGAAAAATGATCAATTCGTTGGCGAGATTTGCTTTTAGAACCTGCCTAATTGACCAAACGGACTTGAGATTCAAGGAATTATAATTTGAGAATCATCTGAAATTGATTGAAATCAACAAGGAGGAAGGTGGAATTTTTCGCTTCTATAACAATGTTAGGGTTCAAAAAAGAAAAATGGCGTCTCTCGATCTCATCCAAACTTTCAGAAGACATTTTTTGTCTTATATTCTCATTTTTGTAAAAAAAGTCTTTTACTGTATGCAACAGATGGAACCTTCATTGCTCGGACAGAAATTGTACTCCACTACACTTAAGAAAACGGATTATTGGATCTGCTTGAAATTTCAGTTTACACCAATTTTGTAATATTGATTTCGAATCTGGTATCATTATTTGTTTCTGATTTGTCTGAGTTGCCTTTAGGTTGTTATTTAACTCTGGTGGGTTTCAGAGAAGAGCTTGGTGTTTTTAAAATTTTCGCAATCTATAGACTAGTTATAGTGTCAAAAACAAATGAAACCTCTTAGAAGTGAAAAATTTCTTGACATTGGCTCGTATCAATTCACCCGCCCGTCTAAAAGAATTTTGCTTCTTCGGAGCGAAATGGTCTGACTGACGTGTTATCACAGTCTCGGAGACAGAAATTCTTCAATTTTTGGTGTTTTTTAGATGAACAAGAGACTATTATGTAATAAATTTCATTTTCTGAAGACAAATACGCAAAAATTGGTCATTTTCAATTGGCTCCCACCGACAATCGCTTTTTCTTCTTTCCTGGAAAGATAGAGTATGCAGCATACTGTTCTGCATCTTTTTGAATAAATAGACTTCACCATAATATGTTTATTTGTAAGATTGAGTATAAGAGAAGGGCACAATAAATACGTAGGTAAAACACCGATGGTATTATGACGAGAGATTTGCTTAAGCAAAGTAAACTTTGATCTAAAAAACCATTATAAAAATGGTTCAAAGTGAATACCGAAATTTCAAAAAGAAAGTGCAGTTTTAAGATAAACTGATTTATCAGAAATATGTAACGCGTTTTTCATATAGTGAATCATAGATCAGTTTGATGTGAATAGTTCGATCACATTTTAGAAGCAGTTTAACCGTCGCAATTTTCTGGTGAAAAGAATGTGTCTTTGCCGTTGAATAAGCCGAGTCATCTTGTGTGCGGCCCATCTATTGTTAGCAGTGAGATCGACGCCGTCCATGCAGACGAATGCGTTATGGTAGCTCTTAGCGGACATGAAGAAAGTGTTAAGGGAGCCGCAAAGATCTTGCTCATCGTAAGAGGGGACAATAAAATCATTTGGATCGCCTGATCCAGCGTAATTAGCACACGAGTCCGAGGTGCGAGACGGAAAGTTCGATATCTTTTGGAAAAAATCTCGAAGTCGATTCGCCTTCTTGATCGAAGGAATATTTGGCATTAGCTCATAGCTATTGAAAATTCCTTGAAAGAGGCTGCTATAAGCAGCATCAAGTTCTTGCCATGCAGCTGTTGGTGAAAGAGAAAGAGGGGCATCCAAAGGAACAAGTTGCAGTTCGAAACCTTAGTTTGAGTTTGACAAAAAGAGTAAAAGTCACCCCCCGTTTTGTCCATCTCTGAATGGAAATTCAGCCGATTTGGATGAATCAAGACGAACAAAAGCACTTCTTAAATGTGCTTTCTGAGAAAGCCTATCTCCTATTATTTTGTACTGATCTATCATTGGCCCAAGGAAAAACCTACCTCAAGGAGACGCCTTAATTCTAAAAATTCGAAAAAACGCCATTTTTGGCTATTTTTGAGCCAAAATTCAGCCAATTTGCGCTTAGATGAACACGACCTGACAAAATATTCAGATAAAATATGCATATTTATGATTTTTAGGCCATAATTTCGGGTAAAGATGTTCGTAAAGGGAAAGCATGATACAACTTAAAGATGTAGAATGCTCTGTTTTTATTTGGTTGAGATTAGTTCTTAAAAAAAGTTAACGGATCGTAAAATTTTGGACGGCGCTTAGGCGGGCTGTAGTTAACGATTCATGTTGTTAATAAACTCTGCCTGAGTCAATGGTGTCCCCATTAGATGTAAAGATTATCGTTGCCGTATTTCCATTTATGCCTAATGTTTGCATACCATCATCTCCGCAGAATTGATACTCTGACCCTTCCTCATCTATGATGTGTAGATTGTCACATTCGCAATTTGAGCAGTTTTGAAGTCCAAAAGAGACAGGCAAGATTTCGAAAGCGGGAACTGACTCGGACAACTGCACGGTCCAGGTACAACTCAAATTATCGTAATAGGAGCCTGTGTCAAAGCCTGGTGACTTGATAACGTCGCTTTCGCCGACAACTCCGCCACAAGGGATTGACGTGAGCGGTATAACTTCGATTCTGAAACCAGCGTGAACGCTACTACCATCGGTGATGAAAGAAATGGTTCCTGTGTTTCCAAAAACGGTAACGCCATCGCTTGGAAATCCATTTGTGAATGCATTTTCTCGTCTTGTATTGAGCCGATTTTTAACTAGCAATTCATCCGACTCTCGTCGTCGCCGAGAAGAATATCCGCAAAAATTCTGTTCGCTCCCTCGATTGTCAATGATTTGAAATGTGTCATAACCGCATGTGCTTTCAGATTCGAGCTCGAACGTTGATGCGATTAATTGAAACGCAGCTGCAGAGGATGGCAGTTCGATGTTCCATACACAATTTAAATTGTCGAAGTAGGAGCCTGACGTAAAGCCTGGTGATTCGATAACGTCGCCTTCTCCAATTGTACCACCACAAGGTATCGAAGCGAGTGGTGAAATTTCGAGACGGAAGCCAGGATGAACGCTACTTCCGTCGGTGATGAAAGAAATTGTTCCTGTGTTTCCGATGAGAGCAATGCCATCACTTGGAAATCCAGAAGAAACAGCATTAGCTCGTCGTGCACTAAGCCCATTTTTTTCAGACTGTTCGTCGGAATCGCGTCGTCGTCGAGATGAGTATCCACAGAAATTTTGTTCAATTCCTTGGTTGTCGATGATCTGAACTGTGTCATAACCGCATGTACTTTCGGACTCGAGCTGGAATGATGATGACACAATTTGGATAGCGGCGGCAGACGGAAAATTGATGTTCCAGACGCATTCAAGATTGTCAAAGTAGTTTCCCAAGCCGAAGTTAGGCGATTCTATCGTTCTTGCAGTATCAATGACTCCTCCGCAATGCTGGGGAACAATCTCAAGTCTGAAACCATCGACATAGACACTTCCATCTGTGATGAAAGAAATTGTTCCCGTTCGTCCTGGCAAAGTTATTCCGGAACTTGGAAAGCCCGTCGTGATAGCATTATCACGTCTCACAGCAATCTCAATTGTCTTTTCTGATTCGCGACGCTTACGTGACGCTTTTCCGCAATAGTTCTGAACGTTTCCAAATCTGTCAACTATTTCAGCCGTGTCGCAATTGCAATCAGAGCAACTTTCGAGCCCAAACCAAATTGGCCTTATCTGATACGACGTTACGGAATAATCAAAGGCGATATTCCAGACACAGTTTTCATTATGATAGTACATTTGGTTTGGCGCTCCAGGAGTGACGATTTCAACGGTTGATCCGCCAGTGATTGATCCACCGCATGATTGGCTCGCTGCAGAAGCGACAAGAGACAGCAACTAAAGGTTTAATTAAGGATCATATGCAAAACAGTGGACATTAATTATTTGAGATTTCGACTTATGAGAATTCTCGCTCAAATATTTCCCTTTAAGAAAGAGGCTATTGAATTTAATTTTTCTTAAATTTATAGGATATAAAAAATTCTCTATTTAAAATTTTTATGACCAAACAAAAGTCTTATATTTGTTCAAGAGATTCATTAATTCTTGAAAAAGAATAATAAGGTTAGATATGCAAATTACATGGAAATCTCTTTTCTTAATAACTTTTGAATACAGAATTTGGAGGGTCGAGAAAGATCAAAATGACAATTAAACTGTTTTTATCGTAGATATAAAAATTAAAAATTATAATCGATGATAGAAATTTATTTTTGGGACGCGTTTAGGCCTCAAGGGGCCTTCGTCAGCCCTAAGTACAGATTTAAATGAACGTTCAAAAAACAGGAAAAACAGTCTCTCACCTAGAGTGGACAATTTCGAATGAAGGCAAAGATTGAAAACATAAAAACATAATTCGCTTTCACGGGCAGATGTAATGGAGCGTCAGAAGAAAGCGAATTACAAATGCTCCATTACAGAAATTTAACTTCTGCGAATTTGATCTGCTTATTCAAGCAAGGATCGTTTAACTTGATCGAAAACGCTTCACAAAGGACACGGTCTCTATAGTACGGTTGGCTGGAGATAACAGAAATATAGTTCTTTTTGAAACAAAATTTAGTTTTGATTAACGCTCTCGATGAAGTAGGCTTAATTTAGGAGTGTCTGGCTCACTAAGGTATTTATCATATTCCCCTTTGAATTTTGGACACTTCAAAAAGTGGAAAAACATAGGACTACGATAACGTGGCTCAAAATGTTCACGAATTCTAGTTCCAAGCTGTCTCTTTGTCTTACCCTGGTAATCCGTTTTTCCACATGGGCATTGGAAGTGGTACACGACTCCACTTTTCTGCTCAACAGGTACCGGGCGCTTCCAGGTTGGGTGCAAACATTGTTCTATTCTAACTATTTTCCAACAAAGTCTTAGAAAGAACTTTGGGGTAACTTTTTTGAGAAAAGCCCGCATTTTGCTGCCAATAATGTCGCATCGGGGACCAGTAAAGCTAGCGCAAAAATTGTGAATGATTTCCCCTTCCACTTTCTTATCATTTTTCGGCTTATCAAGAAGTTTTATTTTATCATCGACCAAACCTGGAGGATATCCATTGAGAATGAACTTCCTCTCTTCGAATGAAGGCAAAGATTGAAAACATAAAAACATAATTCGCTTTTTTCTGGCGCTCCATTTCATCTGCCCGCGAAAGCGAGTTATGTTTTTATGTTTTCAATCTTTTCCTTCATTCGAAATTGTCCACTCTAGGTGAGAGACTGTTTTTCCTGTTTTTTGAACGTTCATTTAAATTTATACTTAGGGCTGACGAAGGCCCCTTGAGGCCGAAACGCGTCTCCAAAATAAATTTCTATCATCGATTCATGAGAGGTCAATTTTGGCAATCATAAATTATGATATTATAATTTATCATTTTTTCCATCTTTTAACGGCCCTTGAATCAAAAATAAAAATTTTTCCTATTATAGACAATAGGATATGGTCTAAACATAAAGACAACCTCCTTCCCCATTTTATATTATTGCTCGAAAAATCTAACATTAAAAAATGTAAGAATTACGAATTATCGAATATTGACATCGGATTCGGATTCCTTATGCCAAAAAAGTTATAAGTAGGGATTCTATCGGGAAAACGGCGCGCGGCGCGGCCCTTCGCACCCAAACTTGTCCGATGCTATTTTGTTATTTTCGACATAATTTCAGTCAAAAACATCATAAAATAACTAAAAATATGACTCTCATTCATAATTAACTCTCAAAAGTATTTTTTCGCCGTTTAACGATAGAAATCATCAAAACGCGGAGAAAAGTACTTTTTTATGTGCTCAAATAAGCTTCAAAACTCCTGATTTTTTGATATGTCAAAATATTGACCTTTTGCCAGAATCTGTAAAAATTTTAAGACTATGCAATAAGAACAGCCTTCAGAAATTGCTTGTAACTGAGTGAAGGTGGCGCCGCAGTAGTGCATTACGAGGGGCGCGGAGCCAAGAAATGAGTTTCTCTTACTTTTGAAGTAGCAAATAAGCTTAGAAATCTCTAATTCTTTGATATGTCCAGAAACAGATATCTCTCAAGCATCTGTCGAAATCTTGGGGCTATGCTGCAACAAGAACCTCGCGAAATTGTCCGTTTTTTGACTGGAAGTGACGGCGCGGCAGGGAATCGCGCGACGAGCGCGCCCGGAACTAGTGCCTTTCCATGCACTCGAACTCTGTTGACATTGCGCCCCATGTTAGGTTCGAACCTTTCTGCAGAAGGTGACAAAACCAAGTGGTTCGATGCAAAAACAAAGGGATTTCCGGGATAAATCTCATTCATATCAAGTAAATAATGATTTTGACACTCGTTGATGTCGAAAAAAAACTTGTTGAGAATGAAATCGCAAGTCAAGCAGAGATAAACAAATGCAAAGAGAATCGTACCTATGGTACGAAGTCATGCAAAATCCTCAGAAGATTTCGAGAAAAAGTGAAATTGGATTACTCTCTTTTTTTTTCCAGAAAGCCGAAAATGCAGACATTCCATCACAAATCCGAGAGACTTTTTCGAAAGGGAGAAACAAGGTTCGACGAGGAGAATCCTACAGTCGGTCTTGAATGTCTGGCAGAAGAAGGCCTGGATTCAGACGAAGAGCTCCCGATGTTGCTTAATGATTGCGCAGTTCAGACATCGCCAGGCAAGTGAATTAATTAAATAGTCGAGCAAGATAAAAAGGCACCTGAATAAGGTGCCTCTTGTTTTTATAAAAGAAATTTTTGGGTATCCCAAAAAATCTAACAAAGCTTTTAGTGAAGGGAATGTTGCCAGATCAGATTCTTGAGAATCCTCAAACGATTCCAACTCCAGATTCGTCTGAAATGATGGCTGAAACAATTCTGAATTTCACAGGTAAGAATAAAGAAAATTAAAAAGAATCATGACAATTGTATTTTTGGGGCTCCCAAATTGGGTACCCCAATAATATCGGATCATTTTATAGTTTTTTTTGGGGTCCCCAAATTGGGTACCCCAATAATATCGAATCATTTAAAAGTTTTTTTTGGGGCTCCCAAATTGGGTACCCCAATAATATCGGATCATTTTATAGTTTTTTTTTGGGGTCCCCAAATTGGGTACCCCAATAATATCGAATCATTTAAAAGTTTTTTTTTGGGGTCCCCAAATTGGGGACCCCAATAATAACGGATTATTTTTACTGAATTTTTCTTTAGAAACGCCTTCACAAGAAAATGTCGCCTCATGCTCAGCTGTTGGAAAGAAAAGAAAGCGACAAACGATCGACTACAGCGAAGAAATTGATGATGACGACTTTAGAAAAGACAGAGACTACTATTTGGTGAAATCAAAATCAACACCGGTCTCTGGAAGAGGAAAAAACAACCCGAGACTTCCACCAACGACTCGTTTCAATCATTTGATCGAGCTTGCATCGCAGTCCGTTCCTTCGGTTCATTTCAACAGCACGAACAAATTCAAAGAGCACAGAATCTTTTCGAAACCAGTTGAAGGCGAAACTCGACGACCTGTCGCCAAATCAACCCTCTACAAATTGCGTCCAAACCTTCTCCTAGCAACTTTCGTGCAGCTTGAAGAATTTGTTAAGAACGCCGAGCGCCTGACACTCGCTACTGACGGGGTAAGTTATTCTTTGAAATTTTGGGTACCCCAATTATGGGGAGCCCAATAATTTTTTTTAATTGTAATATTTGGGTACCCCAATAAATACTTTTTTCAGACAACCTCAAAATCAAATCGTCAATGCATGAACGTCGTATTCATCAACGAAGAAAGGGAAAAGCTGCTGTTCATGATCGTTGAGCTTTTCGGTGGAACAGCTGAAGAAATCTTCACAGCCGTCACTCTTTCTATCGACACACTGTCATTTTCTGATGAGATCTGGAAGAAAACCGACTCAATTCTCACAGACACCTGCCGTGCGCAAGAAGCTGCAAACATGCAGATAATTGAATTCATCGACAAGAAGAGGAACTCCGAGATTCCAGTGCAGTGGATCTGGTGTGCTCTGCATACGGCTGGGAACATCGATCGATACGGCCGGCAAGGACTTTCTGCTTTAGCGAATGATATTTTCACTTGCTTGAAAATTCTTTTTTGGCTCAAGCAAAATCAGCGGCCATCATCGCGAAGATCTCAAGAATGAGTAAGTTTTCATTTTTGGGTAGCCCAATTGGGTAACCCAATCAATTTTTCAAATTCTTTTTTGGGTACCCCAATTAATTCTTTTTCAGGCTCGACGAAGTGCGTGTAGAACTTGGCGACAAATCTACAAAGAAAGCCTACTGCACCGACATGGGTTCACGAATCGGCTCTTCCAAGAAGAATGCCGAGGGCCTTTTGCTTTACTGGGAGGCAACTGTCAAGACCATCAGCAAATACTCCGACCGCAAACGAGCAAAGGAACTTCTCCCACTCCTCCAAGATAAACAACTAGCTATTCTGAGCACATCTCTGACACCTCTGATTTGGGCTTCGTACTCAGGTCTTATTCTCAGGGCATCAGAGAATGAAGAAGGCACGATCGAAGATGTCCGCATTCAAATGAAATCCTGCCTCGATGCTTTGGAGAAAATTCTCGAATCCAAACAGCCTTACGACGATCTTTTTGATGGAGTTCTGGAAAATTACGAAGACTCAGAATATTTCCTGTAAGTTTTTTTTATTAAACAATTTTGGGTATCCCATTATTTTAAAGATCAATTTATTGGGTACCCCAATTAATCAATTTATAAAAAAATAATATTTGGGTACCCCAATTAATCAATTTATAAAAAAAACTAATTTTTGGGTATCCCAATTAATCAATTATAAAAAAAAATAAATTTTTGGGTACCCCAATTTATCAGTTTGTAAAGATTCAATTTTATCTTTAGGAAACTTCGAGAATTCAAAGAGATGCCAAGGGATGCTAAACTTCGGGACGACCTGAATGAGACGATTCGACAGTGCCTTACAGAAGCAAAGAAAAAGTTGCAGAAAGATTACAACCAGATGAAATCACTTCGACTTTCTGGTAAATATGAGACGTCTAATCGCTTTTGCGAGAGTGTCTTTGCCACCCTGAAGTACAAGGAACAAACGAGCACTGGTTCCGCGCTCGCAAACATTGCCGACCAAACTGTTGTTCAAGTTAACAAGCTGGGCAACTACCTGAGGAGAATGAAAAAGAAACAGCGGGACGAGCTTTTGGATAGAATCGACAACTCGAACGAAGTCAAAACTACTCTGGAGGTTCGAAAGACGCTGAAAGAACGATTTCGCAAGAAAAGGGAGGAAATTCTAAAGAAAAGGGACGAAATAAAGAAGATCAAAATCGAACGTCAGAAAATCAAAGAAGAAAAAAGAGCAAAGAAGCCAAAAATCGAGGTTTCAAAAACTCCAGTTCGCTCGACTCGTCTTTCGAAAAGAAGGCTTGATTAAATGTTCATTACAGCTTTCCATTATTCACTGCCAAAAACTGGTCAAACAGATAAAATGAATAATAAATTATTAATCTCCATGTTAAATTACCCACAGATATGAAATTTCTGAGAAAAGCATTGATTTTTATGATTTACTCCAAGCGCACCTAAGGCGCGCGCGCTCCACGCCAACACCACCAAGCGCCGCTCCAATCATTTTTTAATTGGCGAATTCGCAATGAGCGCCAAAAACTGGTCTAAAACCCAAAATTTCAAGGAAAAATATTAAACTTTGATTTTCCGATAGAATCCCTAGTTATAAGTTAAACAAAGAGAAATAACTATTATTCCGTCGCCCTTTCTCCACTCTTACACCTTTCAAACTTGATTTTAAAGATCCCTCCCATCAAGATAAAAAAAGTCAAAATTTTTTAAAAATTTTTTAGCTTTTTTGGGTAGTTAAGACGACGAGGAAGAACTTTTATTCAGAAAAATTTTCTGCTCTTTTAGAAAATTGTGTCAGTAATCTACCCCGAAAATTGAAAATTTGCGTTTAAATTTTCATAAGAATCTTGACCTGGCAATTTTTTAGTGATTATTAAGGGCATACTCATCATAAAAACTATTTTTATCATAAAAACGAGTACAAAAACATAATTCGAAGCAATTTAGGGATTAAAAACTGAAAATTTAAGTCTTGAAATTCGCCTAAGATTCGACTGACTTAATTTTAAAGAGGCTTTCCTCCTTAAGTTCGCTGGCCAAAAACTCTCAAAAAGGGAACGGTCGTAGCTTGGGGCCTTAATTTTATCCTGAAAAAAATTAAGAGTATACCCCAATTAAAAAGCCGAAAAAAACCTTCACTAAGCAACCTAACCTTAAGGGCCTGTATAACCTTAAGTTTGATATCGAGATATCACCATAAGGAAAACGGTTGCAGGCGTGGGTTCGATCTAAAGCTTGCAATTGAAATAAAGGGATTACCTAAGATAGTTTTCGAGAAAATCGTTCACTAAAGAGACCTTTTTTCACGATTCTTGATGGGGGGGGGGTCCTTAAGTAACATATTGATGGTAGTTTCAAAACTGAAAAGCATGGTTCTACTTATAAATAAACATAATTTATTTTTCATTATGGAATATTTGATTTATTTTGTAGTTCTCATAATTTAACGTTAGAAATCAATAATCATTTTTTGAAACTTAAACGTATTGTTGCGATACCCTTAAGAAATGCACGAGCGTGTTCTTACTTTTGATGCCCTAGACCAACTATCAAGCTATACAAAGAGCCGAAAATTTTTCGGAAATCTTAAGGGGATCAGTTTAAAATCACTGTTTGTAAAAGTGTTTCCAACTAAATGGAGGGGTCCTTAAATAGACTGGTAACAAATCAAATCGGCTAGATCCGCTGATTCAGAAGGCAGAATTTGAGTGACAGTCATTTTCGAACGAGAGAAAAGCGTAGGTTTCCGACAATCGACCCGAGCAAAGCCCGACCGATACCCGACAATGTCGATTTGGTCGAGTGTCGGCGCCAACGCTTGCCAAAAACCTATATTTTCGGCTAAAATTAATTTTTGGTAAATTCGAATTTGAAAAACTAAGTAGAGAAACGATAAGTGTAAAAGGATAGTTATGACACAATTAATGAGGATGAAGCTATTTGGAGACGAGTTATTTTGGAAGAAATTATTTCAAAAGTGATTTAATCGATGAGGGCTTTGATTGGCCGAAGAGCTTTATTCGGCATCCTTATTGGTCATCCAGTTATGGATAGCGAAAAATTTAAAAATCCATTTTGTCCCATTTCGAAAATTAATTTAAAAAAATAAATCGTTTTGAAATAAACTTGATATAAATATATCGTTTCATGATTCATTTCTTCAAAATTTAATTTCCAAAAAAATTTGCTTAGTCTCAATTATTGCATGATATTAGAGAAATATAATAAATAAATTAAATAAGAGAAAGTAAAAAATTTTTTTCTCGAATTATAAGACTGGTTATTCATGAAAACTTCGCGAAAATGGGCGCTTTTAGCAAAAATTAAGCCGCTCTACGGTTGAGAAATTTATAAAAACCCCTCTTTTATTTATAATTTACGACAGATCTATCGAATTTTCCCATTAAAACTCAGTAATCATTGAAAAATTCAGAGATATTCGTGGCAAAATTTTGGGAAATTATAGATAGTAAGAAAGAGTTTTTTGAATGGAGATTGGCCCATTTTTTAAGAAACCTGTCAATTTCTTTGATTTTTTTAGAAGAAAAGTCAAAAAAATAAATAACAATAATTATAAAAATTTTGATGATTGAAAAACCTTCAAAAAAGAAACATAAAGATACCAATAAAAAAAGAAGCGATATGTACTTACTTTCATGATGCTCTTTGTGCTTGCAGAATTTAAACAGCGTTTTTTTTTTGTTTTCTTTTTTGATTCTTTACTCGAATCTGAGTATTTTATAGAAAGAAAATAAAAATTATCCGCATGATGGATAATGAGCGGGCGCTCGCAAGCAAGGTTTGTGCTCGGTGCAAACGAGCCTTGCTTTGCATTTTTCTTCAGAATCATCAAGTTTTGTTGCTATCTTGCATTTTACAAAGAATTATTTATCTTTCAAAGAGAATTAAAAGCGTTGACGATAATTTCTTACCCAGAAGAATCAAGAGTTCCTGTGATAAAGATTTGTCTGATTGAAAAATAACACAATAAATTAAAATAACAGCTATCAATTCTACAGACATTTTTTTGGATTAACAAGGGAATCATTCAATCAATAAACGTGTGATTAAAAATGAAAATTTTAAACGAAAGCAAGTTATTTACCGCGATTGGCATATCTGACTGACTGATTTGCTTTTGCCAGTAAAAATTATATAACACCTCTCTAGTGGAGGACCTCCTCCTGGTGGAAGAATCGCGCAACCAGGAAGAGCGAGAATGTCTAGAAAAACCAATTCTTATGTTCTCGAAAGTTAACTTTCGAAAGTTAACTTACAAAAGTTAACTTCTCTTCTAGATTTTTGAGCACGTCTACCTAAGTCCGCCCTGAAATTTCACTTTTCAGAGAAATTCAGGAGCGGATTAGATAAGTTAGCAAAGTGACACCCTTATTTTATTTTATTATTATTATTATCATTAGAAATAACAATAGTTAGGTTATATTAGAATAATTTTTAAAATTTTATTTTCCACGTGACTTCATGGAGGACCCAACCGGAGGACTCTTTAGGTGGAAGAAGAACCAAAACTGGAAGACCGATGATAAAAATTTAAGGGGGAGGTTTTCGGTTTTCATTATGTCATGTGACCCTCGGAGGACCCCTGGAGGACTTTTTCTGGTGGAAGAACATATTTTACTGGAAGAACTTTGATAAAAATTTTAATTTTTTTTTCGATTTTTGGGTAGCTCACGGGGCCTAAAAATGAGTTATAGTAATAAATTTATATAATCCACATAAAGACGAATAGAGAGAAGTCGAGGTACAATGTCACGAATGTGCAGTTCTTTCAACCGAGTCCAAAAGCACCGAATGATCGCTCAACTCTTAAAAGAAGCAGAGACAGCATTCAAGAAGATTATCGACCTACAGCAGGACATGGGTTATAAAATAACATACAGTATTTTTTCCCCTAAGGCCAAACAAACCCGATTCATTCAGAAATCTTTTTCAAAAGATTTCCCTAATGGGAAAGCTGTCGAAAAGCACTCACAGGAGACATGCTATGACGAAGATCATTCTCCCCCTAAAAAGCAGAAGACGAGCACTGCTCCAGCAAAAGTCCCAACCTCGACCCCCATACCAGCCACCTCAACAATCCAACTGAATCAAGATCATTATGATCTTGAATTAGTTCCCGGCCTCTCGCCACAGACACCTCCAGATAGCATGGTTCGGCTTGCAAAAAGTGCCTTACAATCACAACCACAAGCCACTCAGAATGAAGCGATCGATCAGCTCGATCGGCCACTCATTCCGCGAGGAACGGTAGTAGTAGGCCACGAGAATCTTCTCCACGATGAAGAATTCGCAGGGCTCCTCGATTTAATCATGGAAAGCTTCAATTTCCGATTCCCTATACACATTACAAAATCAGTACGGGATAAGGTGAAGCTGATCAATGTCGATCGAATCGAGGAGCTTCCAGTAATCAGATCTCCACGAACATGGAAACAGTTTGCATCCAGTGATCTTGGGTACATCTATCTCCAAATCTTATGCACAAATCTCAGCCAGTACTTTGTTCTGGGACCGGTGACATTCGAGAAAAAGTTCAACGCGGCTATATTAGGCTTATTCATCGAAAGGTACACTCTCTTGGTCGATGCAATGAACAACGGCTATAAAGCATTTTCCCTTGACAAAAATCAGGAAAAGCAATGGATAAGAAAAAATCCTTTTGCTATTTCAAATTTTATTCGACCAAAAGAACCTATTCCAGATGATAAGCCTCTTACCGATGAGGAGAAACAGCAAGTTCAGCTTGTTGTTGACAAAATGCGCGAACAGGCTCCAACCCATTACGCTCAGAGTAATAATCTGAGGAAAGCACTAGCCGAACTCGGAATGCCAGGCTGGAGCAACTATTCGCGAGTATTCAGGCTTCTTGCGAAAGATGGCTACTCATTTGAGCGTTTTGGAAAAGCCAAGCCCGAACTCTCGAAAGAAGCGAAGCAGAAGCGGCTGGCCTTCTGCAAATGGCTGCTGGAAGAGGTAGAGAGAACACCCGATTTCCTGCAACAGTTGTTGCATACGGATGAATGCTCAATTTCGATGCGTGAAGAGAAATTTGGCCGAAATCTCGGCTGGTGGGTAAAAGACAACGAGGCTCCTCCTCAACATTTGCTGAGCTTCAGCAAAAAGTTTAACGCAAAAATAATGATCGCTTGTTGTATCGGACACAATATAAAGCTTTCATTACGCGTTTTTGTTGAGGAGCAAGCAAATGGGAAACTCAAGTCTATTAAAGAGAATAGTCTTGGGTACCAGAAGATCTGTCTCGAGCCTTGGTACGAGGACCTCGCGGCCCATGGACACATACATATCCGTGAGGATGGAACCAGCGAGCTCGTCGGTCGCGTCTACGTACAAGACGGAGCTCGCTCGCATACTTCCGCAAGTAGTCTGGAGTTCCTCGATGCCCATTTCTCGTTAGATCGGTGCATCACCGGCGTCGCGTGCGGAGAAATACAGGGACAGGCACATCGGGAGAAGAGAATGCATGAGTGGCCACCCCATAGCCCCGACCTTAATCCCCTCGATTTCAGCCTTTGGGCACATTTGAAATCAAAAGTTCGTGAAGAGCTTGGGAGAAATAAGAAGTTGTATTTTGACTCGTTAGAGCACGCGCGAGAAGTCATAAATCTCGTGTGGAGTCAGATTGACCAGTCCAAAATCAATAACATGTGTCAAAAACTTCTTGACAAGGCTAAACAGGTGGTTCATTTAGAGGGTGGAACAACAGAAGGCTACAAGGCGAACCGTGGCTCTTTGTCGGTTCGGAATCCTCAAGCCTGAGTCAACCTCCCTCTGGCTCTTTTTCTCAAAGCATTTTCCCTTATTCCTCAAAGAAGAAAAAGAAGATTTCGACTATTCAGTTATTTGTCAATTACTTGAATTAATTTATTTCTGAAAATTTATTTTTATTTCTGTATAATAAAAATTTCACTGCCCATTTATAATTTCATTACAAAATTGTCTTTTTAAATTATTTATCATTTAAATTTCACTGCCCATTTATTATTTCGTCACTTATTTGTCCCACTTCCAAATTCCATAAGTTCAAATTTGAAATTATGTCTCGCATCTTTTGGTGGAGAAATTATTGAATTGGCCGGGCCTAACTCTTGCTCTTGTTCCGATGTGTTTCTTTTATCATAATAAGTAAGATGAGAGCCGGTTTGCCCAGAACGGAGCGGCTCTCGATGGGACTAAGCGGTACTTGGCGTCGCAGTTAAGTTATCAATTTGAAAAAAAGCAAGGTCGTCTGTTGAAGCAAAAAGGGGTAGATCGATGGTTCTCATGGATCTCACTCGCGGCCCTTTTTGCTTTTCATACTTCTGCGCTTCGGTACGAAAATTGATAACTTAATTGTGAAGCTTCGTCCCGCCTGATGCCACTGAGAGCTGCCCGGTTTCGGGCCAATCTGCTGTCATTTTACATAATTATGATTTAAGAAACACATGGCAACAAGATCGAGAGTTTGGCCCTGCTAACCCAATGATTTCTCTTCCTAGTATGCTTGTGACAGATCGTCTTTTTCAGCTCTTCTACTGCCCAAACATCTGTTTCTCTTTATCTGTATCCCTTTTCTGCTGCTGGAGATCTACGCGCGAGGCTCATATCAGAAGCGTATGCGGGCTGTGGTTGTGGCTGCATAATGGCGGAGAGATAAGTCCTGGCAGGTATGATTTCGACATTTCTTCCCAAAAATAACTTTTTCAATTTTAGGAACGGCCACCTCGTCGATTCCGCGTTCTCCAGCTCAGAAACCAAAGAAACAACCACGAAGATAAGTTCGAAGGTCAAGAAAATAAGAAGGATGGAAGAGATGCTAGTCTCTGTTGATGCGAGACAAGTCAGTCTTCTCGGTATGTTTTTTTTTACTGAAAAATGAAATAAAATGTATTTAGGAACTCCATTGGTCTTCAACTGCCTCTTCCTCTATGATAATTACCACAGAGCTTTCAGTCGATGAGAGCTGATTATCATAGAGTATTTCTGTACATCTGGTCGATCATATCGGTTGACCACACCGCTGTCTGTGGGCGGTGGATATTGACGGTTGGAATGGTGGATGAAAAAAATAAGAAAATCCATCATCACTGTCATCTTGATATGCTCATCAGATTCCTTCAATTTTCCCGATTATTTTATTTTTTTAATTGGTCTTCCAGTAAAATTGGTCTTCCAGTAGAAAAAGTCCTCCGAAGGTCCTCCGAGAGACCACGTGATCGAAGAGACCGAATATGAATATTAATTTAAGGGATGATTTTAATCATCGGTCTTCCAGTAAATGATGTCTTCCAGTAGAAAAAGTCCTCCAGGGGTCCTCCGAGAGATCACGTGATTGAAAAATTTTTAAAATAGAATGTCACATGACAAAAAACTGCCCAAAAAGTATCCTATTCGTAAAGGCTAGATATCAAGGCTGGAGGACCCCTCCGTGGGAACCCCGTCAAACCAGTCGACCAATAAGCGCACGTTACAAATTTGCTATGTCCACAGCATGGAGATTTGTAACGTGAATTTGACTGACTGAAAAATCAGTCAGTCAGAAATGCCAACCGCGGTATTTCCTTGTGTAATTTATATTGACAAAAATTGCTGCTTGTTTTTTATTTATTTCGGGAAAAGTAAATTATAAGAAGTCTACAAGATTATTAATAACGTTATCAGCTGTGTAAGAAGTTTTCGCATCAGTCTACCCGTTTCCGAGTGCGTCGCATTAAGGATGCTACAACCTGGCTCGAGGTTCGAATCCGGCCTTTCTTTTTGCATAGACGGTCTTAATATACTTTGTGCTCGGAAACTGGTAAAGCACTGAAGTAGAAAATTGAAGACTAGGGTTGCGAGAACGCGTTTCTGAAAGAGGCTTCTTTCCGAAAAGAATTTATTAAAGTTTCAACAGAGAAATCTCGGTTTTTCACAAATTTTTGTGGAAAATAAACGTTTATAATAAATATTTTTTTTTCTACCTCTCAGCATGCATATCAAGCAAGTAAAAGTAATTCTCCAATTTGTGGAAATTTTTGTCCCAAATTTCATTAAAATGTCCACATAAATTGCCATTCTTGGTCAATTAAATTGTTTTAACTTTGAGATCTTTTCAAAAAATATTCTGATATTTAAAAAAAAACCCTTTTACTTCTTCTATTATTTTCTGACAAAGAAAATGTCACGAAAATTGTTAATTTATCCTTGCAAAAGTGTAGAACAAAAACTCTTAAGATGGTCAAAGTATCCACAAAATTAAGTTACCTAAAAGAGTCTCAGAAAAATATTCGTCTAACCAACACTGCCAAATTTTAAGTCAATTGCTGTCTGATGATCTGTGGTCTGCGGTCGAAAATATTCTTTCGATTTCTTTGAATTAAAAAAAAATTATTATTAAATTTGTAAATATAATTTCCAATTTTCAGGTTTTATTTTTGCGACACTTTTAACAAATTCATTTTAAAAATTTTATGATTTCCTTTGCGCAATAATTTTCAATTAATGAATTTTCATAAGTTAAAATTCAATTTCAAAAAATTCTTCTTAATTGTTAATAATGATTCTTAAGAAGGTTGTTAATGTTCTCAATAGATTATTTCTTGTCTTCGAAATGTGGAGTGAAATAAAGGACGATCGATGGTTCTTTGATAAAATTTTGAGCGATTTAGATGGGACATTCTTTTAAAAGTTTTTGTCAAATTTTTGGTCATTTTTGAGAAAATCGAACGAAAAAAATGCTCTAAAATTCCATTCTTAACTTTTATTTCGGGTTGTCTCTAATTTGGCCGTCATTTTTCACTTTCGGTGCATTTCTTGACTCTAGAATATTTTACTACACGATTGAAAAGCCCGTTTAATTCTTAATAGATCTTTACTTCTCCACAAACAAAAAAGAGAACTTACAGTTGGTTGCGCCGATTGTGCATCCTTTGTGATTGAGGCAATAGTTAACTCTTCAATCATGTCTTAGGTTGCGCTGGTTGGATTTCGGCTGAAAACGGCTTGTTTATAAAAAACGCTCGAACCGCGAGACCATAAACGTTAATTGGAGAAGATTTTATAAAAAATAGTTAAACTAAAAATTTCTGATTTTTTGTGGTAAACTCGCGATTTCTTCGGAATGATATCACGGATTTGGGACATTTCCCGAATAACTCGAACGACGACCAACAACCAAACCAAGACCACCAAAAAAAAGCTGAGACTATGGTCTCTATAGATCCATTCTAATCTCGTCCGGTAACGCCCGGCAACGGAAACGCGGCTGATTTGAAAATTTCCGTTTTGGCCGAAAATCGGCTTTGTTTGAAAAATAATGAATAATCTTTAAAAATGAATAAAAATGGCCGTCTAAGCCCCGTTCCTTGATTTATGAATTTAAGGAGCTTGAGATCGACGTTTGACTCTGAGGTGATCAATCTCAAAGATGTCCTCAACCATATCCACACCCATTCGAGCGGAAAATTGAAATTATTCAACCTTTTCCTTTTATTATGGTTTTTATTTAAATTTTTTAATTTTTTATTCTTTTATTTAAGGATTTATGATCTTGCTTTTTTTTCGACTCGAAACGATCATTTTCGACCTTTTAAAATGATAGTCTAGGTTTTCTCAGGCTCAATTTTGCTCAAATGAAAAAATCAAAATTTTTTCTTGATTTTTTTATATTCGGGAAGGCAAGTAATTGCCAAGGCAAATGCCTTGTCTTGCCAAAGGAATTATCAAGGCAAGCTGATGGCAAGTTAATGGCTTGGTTATCTTGATTTTTATGAAGAGACTCTTCAGAAGGGCTCATGCTAAAAAAAACCTTTTTCACGGAAAACAAGTCGTTTTTATATAACGGAGCTGGCCTCCTGACGAATATTATATCTGTATATTTCTTTTTTACGGAAATGCGAAAATATGTGATTTCATCACCAATTATTTTCAGGCTGTCAATGGCATAAAATTCTGAATATTCTAAGTAAGCAATAAACTCGCGTCCCCGAACTGTTTAGAAATCGTGAGGGTTCTTGTTATCACTTAATTAGCTTCCTTTAGAAAATCCGGCTTTGACAACGACCTCGATGTTGATACAAAAAGCAATGATAAACATGCTTGCGGGGAGCTGGAACTCCCTGCCTCAAAGTTCAAACATTGAACTTAGAAACGTTAAATACTGAAAAAAATGTCGATTAAAACTCCTTTTAATTACGGTGGTGTGTGGAGTTGCTGCACTCCTAGACAGCGGGTAAAAGGTGCAGTAACGCAGCACTCACTTTTGCTACTTCTAGAAGAAAACAATAGAAAAAAAGCGGGTCAGGGGTGCAGCAACGCAGCACTCGCTAAGAGTGCAGCAACTCCACACACCACTGTAATTCTTTGTCAATTTGCTTTTGTTTATATTCTTGACCAGTGCGCGTTTAAAACCTCCAATGCCGTGTTGGAGGTTTATGTTTTCTTGCAATGCTTTTTTTTGTAATAATTAACTTGTTTATGAGTAAAATCCAGCTTATTTCATTGTTAACAAAATCTTTGAAATTATCTTTTTGGATAATCAAGAGAAAAAATAAATTTAAAATTAGTAAAATTGAGAGTTTTTTAAGTTTTTTTAAAAAGACCTTATTTCATCTTTAAAATGTCATTCATCATTAACTTAGCGGACGTCGCTCTTAAAAACGTGGGCTTTCTATAATTCTCATGCAATATGGAAGGATTTTATGCCAGGCGTCCGTTCATCCTGATCTTTATACGTTCAAATAAAGGTTAAAAACCTTGCTTAAGCATTGTGGCGCTTGCTAATAAAAATAAAACTTGTTCGA